TAATACCTACCTTGCCTTACCACAGTATCCGTACACACCTCAGTTAAGTAAGGTAGTAGAGACGGGAGGAAGTAGGTAGACCGGAGAGAGTCCAGAAGCCACCACCTCCAACCTAAGCCTGGCACCTGCCTTTCCACCCAGCACTAGCCCTTCTCGACTCTAGCCTCCCTCTACCTTGCCTCTTAGCACGCTGCACCTTGTTTTCCCACTTTTTCCCACACTTCCTTTCAACCACCTCCTCCCCGTCGACTTACCTTGCTTTCTCATCCTTCTTCTTCCTCGTCTTCCCCCTTCTTACACCACACCCTCCTTCCCTGGCCGACTCATCCCGAACAACTAAATAGTTCGTTCGCGATTCGACTCCTTCTCTCACACTCTCCCTCCTCCTCTCTCTCCCTCTTGTCCATCCCAAAAGGTCGCGGCAAGAAGAGGTCAAACTCCCGTCTTGCGAAGGATCTTGCTTTTCGCCAGCACTCACATCTTGACTTGCCGCATCGCTGTAACCGCCAACGATCGACGCCCAGTTGTCGCCCCGAGTCCCTGGTCCACCATCCGTCTAAAACTGCACGAACCAACACCCAACTGCACAGCACCATTTCGCATGACACCTACCTACTTCGCACCTCAGCCCACCCGCCACCCGTACTCTCACTCGAATTGTACAAAACGACAATTCGGTTTTTAATCTTTGTCAAGATAATTGTTCCTCTCGCAAACTTATCTAGACTGCGATCCTAGTCTTGCTCGATTGGATTTTAGTGCACTGCAGATCCTACCGCCTGTCCCCAGAGCAGCCCACAATTGACCCAGGGATCCCACGTTTTCCAGACCGATCCGTCTTGAACACCAGCAACAACATCGCCAACTATGAGTTCGCCAGCACAGGCCGGGCCTTCGGTCCCGAAAGAGAAGAAGGGTTTGGGCAAGATCTTGTCGCGGGCCAAGACCGTGTTCAAGAGAGGCGACAGCTCCAAGCGCATATCGACGCTGTCCACCACCGGCCAGCAGTCTTCTGGGCAAGCCACTACTCCTGGGTAAGCAAGACAATTTGGATACCTTGTTGTCTTCTAGTGTTTTGGGTGTCACGGCACCACGCCTGCATTGGTTGTCTAACGTGCATACAGCCCGTCCACCACTCCTGCGACCGAGCAACCTGCCGCTGCCACCACCAAGGACACCACCAAGAAGGAGGCTCCCAAGAGCAAGTATGAGGACCTCGAGGGTGTCACCAGAGTGCCCCGATCCGAATTGTTTGAGGAGCGCGCCAGGAAGTTGGGCGAGAGGTTCGGTCTCGAGATCAAGCAGAGCGAGTGGATCTCCACCGAGGGCACCGCTCTCCGCGTCGAGAAGCCCATTCGCATGCGCGTCCACCGAACCTGCCACAAGTGCAATGCTACCTTTGCTGCCGCCAAAGAGTGCCCGAGCTGCCAGCACGTCCGTTGCACCAAGTGCGTCCGCCACCCGCCCAAGCGGACCGAGGCCGAGCGCATCGCCAGCCGGGAGAAGCGGGCCGCCATCCTCAAGGCCCAGAAGGAGAACGCGCCCATTGTCCCCGACTACTCCTACGACGCCAAGCACGCAAAGGATATTGTCTTGAAGCGCCCCAGCAAGACCGGAGGACAGGACCTTATTTACAAGAAGCCTCGCCAGAGGGTCAGGAGAACTTGCCACGAGTGCCAGACGCTCTTCACGGCTGGCAGCAAGACATGCTCCAAGTGCAACCACAACCGCTGCACCGACTGTCCCAGAGACCCGTATGTTGCTCCCTGCTGTGTGTGGGGACTAACCGCTAACCCTATATCAGGCCCAAGAAGGACAAGTATCCGTTTGGCTATCCTGGCGACGAATTTGGTCCAAATGCTGTGCCGCACCACGAGTGCCATCAGTGCAAGACGATATACCCTGGAGGTGTGGCTGACGGAACCGCATGCAAGAAATGTCAGCATGAGAAGTGTGTCGACTGTTCTCGTCTGAAGCCACGCAAGGTCGAACCTGAGCCAGACCCGGAGATACTCAAGAGCATACAGGCCAAGATCGAGAGTCTAAAACTCAAATAATGAGACAGCCAGCCATGACTTTTTACATCGTCGGACTTGATTAAGTCGGATTGAGGGCGGCCGGGCATAGCGGGGTGATGGATTTCGACTATCGATGTCTTTTGGGGTGCGAAAGCGAGCCCACGGCATTCTCCATTCATATTCACCTCTCCGCAGCACACACGTTCTCATCCGATTGGTTCATGTCGCACATGCATTCACCGTTTTTTTCTCCTTGCAACACTACGACACTACACGACTATCCATCATCATCATCATCATCATCTGCATCATATCATACCTTTGATTCCGCCGCTGCCATGTCCCTCTGCCTTGATCACCAATCAGAGGGATGACGAAGAACAAGAAGCTTTCACGCACCACGCGATCACGAACCAGCATTGTCTCGACCACCATAAAAGTACCGTTTACTGCCGAGCGAAATGATCTACACCTGCTGCATTCAACTAGCCCGTTTTGAAGAGAAAAAGAAGAGGAAAAGAGACGTAGAAGAGAGGAGACGTACCCTGACGCACCTGGATTGGGAGGAGGGGGTGGATCAGGCCATAATTGCGGAAGACGGGACGAATTGGGGTATGGCGGCTGGGAAAGAAGCAGAGGAGTTGCATTGCAGCGACAAAGAACAGAGCAGTACTAGGCGTACGGACCAGAACCGACAAGACGGGTCCAATCAAGGCGGGCGGACTAGCCTACCAGCGGAAAGCGAATTATTCTCCTTTCATCTCATCATCGTCACCTTCTTCCCATCTCTCACGAACCACCGTTTACTGCTACTACTACTACTACTACCACCACTACTTTGATCAAGGTATATCCAAAGGTTGGGTTTTTACAACCCCCAAAATTTGCTTTGGATAAGTTCATGTTCCTTTTCCTGTGTCATCGACGCCATTTCCCGACTCATTTGTCTTGAAATGTCCGCTACGTACTGATATCATCGGCCCGAATGTGAAGAGTGTTTCTACCCTCAAAGTTCTCAGAGACCAATCTCATCTGACCTTTGCTTGGTGATGTGGACGAGTGAGTCGATTATTTCCGACGATGTCACGTAGTGTAACGTAACTAGTGGATGTCTTACTTCCAAACTGTCAAGGGCCAAGAGTTGAGAAAAGCAAGGTTGGCAGAAAACGATGTTTGATTGAGTTGTTTGTTCCCATGGTACGCTACACAAGTTCAGCACAAACCCGACCATTGGGGGGGGAGAGGGGGAGGTGGAGGGAGCGGAGAAGGAAATTCACAATCCGCACACCCGGAAAGTCGGTCGGTAGGTGTGTCGTTGCGTACTACGGTATGGCACCGCGAGCCCGGGAGGTGGTGGTCGTGGTGGTGGTTGTTGAAAGGGGGTGGCGGAAGCGGGAAGCAGTCCATTGGGTGCGGGCGACATAGAATGGAGGGTGGGGGAGGGGTGTATGTGAGGTGGGTATTGGGTTGGTGGGCGGTGGGCGGTGTTGGACAGTGACGTTGGCGCTGTACTGGACAAGGGGGGAATCTCTCTCGGTCTTGGTGGAGAAGAAACAACGGTGTAAGGTTTGAAAGCCCACGGCGATTCCTTATTGTTACTATTTTTTGCCTTGGAAACGGGTTCCACCAACTTGGTTGGCTTTGCCACGGTGACTTTGCAGATGAAGACTGTTGGTTGGGGGGGTTTGTCGGTTGATCTACGACGTACTCGCCTTTCCCTCAGCGCAGCGGCATTGATATGTGTGTGTGCGTGTGTGTGTGTGTGGCTTCAGCCACCTAGCCGCCCTCCTTTACAAAAAGCCAAAATAAAATAGATTAAATGGTAAACCCGTAAATCCGTAACGTTCCTTCTAGCTTCCCTTCTAGAAAAGGGGCCGAGAACAAGGATGTCTGGGAAACGCTCACTGCCAGCTCTGGGTGCTTGATGGACAAGTTGGCTGGGACGAATAGGGGTCCTAGGAACGGAGTGACAGAGGGAGAGAGAGAGAGAGAGAATCCAACCTTGAGGTAACGGGCTTGCTGACGTGCGATTGGGGGCCACCGCTGCTGTCAGTTTCGTGTCTGCACGTTGTACGGTAATAGGTTGCAGAAGTTTTGTAGGTGTGTGTAGTGAAGTCAAGGTATCGAGTGGCGTTGCTTGGCTCCCCTCCCCTTTCGAACGTTCGGTCCTATCCGCGGGGTGGTGTTGTGGGTGAGCCCCCCCGCCCCGTGTGTGCGCGCGTCTTTTTCCGGTAGTTTGGGGGGATGGGAGTTCTGATGGATGGTTGGCTGGCACGGCTGGGAACGTAATCCCCTCTTCCATGGATGGTTCCACTCACTCGTTGATTATCAGAGTCATCTCGTGGGATGTCATAGGGTGAGATTCAATAAAGACTGTGTCTCGGGGAAAGAGTGAATGGCGGAGCCTGGAAGACGTGTGTGGCTGGGCTTTCTACGTTGATTGGATATACCCGTTATTTACTTTTAAAGATGGTGGCGTTCATTCATGGGTGTGGTACTGTTTTTGAAAAGCTGATATCTCGCAATGAAAGTCGTCGTGGAGGTTGCGGATGCCACTTTGGACATGTCACCTACCTATCTCGTCGACATATGCAGGGCAACCACTGCCTATTGAAGAGGAGTGAAGATGCTACCCGCCTGGGTGTGTCTCTCGTCGCCCGGCGTATCCGTCTTGGCTTGTTGTCCAAGGAGCATTGGCTGGGAGCTCAAATGGGATCATGCTCTAGCTCCCAGACTGGATGGTTCACATGAATATTCCAAGAAATGCAAGGCACGGTTGCATCGACTGGGAGACTCCAACAAGCCGGATGGGATGATCACATCAATACTTGACGGCGGCGTCTATGTAGTATGCATTCCTATTCTATACCTATTCTACACAGGGCTCTGATGCCTGCCTATCCTAACAAGCAAGGTACGATCTCATACTCTTTCGTCACCAGTGAGACACTTCTTTCTTCACCGGCATCTCAGGCGTCCCTCCTAGACCCCATCCTCATGCACGGATTGCTCAAACTGGATCACGCTGCCGGGAGGCAGGGCAGGCCCGATAGTCTCGACGCGGGTGCGCTTCTGGCCAATGTACGCCGTCTTGAACGTGTCGATGCGCTGGTTGAGCCGCTGCTGCACATCACGCACGATGCCCTGCTGCACTTCAGCAAAGGCCTTGACCTGCCCGTCGAGCAGGGGCAAGAGCTTGTGCGTGGGGTAGAATCGGCCCTTGAGGTCCGGTTCGCGCAGGACGGCGTTCTGCTTGAGCAGCACGCAGCGCCAGCGCTCGCTCGCGGCAAACTTATTGCGGAACGCCATCTCGTCGCGCAGCGGGCGCGGGAGCTTATCTTCGGGCACTGGCACGCCGCCCACGGGCTGGTTGTCGCCTGTGATGGGCTGGTAAATGTCCCCCTTGAAGAAGGCGTTGCCGGGTGAATCGATCGGCGCGGTGCAAATCTCACGGAGGCCGAGGAGTGCGTCGGGGAGATTCGCCGCCGCCGGGGGAACGCCTTGTTCGGCGGAAAGACGCACGCGGAGAACGTCACCAAGTTCGATTCGCTCGGCGCCGAGGAAGACACCGTGGTAGTCAATCTTCTTGCCCCCGTTTGTCTCGGAGAGGCGGCTGAAGACGGAGAATGATACGCCCACCTTCTGGGCGGCCATCTTGGAGGAGTCGAGCAGTGCAACTTCGCGGCGATGCGTATCTTCCGGAGTCAGCGTCTGGAAGAATGCGTCCCAGTTGACCTCGTCGTAGGCCTTGTTTTGCAGCTCTGGAATGCTGACATTGGGGACCGAAAATGCAAGGAACGGACGAGTTGTCGATTCCAGCGTCTGGATTGGCGACTGATTGAAGTTGACGTGAGACATTGGGAGGATCTGAAGCTCGGCTTTGTTGCTGTTGGGGTTGGCAATGCCTGTGGCAGCCACGATGCCCAAACGCCATCCCGACGACATCTGGAACCAGACCAGTTCTCCGACGCGGAACAGAGCTGGTGCTACTATTCCGCCATAAGGCTGGGGGTAAGGCAGAAACTGCGCTTGCTGATAGACTGGCTGTGCCGGCGGTTGTACCTGGGGTTGGATCTGCTGTTGAGTCTGAGCCGGAGCTGGTGCAGGTTGTTGCGGGACTTGTTGTTGAACAGGCTGCTGGACTTGAGATTGCATGGGAACCTGTGATGGGGCCTGTGCTTGCCCATGAGCAGGAGGTGCCTGATTCGGTTGAGGAGTGTGCTGCTGATGCTGCTGCTGCTGTACGGTAGGCTGTATCTGAACTGGTGCTTGCGCCGGGGCGAGGGCGGGTACCGCGCGTGAGGGTATCGTCGGTATCGGGACTGGAGTCTCCTTCTTCGCCATTGGAGGGGGCACTGGCACGGGTGTTTCCTTCTTCGCAATAGGAGGTGTTGTCGCGGTTGCAGGGACGAGGACCGGGGACGCCGCTGCGCCAGGGGGTATCTGAGGTGTGATTTTGCGCATCTTCGACGGAGGTTGAGTGTTGTTCGGTGGTGGCAGAGGTCGTGGGGTATCCGACACCGTCAAATCTTCCATGTTGGGCATTTCGCGAACGTTGCAGTGAATACAGCGGCAATCAGCTCGGTCCATCGAGCCCGAGAGGAGCCACAGCACATGAAGACCGAATTCTTGCGGGCTCTTGTACAGTTTCGCCTTTACTGGGTGTCCAGAAACCCAAAGATGCTTGGATTTTTCATACAGCCAGTAGCCCCGTGGAAAGTTCATGAGCCACGGAAGACCTTCTATGAGGGATGTCAGACAACGTGCCACTAACCAGGCGCGGATGGTCTCCTTACCTGTTGGAGAGAGTTCTTGCTTCAGCAAGATCCCCAGCTTTATGCGCCACTCTTGAAATCTTGCATCATCTTTGTCTAACCGCGCCATTTGAGGTTTCGCTCTTGGTACCTTCTCCAGTGCCGTCTTCTTCGCGTTCTTCGCAGCCGTGTCGGCAGGGGTTGGCCAATACCCCGGCCCATTGTCCTGACCGTCACTCCGACACACGTTGATTACCGCGTACTCTACTAGATCTGACATTCTGGATCGCTGTCAGAACTCGACGGGAGTGAGATTTGCGCCGGAGTCGAATGAGGGCTCCGATGAGATGAATGGCCGCCTCAGGCCTCAAGCAGCAGACCTCGAGCCTCCAGAGGCAGCCTGCCAGTAACTCTGTGCGTCAACTCGATCAGAGTTCAATAGCTGAGATGGCCCAAGAATAAGCTGGATGCGCTAGCACATCCTGCGCTTCTGTTGATGAACTCCGTCGCAAGCTGTGAAGTGGATCTGGTGTCGTGGTGGGTTCACTGTTAGATGCTGCTCAGGACAGTAATTACAGGCTCAGACTAGCCTATCGATGCAAGTCGAACCCCAGATGGTGTCAGAAAAATTCTCGGTGGTACCCAGTCACGAGCAGAGTGCAATTATCCACTGTTTGTCGCAAGTATTTGTTTGTCATGGAGTAGAGCAGTCCGAAGTTGAAAGAGGTTGAATGTTGATGGAGCTCGGAGGTGGACGTGCACCGCGCTTGTCGTCTTAGTCAGCAGGCCCGCTTTACGAGGAAGGTACCGCGATGGGTCCCGTCCCTTCGCCTAATCCAGCCTCCCGTCTTCCAGAAACGACATGGCCGCTGCGGGGAAACCTTTCACCATGTTGCCGGCTTCAATTGGGCGTGTTGTCCTCTTGAAAGGGTACTGTGAGGATCTCCGGGTTGAATTTAACCTTGTAAAGCCCGGTTCAATTCGCTATGTATGGCTTACTGGTACTCTGTCTCACGCTATTTGCCGTGTTCCCTTGGTACGGCAGTGCTCACCACAGCAAAGCCACGGGGGCCAGTGTAATATACTGCCTACAGCCAACAATATTTAATGAATTAGGCGTTACCACTGCATTCAATTGCAGGTCAACCGACGTTGAATCCATATTAAGAGTGTTTCAGAGGGAATCGACAGAGCCCGGGGAGGTTTTCGCCTACAACAGGAGACCTATATCTTCTGAACTTACAAGCATGTCGTGCAACCTGTATGTCTCTGACTTTTCCTCGACCAAAAATTGGGTTTCTCCCCGATATATCATTGTTGTGTTAAACATTATCTGACTGACATGATAATGAGATTTATGAGAACATTCTGCTACTCGAGTTGAGTGTTCCCCTGGGCCTCCGAGAGCAGGGCCTCCGAGAGCAGAAGAACCCGTTTCCACCCACTGCATGACCCGGAAATCAATTGACAATTTTCTCTCAGCACAAAATGAATGACAACATAGGCACAAGAAAATTTTGCTGACAACATTGGGGGAATAGAGTATAAGGTGATGGCTTCAGGTCGACGAAACGCCACCAACTGAATCTCCGCGCTCTGGCGTGGTGGTGATTTGAACAACGGATGGTCCACGGCACAAGGGACTGCACCCAAGAGACATAAGGATTATAGAAAATCTTGTACTGGTGGATTGTAGTTTACAAGGTCTTGTTCCCTTCGAATCATTGTTCCTGAACACAAAGATATCCTCTGGCATTTACCCTGCAATGTAATGCCACCTGTACGTCTTATTTGGGTGAAGGAGCGAGTTCTCGCTCACTTGTTCTCGATAGATGTCATCACTGTCGAGTATGTCGTCTAGAGCGACAGATGTATCGTCACAAAGAGTGAGCGGATAGTCGTCATTCGGCCCTGTCTGGGGACGCCATATGACATTAGGCCTGCCGTCAGCAGCCACTCACTGACATCCACACAAGGAGCCTGATGGATACTGCCGGATTTGGACGCTACGTACTTCAGATTGTCATACTCTCTACCTTCCAAAAACTCCAATTGATCCGGGAATAACGTTTGCAATTATATCGCTACGCCCCGAATTGAGAAGTCGCAATGCAGACGCGGGGTGGGCTGTTAACTAGAGACGAGATGAGCAGGGCCACGGAGTCGAACAGGAAATCGAGGATCTGTTTTACGGACCTGAAACCTAGTTGAGAATCCGCTGTCAGGATTCGACCTAGCGCAGCCATAAATTATGAAACTCTGACCGTTAGACTCATGGCGTCGATCCGCTCTTATTCTGGGAAGTGTATATAGAGAAGAGCTTCGGCCTCTGCGAAGTATACACCTTCGACTTCGTGTGGCCGTACGAGAATGTCCTCCGGAAATACTGCGGATGAAGAGGTCAGGACACAAAATCCGTGCACAAAGAAATCGAAAGACTCATGGGAGCTTATCCGGGCTGGAGATATGGTTAGTCTGCGGGCTGCCATCTTTAGGGTCAAAGTCTGCGTTGTATGGTTTCTCCCTCTTATAAAGAGGATCTTTGTGAATATAGGGCAGTTCAGCAACGAAGTCTTTGGTTGAATCCATCTTGTCGACACATCCACATCCATGATTAAACTTCGCCGTTGCTCATGGTCTATTCCACTCCTGAGAGTATTTCGCTGATCTGAGGCTCTTGAAGATACCAAAGATGCGAGGGCGTACTTTTTTGGACGGACAACCTCGGAAGTAGTGATGTGGAATTTACAGACTGCTTGTCAAACCACACTTTGGTATAGACAGAAACCAATCATCGCTGATCATGCCAATATTTTCCAACACCGAGGCGACTACCAAGGCGGCCAGATAGCCCACCTCACGCTCTCAGCCGTTGGTAGCCGATCAGGGGATCCGCCCTCAACTCAGAATCCGGGGTAACATTGCACATGATGGAGGAGAGTAGAGATCCACTTGAATAAAATAAATGTTCGGCTGACACTCACTCTTTCTCAGGCTATGAATATTGTGCCTATGAAGGGGAGGAGCATCTCTTGGTAAATCGTCCAATGCGACGACCGGCCTCCACCTTTCACAACACCAAAGAGACTACCTGTTGAAACTCGCGTCAAGAAAATAATTTAAATCGATAAACTATACCAGTTAGTTCGTTAAATTCTGAAAACTCGACCCAGCGGCAACGGGCAAGATGAATATCAACAATAACGACGAAACTTCTCGAGGCCAAGAGCTGGAAACACGGGCTCAACCATGGAAGAAATGGTTCATTCCCGAGAAACCAGTGTCGACAGACTATGGTCAGAAACCGGTCGTTCTCAGCTCCGGCGACGGCCAGGGAAGCCTTCCTACTCCTCTACGCGATACCGACCTCAGCCAGCCCAAGCCAAGGGTTGAACTTGACGCAAAGCATTTGGCCAAGTCGGAATATCCTTCAATTGGCGGCCACTGAAGAAAATTTTGGTGCATATAACACCTGGTGATGGCAGATATTGTATTCCTCTTCTTATGAGATAGTGTATGCTGGGAAAACAACGGCTTTTTTCGAGACAACAATTATATTTTAGCTGGACTTACCGCTTTCATACAATAAAATACATTACCCAAGTACAAGTCATCAATATTGACCTCAACGAGTTATTCCTTGCAAATCCTACATAGATCAAAGAATTCTACAATTAGAGCTCTGCTTTAACATGATGAGAATTGCTGGCCCAAACCACGTAGTGTGGCGCCTCGAGTGGGGGCTCAATTGTCTTCTTCTGTGCTCAACATAATATATTGGGCGGGAATAGAAAGCCTCCACTACAGCTCTGTGAGCTACAAGTCATTGTTCCAGTTGCGAGAGAGCATGCCTTTGCCGTTCTACATTTGGTCAAATTGGACAGACTTCTGTTGCAGCGGTCAGCTTTGATTCTTTGTTCTTCGTGTCATTCTTCAGGATTATGTAGTTTGGCCGAAACAAATTTAAATGGGGGAAAGAGGGACGCCTAGTATCTGCTCAAAGAGGAGTTCATGTAAGCTCATCGTTAGGCTATGGGCCGAGTCACAGAAACTTTGAGTTCAGCGGTGCTGGTCGAGAAGACAATCCAAAGGCTGGCTAAACCATTGCGATGAGATCTTAGGACAGGAATCAGAGTTCGACACTCGGCAAAATGTGAGAGATGTTATCAAAGCCAGCCCCTGAGTCTCGAACAAGGGCTAATTAGTTCAAAGGCGCGTGGTATCCTCCACAGTGGTGTATACTACTAGCCATTTGCATACTGTCAGAGTGACTCCGGTGCTGAGATCCCGAGACATATCGGCACCTCAACCTTTTGCTGTACCCAATTCCTCTCAACCAGCCGATTCTCCTCGCGTAATTTACGCAGAGAAGCCGATTAACTTCAAGGAATGTATTGCATTGTTTACCCAAGCGAAGCCTTCTTACTGTACGGACGAAAAGACACAGCGTCGTCAGACGCCGGGAAGTGCTGGGATTGCATACACGTACGTTGGACGCAGGCTGTGATGCATTCCCAAACCATTGGCGGCAAACGACCACCTCTTGTCAAACAAGAAAGCCCGATTGGACGTATAGAGCTGCTGTGATACCCCGGAGCTGTACTTCGGAAGCCCAAGAGAACGCAGCCGAGACAAGAGAGTTGCAAGCGCCTATTGCTGCGTACCGCTTTCTATCCAACTGCCGCTGTCTCCTTCTTGTGGACGGCCGGGAACGCCTAGCTCGCGGCCTTGATAAAGCAAGCGCCATATTCTTGGCTCACGAGTTTTAGAAGTCGGGCACAAATTCAAAGAGAAAAGCACGGCGGTTCTTTTCCCAGAAAGTGGATAGCTTTTTTTCGCTTTCAGTCAATTAGAGATGAGTGGTACATACTCTTGGCTTTGAGGAGACATCCCATTTCATGTCTTGAGGTATGTACTGTTCGTAGTATATGTCACTTCTGTCCCCCTTGCCTTGCGAGCAAAGGTATTTTCGGGAGCTATCAGGCATACACTGTGAGAGGAAATATAATGTAGGTGCCGCATCGATGTTTGGGCTTTGTTTAGACCACAAGGTATTGATAATATCAAGGAAGAAGCCGCAGACAGTTTTCACTCTCATCTGGATTTTGCCACAGTCTGAGTCGCGCACAAAAGCTGACTTGGAGCCGCAAGGCCAAGGGCTTGACAAACCTGAAGCATCGTCCTCGTCAACATAACGTTTAAAAACCTCGGAGGCCATCTTTGGTCTTTCAAGAAAAGATCTTGACAGGTTTCCTAGTATTCCCGCGTACTAGGATTACATAGAATCCCAAGCCACATCCCTTACGGACTCGGTTTTCATGCTCTCATGGTCGCCTTTATCACATCCAACGGCAGGAACAGTAGAAGAGTGTTGGAAGTTCCTACATGGAGTAGCTGCAATCTTCAAGTCAGAAGAGGGAGAGATTAGTATTGAGGATTTGAAAAACCATGTCGTATCGCCAAAGGAGAAATCGAAAGGGGCTGGGGACTCTTACATATTGACAGCTGTCTTCGCTGAAGTGTGCTGGTTGACAATGACGCTTCAACCGTGGCTGGACCTGCAACCGTCTGGAGGCCAAGTCTCTCTTGCTTGTAGATTTCAAAGCTTGGCTGGTGGCCCAAGTTCGCAAAGACAAAATCGTCGGACACAATTTGAGGGAGGCAAAGCGGCCAATCAGAAGAGTATTCGAGCTATTCAGTCGCAATGCGTGGGACGATCGACCTCCCAGCGCAGAATCTTCGACTGACGAGAATGATAATCTATAAGAAGGTAGTCTGAATCTTGAAGTTTTGCGATTCGGGCGGATCAAAATCGAGTGGGTAGAAACGCTGAGTGAACATTTCAAGTTCGACCCGGTGAGCCGGCGTCATTGCATTTTCCGGTTCCCATTCTGCGTCTTATCAGCTTTGCGAAAAGAGACACTTCCCCTTCTTGACAGGTCGGTACGCCCCCATGGATTCATTTACAAATTGCCCTGCTGAAGACATGATGGACCAGCATCAACGAAGGCTTCATGCCGACTTCTACGGTGAATCGATACCAGAACTATGTCACTTTGGAGCAGGAGGTCATGGTCTCGTATCGCCTCCTCTCTGGACAGAGCGTTCATTCGAGGAAGCTGATCAGATCGGACCTCGTCAAGCTCAAGCACGACGGCCGGCCCTTTGACGACCTGCTACGCACACTTTGCGGTCCGAAGAAGGAAGTGGACACGCTACTGCCCGAGATCTGGCCAGAGGGGTGGATGGACATCGAGCGAGACACCCTCTTGGAGAGCGACGTCTACAGCGCCCAGAGTGACTTTCCGCGACTGGGCTATCGCCTTATCAGTCTCTAGAGATGCAGCCTGCGCCAAAAGCCCAGCCGGTTGAAGGACCTGTGGAGGGACCGCAGGAATCCCCTGGAGTAGTATACCTTTCTGGCAGTCCTGTGGATGGGAGGTGCTGCTACTGTACTGGCCATTTCACAAACGGTCCTGGCAGAAATTCAAGTTGCCAAGTCGTGAGAGACCACACGGCGCATCTCAAAGCCATAGTTTGATTGTATAGTAAACTTGAGAGCGAGAGTGGATAGAAAAAGTGCGAGACAGCTTTCGGCATAAACCTCTTTCACGGAGGAGGATTTCGCTTCCCAGGGCTTTGACCATCACTGCTTCTAAAGGGCCTCTCCGGGTAGGTATCAATGTTTTGTAGACTCTGTTGAAAAACCGAATACATCAACGCTCCTGTGAGGCAAGAGGAACTTGAAGAATATTTCGAGGTTAGATTGGGCGGAGAGAGTTTCCTGATCTTAGCATTACTGCCCAGCCTGTGGCACTGCGTCTGTCAGAAACATACTAGCGTTTGAAAAATATCTGGCCAAAGACACGAAGAAACATTTGGTTGCCCCAAAAACTTTGTAAAGGAAAAGTTCCTGATGACGGGGAGTGAGATCATATAAGGTCACAGCTTCAGTGGTGGTAACCCGGGTGTCGGGAAGACGATGTCAAAAGCTGGTCAGACCACCGAGATCGGAGGATAGGATGACGATCCCCGTTCGGTAGTTTGAAGGTTTTGAAATCACCTTAATGATGCAAGTGTCTCTCACAATAAACTCTGCCGACTCAAGGGAGTCTAAACGGAGGGAACTCTGACTCAAGGCGGCAAGCTTTGCATTTGACAGCCTTCGGACAAACCATAGATCTGAGTCAAGGACCGAGACACCTCCATCGTACAGGGCTCGCGGGCATTTCCTGAACGCTAAAAAATGCCACAGATAACGACACAACGTGGAAGACTACGGCTTGAATAATTGGCGGGATACTTGACTCGCGAGAGACAGGCTGCTCTGCCCGACGTCGCTCGGTCGCCTCGACGTATGCAGGGGTGGGGGTATTTGAAATTGGTCATGTTCTTGTGTAAATGTGGCTGGGGTTGCATTGAATCCGGCGCCGTCCTTGAGTAAGAATGGCTGGCGAGAAGGCTCTGATCTTCAGTCACCAGCATAGTGGACGGCATCTTGCGATAGGTGATTCAACACGGGCCTCGACCCAAGTGGTATCATTTTGATCATAACTCGTGAACTACTGTTTCGGGTACAAATACAAATTTACAGGTTTCGCAGGCCCATCAGACGCCTCAGACGTATCAGAGCCAACAAGGGGCCACCGGTCGTCCTCGGCGACCTTTCTCGACCCATCGATATTCAACTCCCTCAGCTGAATCCCATTCCCATCGGCCGTGGGTGTGTACAGACCGGCGTTGTCCACAACATACGGCGTCAAGGAAATTCGTGGCGGATACGTTATGCTCTTCCTCCTCGCAGAAAACGCTTGCGACATTCGGGTGCGAGTATTGCGTCGTTGCGCCTGGTTGCTCGTCCTCCTACTCTTCTCGCGGAGCCACCTCGGAATGAGCCGTGCCACCAGATAATCTCGAAACGTCTTGGTTGTGCCAAAAACGACAAATGTCAGCAGGCTAGCGGACACACCGGGCAGAAAAAGTATGAGATCCAGATGCAGTCGTTCCGTGCTGAGGTCCGGGCTCTTGCTCGCAGAGTCGCGGGAAATTTGTTTTGCGGCCGAAACTTGAAACAGAATGGTGACGACCTGAAAGATGCTTTTGAGAGAACCTCTTGTTAGCTCGTGACCCATACTACAGACTTTGAGGCTTGGGACCTTTTGGAGGCTGCACTTACGCTAACGCAACGAAAGCTATGCTGAACCGTACTACTAGCCATCTGTCGTAGATGCTTCGGCGGTGGGTTTCCCTTCCGCTATCAAAGACGAGCGTGTCACTGCTCTTCGTGCTGTTCGAGCGTTGACCGTATTGAACTTTCCAAGAAAGAAGGTTTCGGCGCGTGTGGACGTATTTGACCAAGATGACGATGAGCAGAATTCCGCTGCCGCTCAGACAGAAACCCACTGCACAAGCGGTTAAATAAATTTCATGTGGAATCGGAGATCGAGACTTACTGATACCATCAGCCAAGACCAGGAAGGGTACTGTCTGCTTCTGGACAACCTCGAGTCGCAGGATCCCCATCAAAATCGCCGGCAGCAAAACAGCCGTAGCTTTGGCAATATAGTTCGCTCGTTTGCGGGTGGACTTGACGACGGGCTCCAACTGAAAGATAGACTGAGTAAGAGCGAGAGCCCAAAAGAAGGTCAGGACTGCTTCAACGTTGTAGCTGTAGAATTCTGCAGGAATGTCAGACAAAGGCTTGGTTGGAAGTTGCTGAAGAGAAAGATCTCACGAATGTAGAAAAGCACAAGGTCAAGACCAGTTGCCTGGCCGGCGATGGCAAGTTCAGGATTGCCAACATGGGCGGTCAAGTGCTCGAACTGTGCAAGCTTGATATCTCTCCATCGTACAATCGTGTGAATTTGCTGGGCGACAGAAGCGGCCGTCGACAAGCCTGTGAGATATGATACCAGAGCGACATCTGTTTATGAGGCTGGACGTCAGTTTCTGAGCCACCTTCTGGATCCATAACCGTAGCTACTTACAGCTGAGGCCTTCACGATGGGCATACACCAGCCATGCCATGACAATACTACATGCTAGGCAGAACAAGGAGTAGACGAGCACTCCTATAGCTGTGCCTAGCTCTTCTTGAGGCAGCTGAACAGCCATATGACCCCTTTAGATATTGGCCCAGTAGGCCAGACATGAATACGGAGCTGTTGACGACAGGCAGGGAACAAGGTGACGGGGGACGGAGAGAAAGAAGAGGTAAAGAACTGGGGAGCATACAACGGCATGGCCATGTTTATCATGCGGTCCTGGGATCGATCTGCCCCCTGCGATCGGCGCAAGGTTGTCTCCCCGGACTCGACTGTAGAGTAATGGAAAGTGAACCCAAGATCGGTAGGCATGGAAATAAACGCCGAACCTTGTTCGGTGCTCTCAACAGCATGAGGAGTGCGACCCAGGCGCAGCGGTAAAATGACGAGATGGGACTTCCCAGCATTCCAGAGGCAAGGCAAGGGACTTTGGGCCGAACTACGACCCCAAGCCCCCCCTACAACGTGAGCGAGTAGCCGGCGGGCTAGAATTGTCTTGGCTGGAGATTCTACAAGGGAGGGGGTGGTGGGGCCGCTTCGGATGGTTATGAAGAGTTTTACCTTGTTGTAGGGCGGGCAACATGGGTTGAAACACTATAGTGTGCGAGGGCGATCTCCAGATCAATATTACACTCAGTTTGAATGACTTCGGAGGCTGTCCATTGAGCAATGTCATGGCGAGACGGATGACATTACGACGGCATTCTAGCCCGCTTCTTGGTGCGATTCTGGCGGCATCCTGCCGACGACAGAACTCGGTGGCTGCCCGGCCTCAAATGACAACGTTGAACGCCACCATCCGTCTCATAGAAGACATCACTAGTTTGCGTGGGTTAGGCCGAAGCAGCAGTGCGCAAGCGTCGTCGCAACTTGCTGCGGAACACTAGTCCATAGGCCGACAAGTATCGAACTAAGGACTGCTAGAGGTTAAGTGGTATTGTAACGTACGAGTTTGACCAAACTCTCCACCTCCCACATTAAGATCAACCACGCTCGTCGCTGGAGTCGGAGGCAAAGATGGCTCGAAACACGTCTGGTAAGTGGAGGCGCGTCCTCGACGACAGATTCGCTGGCCGACTGAGGGTGTGTGGACGGACGGACGCCGCGGAGGGTCTCCCGGACCAGCGACAGCCCGGCAGAGGCGATCGGACCGAAGGGGCAACAGACGGCAACCTTCAACAATGCGCAATGCGACGCAATTGGGTTTGGGGCTGCGCTGTTGTCAGTTGCAATATGAAGTCAGCCGGTAATCGAAGACGCTGCTCCATTCCAGAAGCAAATAACCTCCAACGAGAAGGTCTGAACATGTCAGAGTTTCGGCCAGTTCAATACGATGCTCATCAAATCATCTCATTGTTGAGCTGAGTTCGATGGCAGGGGAGCATGCCGTCTACCGAGTGCTCGGTGCCTGGGCTCGTGAAGGGTACAGGGTCATCCATGATGCCGATTCGAGCTAGTGGTTTTGTGTTAACTTTGGTCCTCCTGAGTCAGGAATTCAAATCGGCACGAAAAGCCACTCAAACTACTGCCCAATCTAGCCCGAGCGACGGACATGGCTTCGGGTGTTGGACCCAAGAAGGCAAGCTAAGGATTTCTAGTCCTAACCAAAAAGCAGGGTTTGTCACGGAGGCACAGATTGATGGGATGAAAAGGCCAACGGCGTTTGGCGTGGTGTCAATCCTGCCATTCCTGCTAGATGGAAGGCTGCTGAAGGTCTGCCGCGACGCAACCCTGGACCCGAGGCATGTCGAATCTGCATAACGGTCGGACCACACCCACGTGCTGTTGAGCGAGCCGGGTCTAATCAGAGCGAGTGCGAGGCTGTCAAGACTGGAACCCTTTGGACCAGAGGATGTGACTATGATCGGCAGTCGCAACAAAGTGCCGTGTCGTCGGCATGTGGCGCCTTGCAAGCTTGTAGTGTAGGCGCAAGGTTTGCTGGAATGGATTTCAGCTGCCCAAGTGAGCCATGCCCTCTTGCTCACAAGTTACTGCCCAGCAAGAGGGCACGGAGGGTTAGTGTTCAGGGGTTGACCGATCCGGAACTCCACCCGGAGCGAGGATCCAGATCCAGACCCAGAGCTGCCGAGAGGCCCTGCCCGCTGGCCGACGCACAGTGCAATTTGAGAGGGTGAGGGAGATCTCATTCCAGGAGATGGAAATTCTCCGGCGAAGTGCCCCCCTCTTACAGAGCACTCCAGCCACAACGTGGCTCGCACCTCAAATGCACCCCACTTACCGTGGGTGCTTGGGCGGTGGGGTCCAAGGAGCTCTCTGCCTTCAATTTAATCCTGCGCATGCGATACGCGTCCAATGCGCGTCAAAAGTCCCCCTCGAAAACCTCACCGACTTGCGAAGACCCCTAGTACAGCCCAACTACGGCCGTTACGCCAAAATCAACATAGCTCGGACACCCCTCATGCCATTTGTCCAAAGCCCCGGATACATTGTTCAGTCTAAAGCCTTACCACACCACAATGAACATCGTTCGAGAACACTACAATGATGGTAATCGTGCCTTCCTTCAGGCCTTCCTGGCGCGGGGCACCCTCACATTCGAAGACGCACAACCTATCCTGGCCGGTATCTTTACCATCGAAGCCGAAGATGGCGAGCCCGTCGCTGCCGACCAGGTCACAGCGGAGGACTTCGACTCCTACCTGGAAGCCGCAGCCGAAGGCGTCTCGTTCTTCGACTACGAAATACGAAGCACGATCCACCAAGTCACCAAGAAACGTGTCTACGCTCTCGTGAACACGACCTCAGACCCTATGACACAGCTCGCGACCACATACAATGCCGAGCAGATTGCTTTCACCAAGAGACTCCTAGACGCCATGTTCGAGACGTACAACTCCCCGCGCATGGAGCTGATGAGCATCACGGAGATGCAGGCTATCAAGCTTGCCCGCCCTCCACGACAAAACAACAATAATAATGACGAGAACGGGGAACCCACGCAGACTCAATCTTCCACGGATAAGGGACTTAAGCATAGCGAAGTGGAAGACATGTTGGCAAATCTGGTGAATCAGGGCTGGCTAGAGAAGTCCAAGGATGGGTTCTACAGCCTCAGCCCGAGAGCACTGCTCGAACTCAGGGCATGGCTGATCGACTCATACAACGACCCCGACGCGGCCGCGCAAGATTGGCAGCGCATCAAGTTCTGCGAGGCATGCAGGGAGATCGTCACAGTCGGACAGAGGTGCGCGGAACGAGACTGCAATGCGCGCCTACACAACACCTGCCAAGAAGCGTACTGGCGCACCCAGCGGAGTCACAAGTGCCCCAGGTGTTCAAAGGATTGGGATGGGGAGCATTATGTGGGAGAGCAGGCAATGACTAGCACAGAGGCGTACCAAAGGGGCCATCGGAAGAGTGGTGGGGGCAGAAAGAGCAACGCCGCAGACGGAGCCACGCACGAAAACGGGGAAGAGGAAGAAGACGAGGATGAGGCATGATTAAGCATAGAAAAAGATGTGGAAGCTCGACCCCTGGATGCTATGGGCAGTTTCCACGAAAGATACCCCATGATGGCGGCTAGTCCAGCCGACCACTCAATATACCGATAGCATATTACATATCGCCCTGGACAGCTGTCAGAGGAGACTGGATGAGCCGCAATGCTCTTAGAGGTTCTTCACTTCTCCATACTAGCCCCAACAAAAAGAGACGAAAGTTGGACCCTGGAGCGGCCTCCGATGTGGCGGTGCACTGTAGGTGGATACCCGGATCCAGTTGCCGGTTCGCTTAAGAGCGGTTGTTTGAGGTTGCGCCGGAGGGATCCAATGGAGGTGCATAAATGATCACCGGGTGACATCACATGTGGCTGTGCAAGCTACCCCAACTTGCCCGCCCAACCTATCCTGTGGCTAACACCTGAGTTCGAACGACATGACGCCCGCATCTCAGAGAGCAGGGCCCTGGCCCAGACCCAGACCGCATGTGATTCAGACTTAGAAGCGCTTGGCCGTTGGAACAAAATAAACCGGTTCCGACCGCCTCATTACAACGCTTTTGCATTTACGTCTGCAGGAAACTACCCTTTCTGCGCCGTGAATCTTTGACAGCAACTCCTGATCACGACTTCGGCTCACCTACACGCCAGCTTGGACTCTGACGTTCTCTCACGGTCTCTCGCCAGAGAAACCACCGCCTTCGTTCGCCCAAGATGCTGGAATACCTGAGCTACAAGAAGTTCAAAAAGTACAAGACAGAAAAGGAGGCAAAGGAGGCAGCGTCAGCAGCAGCAGTAGAAGGCGAGCGCGAACACAACAACGGGTCGCCAGCAGCAACAGCAGGAACACTCCACCCAGACTCGCGACCATCGCCTACGCGGCGCCAGACGAGCTCGCAGTCCGTCTCGACGACAGCAAGCGCAGCGACCGGAGGCGGGCCCGCACCCCTCCTGAACCGCAAAGATGAGGCTTTCTTCAGACGCATCCTCGCCGATGCCCACGAGGTCGACTCGGACGACGAGAGCGTCCGGCCCGCCCTACCCCCGCGCAGTAAGACACCAGAGTACACCTGGGAAGACTCGTCCGAGTCCCGGCGCGCCACCGCCGCCGAACCCTCGCAGACTCCCAAAAAGGCCGCCACGGTGGCGGTAGACCCCAAAGCAGACGCCGCCTCGGGTAGCTCCAAGATCCCCAGCAGGATCGCCTTCCTCTTCAACAAGGCCAAAGGCACCGCCGGAGACAAGGATAAGCAACTCGCCCCGACAAAGGCCGTCCCCGCACAGGAAGCCGCCCGCGAAGAAGACGACCTCTCCCGCGTGCTCGACGACCTGAACCTCTCAGCGCGCAACAACAAGGCCGTCCCCCTATCCGCAGAATCCTCCGAGCTCGTCTCGAAATTCACCCTCGTCCTAAAGGACCTCGTCAACGGCGTCCCCACCGCGGTAGACGACCTCAAATCCCTCGTCGAGGACCGCGACGGCACCCTCGCCAAGACCTTTGACAAGCTCCCCAACAGCATGAAGAAGCTCGTCACGCAGCTTCCCGACAAGTTCACCGCCAGCCTGGGCCCCGAGGTCCTCGCGGCCGCGGCCAAGAGCCAGGGCATCCACCACGCAGAGTTCGCGGCCGAGGAAGGGATCAAGGGCGCCGCGAAAAAAATGTTCACGCCAACCAGCTTCGCGGACCTCGTCACCAAGCCCGGCGCCGTCGTGGGCATGCTCAAGGCCATCGTCAACGCCCTCAAGCTGCGGTGGCCTGCCTTCATCGGCGCCAACGTCATCTGGAGCGTGTCTATATTCCGTAAGTCGTTTGCTTTCCACATCCCATAGCCAAACCTCTAGTCAAAGTACAATGCGCTAACATGACTTACCAAGTTCTCCTTTTCGTAATGTGGTACTGCCACAAGCGCGGCCGCGAAGAGCGCATCAAGCGCGAGAACGCACCCGAGATTGTGGACGGCAGCGGCCGCATCGAGGAGCTCCCAGATGACCCGGCGCTCCCGGGCCCGTCGCGCTCGCGTACAGAGCCGCTCCGGTCAGATCGCCCGCGGAGCCAGCGCAGCGAACGCAGCCGGCGGAGCGGTAGACACAGCTCGGGAAGGACGACGCCTCAGCGACGGGCGTCGCCAGACCCCGATTCCCCGAGGAGGACGTCGACAAGGAAGTAAAAGGCTTTTTTTGCGCATGCTCTGATAGTTGAGCTTCTTGTTTCTTGACGTCTATTTAATGACCCTTACGCCTGCGTCTCCTTACCTAGGTACTTTGCGACGAACGACCGGAACGACAACATGAATGAATGGGCAGGCACAGGATGATGACCACGGGATGTGTGGACTGAATTGATTCATTGCTCGTTTATACTCGCCTGATCTGGACTCCTCTTGATGAAGTCTTTCTTATCCTCTGGAAAATCAGAGGCCTGTACGTAGCAAGCAGTTTTCTCCATGCTGCTCCTCTCCCTTGATAGTATAATGTACAGATATGAATTGGAATGCAAAGGACTTCTTAATAGCGAAGTCTGGGTATCTCCGAAGCAAAATTTGCCTAGTGTCTCGATGCGCTTCTGTCGCCCCTTTCAGTCGTCCTGGACCAACTCCTTAATCTCCTCACGTCCACCAGCCGCAAGACTACCCGTCTGGCCGGCCTTCTCGCCCTGACCGAATCGATCAATGACCTTGCAGCCATCCTGGATCCAGAAGTCGACCTCGTCAATGATGTCGTAGACAATATCCTCAACAATTTGCTCCGTATATCGCTCCGACATGGGCCGGACCTGATCCAAGCTAGGGTACGCGGGCTCCGACGGCTTCTTGGGCTCTTCCTGTCCAGCGTCGATCATGGAGACCTCATTGTCGGGACTCTCTTCCAGTCCGGGAGGTGGGAACCAGAAGTCAGGGCCGAAGTTGACCTCAGCAGCACCGCCCCTGTAGACGCTCACAGCGGGATAGTAGCCGAGCATGCCGTTGTCAAGGCCCTCGCGAGCACCGATTTGGCCCTGCGGTTTGGAGGCCGGGGGGAGGAAGGCGAGGAGGTCGGTGAACGGGGTGCCCATCAGAACGCCGTTCTTGTACACCTTGATGAAGGAGCCTGGAAGTGTGCGGAGGGCTGGGACCGGGTGATTAGGGTTAGGCGCCTCGATCGAGTTGGCAGGGCCGGAGGAGACTGGCGAGGGGTTCATGAGGTCCTCCAGCTCCTTGGTTGTGTGGTAGTCAATCTTCTCAAAGTATATGTGCGACTTGAAGCGGATGGGAATACGATCGCGAACAATGTTTGGCGCATCAAAGTTCGTGCTGTCATCGTCTAAGCCGGTATCAACGGCCGGGTTGTACTGGCCAGCAAGGACCTTGCGCTGCAAGCGTTCCGAAGGTAGCTGGATCTCCAGGCCGATGACATCGCCTTCACGGATGCCCTCTCCTTCGGGGAAGAAGGGTTTGGGTCGCGACATGTACACCTTCTCGCCGCCAACGTCACGGAAACCATAACTGTAGGCATCGAACCCAACTGGCGCATCCAACGTCGCCTCTCTTCTCGCGAAACCCATGCGCACGTGGCCATGCGACTCGGGCTTCTCGTCTCCGCTCTTGTTGTCGACAATTCCTCTCGTAATTTTAGTCTCCCAGTAGAATCGCCCCTCTCGGATAGCGACATTGGCACGCGTCATGCGAAAGCCCTTGTTCGTCGTGATATGGAGGCCCGTCCGATCAAAGAACAGGTGGGTTGCGCTGTCCTCGAAGCTGAGATGAGGTCCGGTGGGCTCTGCCTCGGTACCACGGTAGTATAATGACGAAGGGAAACCGGGATCGGCGATACAGTGAGTGTAGTGGTAGCTTTTCTTGTTGTGAACACTTTTGCCTCGTTAGTATTTTTAGTCAGGCGCATAAAGGTGTCAGTAGACTCACTGCTCCGAGGTTTCGCAGAACTGAATCTCGGTTCCGTCCAAGGCAGGGAAGTTGTGGTGGGGATTGAAGCTGGCTCCACGAGCAGGTTCAAAGTCGGAAGGCTTGGGAGGCGCCAGCTTGTAGCGCATCGGACTGTAGTCGGACTGCTTAGGTTCGCGATGCTTGGGGTCCGGCGTGCCGCGGTTGCTGTCGCCGCCGAAGGCACCCTTCGATTCGCGCTTCTTCAGTGACTCCTTCTTGTTGCGTTTCGCTGGCATTTCGTCGGCGCCTTGAGGTTTTGGTGTAGATCTAACGTCGGGATTGAGTGGCGAAGGGACCGAAGGAGTAAAGTCTTCTTCGAGAGCAGGTCGCTTCAAGGGAATGGCAGTTGAAGCAGAGAGGGAGCCGCTCGGGGTCGGCTCCCGTGGAGGAGGGGGTGTGCCTGAGTCGGAGGCCATTGAAACGTCTTTCTAGTTCAAATGTGCAGATTCTTTATGTATTCAGGCTGTCAAACTATGTGCGGGCTTGGATCGGTGAGGTGGTGAGTGGAGGAGGGAGAACAAGAGTTGCGAGTACTTGATTCCTGTCGCGAGGCGCGTGTTTCAAAGGCCAAAATTTTGGGAGCTTCGCCAGGGAAGCTACAGCACACCCCGCGTCAACCGTGGAAGCCCTGGAGCTCCTTCTGTTGTCACACAAGGGGTCTCAGCGGGTAGGCACCAGGGGTCCTGTCCATTCATGGATTGCGGGCTCGGGCTGGATTTGGCGGGGCAGGTGCCTGACTGCAGGTTGCTGCATTTGACAGCTGGAGCTTGGTCACGCATGGGAGCCAAACTGGAAAGCTACTTAGATTAGGTAGGTTCAGGTACCTTTTGGTGCCTCCACTTGCTGCATTTTTTCTCACATATCTTGGTGTTTAGGTACTGACCTGAAAGTGAGCTTTACGATGATCCCATCCCTTTGTGAAGAACTCATTTGAGCCTTAACAAACACATCAAAGCTGTTGTAATACAAATCAGATCAGCATTTGAAATGAGACTTGTCTTTAGCTCTATCAGCTCTCTATTGGACATCATGTCCCTCTACCATGCCGTCAAACGCCAGTCCCATGTTTATCCTTACAAAGTGTACAGAGGGGGTTGTTTGTACAATGTTTTTCTCCATCCAACCCTGGTATCACCCGCCCAGCCCAACCTCAAACCTCCTTAGATGGCGCGCTCCTGCTCTTCCACTGGTGGATGCCAAGTCTCTAATGACTTGAGAATGCGCTGGTACAAGAACAACATGGTGCCGCTCTGAATAAACGTCCATACGCCACGGGGACCCACGCCCCTAAACCATCCGCTGATACCCTCCGTCTGGTAAATGACCTTAAGGCCTTCGATGACGGACGAAGTCTGCAAGTTGACTGCGCCTGGTCGCGGAGTATGCGTCGAAGGCGACGACGTTGAAATGTTGCGTGTCTGAGATTTTGACGTCGAGGTGTGCGCGGCGCCCTTGGCTCCTGGCTTCGTCTCTTTTGGCATAAGATCAGGGTGCACTTGCGTCTGCAAACGCGTCTTGACGACGTCCAGAGGACATGTCATGATTCCGGCCAAGCTGCCGGCGAGGCCGCCGGTGAGTAGCTCTAGTGGCACACCGACATCTCTGCTCTGCTTGTATGTGCGGGCCCAGGCGTGGAATTGCTCCCAAAACATAAACTGGAGTGCGGAAAATGGGAGGTCACGGGCAAGTGTTGCTTGGTATCCGTGAAAGAGCGCAGCCGGTCCCTCGTGACGCACAATCGTCCGCGCCGCGTCAATTGTTCCTCTGTAGTTATAGCCCGATTTGAAATAGGGATTGTTGTAGCGTCCCTGCAACTGCAAGCGGGTCTTCAACACCTCGGATGGAACATAAACGATGGAGCCAGCCAAGTCTCCGAGAAAGCCTGTGATAACAGTTAGTCAGTCTTTGCCTTCCGATTGCTGAGCGCAAGGGTCAACGAACCGGCTGACAGGTAGGCCAGGTGCTGCTGCACACCAAAATCGATGAGGAACCGCTTGCTCCATTCGTAAGTCCCAAAAAACATCATGGTGCCCGGAAGGGAACCACCCAAAGCCGGTATCCATCCGCCATAAAGACCTCGTCGGATACCCTCTTGCCGCAATATTGTGTAGTAGGACGAGCCCAGGGACGTATATTTGGGGGGGATGTGCGGGTCGCCCTGTTGCCGCGTCTTGACCGTGTCCAGGGAGTGCATGAGCATGTCGCCCGTCGAACCTCCCACACCTCCAGCAATCATGGCGTGGAGGTAAGGCGGGCGGCCCTCCTCTTCAAAAGAGTCATCTTGAAGACTCATGTCCTGTCCGAAAGATTGTCCGACTGTTCTGATATCCGGCAAAAATCCTCCCGTCTGTACCGCATATCTATCCTCCTCAAATGAGGCCGCCGCCGCCGGGCTCGAAGCTGAGATGCCCCCCGGAATCGTTTGCGCGTTGTTATCGGTAGGAGCTAAGTAGCTGACGATGCGGTCAGCGACGGACATTTGCGAGTGGTGCCTGTCGCAGGTTGACCAGGCACTCTCCGGTCTGCGTCAAGGGTCGGTCCCTCTCGGTGGCTCCCGGTGCTGAATGCTGACGTCGTGCGGTGTCGATGTCGAGGGGGGCGAGTCGCGGTTGAGGCAGTTGGGTACCCGCTGCGGTACAACAACGCTGTAATGATTTTGAGGGGAAGTTGAAGGAGAGGACCTCCTCGTCGTTGATTGTCGCGTAGGTTTATTGGCACTGGCGAGATTTTGGCGGCGGCGAGGAGGAGGAGGAGTAGCTGCAGATAGTGATATCGAAATTTCATGCAGGGTTCCCGACTCTGGAATTTTTGTTGGCGGTGCACAGACCACATCCAATGCAGCACCTCCCGCTGCGTCACCGTCGGGTGAGCTCCCGTCCCTTCCATCTGAATCGGCCGGAGGCCCTGAGCTGAAAGGGGCCGAGAACTCCGAGCTGCAACGCGGGACAGCCCGCGCCACTTCGAAGACAACGGGATTCGAAGATTACCCGGACTTAAGAGGATGGTAATGAACCAGCTGAATTAATCGTCAATACCCATGTTGGATTTAAAGATGAAACTACACATTTATTGCCTGTTTCGATATATGCATCAACTTTTGGTGCCTCTGAAGCCCGCATCCAGGAGTTTCTTCATGTCCACTGAGACGCCTTCTCCCCCACACCTGCTTATTCATACACGAAGCCATTCACACCCTATGTTTCTTCAGTATCTTTCCTTGAACTTATGTTCTTCCCATCTCACGCGGCCAAACTTGCGCCAGGGCCAAATATTCCATACGCATTTGCCCGTCACCAATGCCATGGATATCGGACCGTACGTATTGCTGTCCAGGGTTTGATCTTGCGGCCCATCGCCTTCCACCCAGATGTGGCCTTGCGGTACCCTGACTACTTTTTCCGGGTACCCTGCTCTCGTTGTGACATATTCGCCTTCCAGCGCGATGACTCTCTTGATCGCTACAGTTTCCGGATGAAAAGGGCTCCTGCAAAGCAAGTAAAGGTCAGCTCGCCGGGCTCCCACTTTAGCAAAGGGCATCGTTCTTCCGTGACGCACCTAAACGTGATAATCATGCCTCTCTGGAGCCCGGCGGAGGGTTTCCACCTCCAATTAAGAACCATGTCGTTTGCAGTCGTCTTATTGCGATCCTCGTTGTAGTAGGGGTACATGGAGCCGCCGCTAATGCTCGTGATGGTCGCAACATGGTCGTTGAAAGTAATAACGACCGGGATCCAGGTCGCGAGCCCGAGCAGGCGGAGCGTGGTGTCACCGAGGAAGCTCCCTCGTGCGCGCGCCCATAGCGAACGGGAAGCCATGGGCGCAAAATTTCGTGAAAATGTCGCGGAGGATTGCCGCGTTGTGTCTTGGAGACAGAGCTGCCTGTCCTGTTGTCAGATAGAATTGTCGCGACGAAGGTTTCGAGCTCCATCATCCCATGTTCTTATCTTATCTCTTATCTTATCTTACATTTTCGCCGTACGTTCCATTACCTTAAGGTAGAGAGGATACTGGCGCCATCGTCAGCGCGAAACAACCTAATCTACGATAAAATTTTGTGAATCGATCTTAAGGAGCGATATTGAAAGCGGTCCGATTCATGTGGAATCGCGAATTCTCTCGAATTCCACCTGTTTAGGATAGAGGACTCAGGGATGACTGTTGAATCGCCACTGTTCGGGAGTCGAAACGAGGAGAGAATGACCAACAATACTGATTATACGAAATGATCTTGGCTCTGCTCTTTCTACATAGTCTCAGCTACTTGCTTAAGCTTCATCTTCAAAGTCAACCTAATTTCCGGCCAGTTGTTCATTGATGCAGAAGCTTCGAAGGCGACAACAAGACGAATAAACCCACAGCATGGAATTATTCCCCATTCAAGTCGCACCCAAGTTAGCTCATTGAACTGATTTGAGTGTGGAGAGCTGTTGTGAAGCTCCTGGACTAAACGATGAAGCCCTGGCGAACGCAGGTCAGCGTCCTGTTATAGACGCTAAGAGAAGAAAACTTTGACATATTTCAAAGCGAAAGTAGAAACGTAGATCAACAATAACCAACATCAGCTATTAGCTATTTTGTGCTCTTGTATCTCATAATGGAGTTGGCACACGTGTATACTTCAGTGACCCTGTCAGGAGCTCCCTTTTCCACGCGGAAAATCTAATATCTAGACCATCGCAATGATGGCATTGACATCCGCGTCGACCGCATCGCAAATGTACAAGTGTCATGCAGTAAGTGGGCTATGCAAATCGGGTTATCGGAGGGCAAAGTTGCAGATGGGAATATCACTGGGAGTCATTAATTGTCGAGCCTTGCCGGGGAAGACTGCCGTGGCTGGTTTGAGTGGCAAAGGCGAAGAATCTCATACCCTCGTCGACTCGGAGTGCCCGAATACACAGCATGAGTTGGTCGACCGTGATGATCATGGAGGCTAATCATCTCTCCGTCGCTCACTCACACTCAGCGTTGGAAAAAAGGTTTTTGAAATGTTTGGACTCTTTTTTGGTCGTCTCATTAGGATCACTCTGGATTCCCAGCCTGCCAGTACGCTCATTCTACCAGCCGCCCCTTTTTTGTTGTGATGACGTTGACTCCAAGAAAAATCTAAACCTCCGGGTTGTCGTCGCTCTCGCTGACACTCTCGTCACCGCTGACCTCGGCGTTCTCGCGCTCCCTCTTCTCCATGAGAGCCTGCAGCTCGGCGTCGTCGCTCTCCGTAACGGCCTTAGGCTCCATCTTCACCACCAAAGAGCCGCCGGCAGCCTCGATACTGTTGCGGATCTCGACAATGGCCTCCTCGAGGCGTGAGATACCGAGGTTCTTGTCCAGGCACGTGCTGGTCAGAACGTACAGGGGAGGGGACACAAGTCTGACCTTGACCTGGGTCTGGTCGTCGTTGCGCGCCTCAGCGGTGCGCAGGGCGTTCTTGACGGCGTCGATACCCTCGTATCCGAAGCAAGTGACCTCGACGTCGGCACGGACCTTCGTAGGTTGGGGGGTGAGACGCTTCGCGATATATGACTTCAACTCCTCGGAAACGGCCTCGCTGGGGAAGGTGGCGTCGTTCCAGACCTCGGCGTTGCTGTCCTTACGCATTAGTACTCTTAATTCCTCCTGCCATTACTACAGGTAGTTCCAACTCACGTGATAGACAGCTTGAAGGCGTCAATCGCATGGCCGTACTTCTTGTTGAGAGGCCATGCGATGGTCTCGTAGAGCTGTTCGATCGGGGTAAGGGTCTTCTCGGCGACATGGCGCATGATGGAGTGAACCATCTTGCCCTTGTTGTACCGCTCCTCGCACTTGATGATATCCTCTGGCGACACACGACGCTTTGAAAGATCGATATAACCCTTCTCCTTGTCGACACGCAGGACGACGACGACCTCGTTACGGCCCACACGGATGAGCTTCTGGATACTTCTGATACGACGTCTCGAGAGCTCAGAAAGCAGAATCATGCCGTCAATATTGTCGTACTCGAGAAGCTTGACGTAGGCACCCATCTCGGCAATCTGTACACCAGTCAGACCCGATTGTTCCTTCTTTCCTGTAGCCTTCCTGTCCACCGGGACCCAGTGGGTTTGGTCGGTTCGGCTCGCGGTGTGCGTTGGGCCGGCGGGGCACAAACCTGCTTGACGTTGACCATGACGAACTCATCGATCTCGGGGTACTTGTTTTCGAAGTATCGAAAGTGACTGTAGTTCGGTTCCGCCATCTTGGCTACTGGTTCTCGAAGTCGTCGAGTACGAAGGTTGGTGGTGGCGGTTGGGTGTTGTTGTTGAAGGTGGTCGGCCGACAGGTGTGGAGGGGCGGGGTGCAAAAGAAGGCGCGCGGGCTTTTTACACGTTCCTCCGGTCTCTGGATGGCTTGTTTCCTCTGTGCTCGGTGGATATTCCGCCTACTCGTCGGTCTCGATATCGGGGTGGGATCGGTTGCTCGGGGGCGACGTCGAAAAGCGTAAAAGAGGCGGCCTTGGGGGTTGAGCGGCGTTACGTTGGTGATTGGGCGATCGAGTCACAATTTTGCTACTGCGGTTCACAAATCGCAGAAATCCGAACAATGGTGGGGGGTGCTTTCCGAGCGGTAGTCCACGGCAGAATTGATGCTGATTCGACCGATAAACGCTGCTTCTCTTATCGCCACGTGAGCGCCCCTCCAACCAAATTGTTCAGGTAAACAGACCCCAGAACCCAAGAAGCTAACATTCAGGTACACCAAGAGCTGCTTGTTGTTAGAGGCGCAAAGAGCTACCTCATCGTAAGAGCTTCAACAACATCAGAACAACAACCCCAAAATGGCACCTGGTGAGTTCCTGAAGGATTCCGATCTCTAAACTCAGTCGGGAAACATTATCCAGCTACTGATCCCTTCTCAGCATCCCAATTCGAGCTGGCGCAACCGCCTAGTGACGCCATCTCCTCGCTCTCGTATGCGCCCGACTCTCCCACCAGACTCCTGGTGTCCTGCTGGGACAAGAAGATCTATCTCTACGACACACATAGCGGAGGTGAAGATGCGCCGGGCACACTTCTCAAAGCCATTGAGTTTCGGGCGCCTATCCTCGACGTGATCTTTGGCGCGACAGACAACGAGGCCTACGCCGCGTGTTTAGACCACTGCGTCTACAAGTACGGCGTTTTCCAAAGCTTTCCTTTGACTATTGGGTGAAGCTGACGCTTTATATCTAGGATCGACCTGGAGACAGAAGAGAAGCAAGTCGTTGCGCAACACAACGCACCTGCACGATGCGTAGTCTACAGCCCAGAGCACTGTAAGTGGTGTCACCGCTTTGCCTATATGTAGCCAACAAGCCGTCTAAACAACCTCGCAGCACTCCTTATCTCCGCCTCCTGGGACATGACCCTCCAGATCCATAACGCAAAGTCGCCCTCTGATACGAACATCACCGTTCAGCTGCCCGGAAAACCCCATGCCCTGGCAGCTAGCCCCTCAAAGGTTGTCGTCGCCATGACCGCGCGCCTCGTCAACATTTACGACCTGACCAACATTCCCGCCCTCTTCGCCGAACCCGGCCCCCACGACATCAAGCCCTGGCAGCAGCGCGAGTCGTCCCTCAAATTCCTTACCCGCGCCATCTCCTGCATGCCCAACGACGCCGGCTACGCCACCAGCAGCATCGAGGGTCGCGTCGCCGTCGAGTGGTTCGAGGATTCAGCCGAGTCCCAGGCTCGCAAGTACGCCTTCAAGTGCCATCGCGCGGCTGCGCCTGATGGCGAGGGCGACATTGTGTACCCGGTCAACGCCATGACGTTCCACCCGGTCTACGGCACCTTTGCTTCGGGTGGTGGTGACGGGACCGTCGCTTTGTGGGACGCCGAGGCCAAGCGCAGGATGAAGCAATACCAAAAGTTCCCCGACAGTGTTGCGGCCCTGGCTTTCTCCAAGGATGGTAAATATCTTGCCGTTGGTGTCTGCCCAGGCTTCGAAACAGGCATGGAGGACTACAGCGCCGAGGGCAAGGCGAGCGTGTTCATTCGTGAGCTTGGCGAAACGGAAGCCAAGGGCAAGGGCGCGAAGTGATCGACTACGGACTTTAGGAACCTGTGATGGAATCTTACAAGATTTGTGGGCGCATGGCGTTTGAGGTGGTTTACATATGCAAGCATTTCATTTAAACGGACCGAGAGGGTAACGGAAAAGCCTGGTATGTATTATATCAGATGATACCCATGGTATTGGGTGAGAAGCGTGGCTGTTGATATATCTTGGTAGCCTCCATCAAGCTAATTCTCCCAAAAGTCCGGGTCCCGGAGAGGACGCTATGTACACAACCATGATGATCAAGCTTAACTCTCTTCCCTCCGCACTCCCGAGATTCACATGCATATCTACATCCTCAGCATGCTGCTACAGTGTAACCGGGTATGTCGTGGTCTTGGATCCCAAATTCCTGTTCTCGCGGGGCAAGGCTTTGATGGGACGTGGTCTTAGGTCCCCGAATGCGCCAGCCCAAGTGGCAGGTCTTCCGTGCAACACAGATCCAGCCAACGGTGGCGAAACCTTTCGGGTTTCTCCTTTAACGTACGTCTTCCCGGTGCTCATAAGACTAGACAACCTCCTGCGTCCAGCGCCTGGCTTCATCTTACTGGTGCCGGTCGGTGTTGCACTGTCTGTCGCTGCCGCCTCATTCAAACCAAGCTCGTCGTCGAACATATCGTCAATATTGTTATCTCTTTCCTTAACGTCATGCTGCCCCATATCTGAAGTCTCCCGCGAGATGAACGAGGTACCTAGGTGGAAATCATCCGGAGAAAATCCACTTGCTCCGTCTGACTCCAGTGTCGAATGTCTCGCGTGATCGATGTCTTTAGCGAGGTCAGAGACAATGGGCAAGATATTGGTACGGTGTCTTAGTTCCCTGTTCGCTGGCCCTACTTCGATGGTTCGCAGGGGGGGCAAGACTCTTGGGCTTCCAGACTCTCTAGTGATAGCATTCGTCTTGGTGTGATGGAAATTAGTGGGGGCGGTTTTCCCTGGAGACTGTTGCATTCCCAATAGATTGACTGCTTTGGATGTTGCCTTGACTTCGGTATTCCTAAGTAGATCAGGGTCGATCACAAATTTTTCACGCCTTCTCAAACCCTTGGTGATACTTCGAAATGTTGTAGGTTTGATGCCAAAAGACACAGAAAGAGGCCCAATTCCGGGCGGAGCCGGGGATCTCTTTCGCCGTTTGGTGCTCTGTGGCTTGCCAGAAACGTCGGTTTCCCCTGTGTCAAAGCCATCCCTGATACTCTGATGCAGGGGTAAAGTTCCCGGCGCTGATAACGTCTTGTAATTCTCAACAGTTATCTTTTTGTAAAACTTTGATGAGGGCCTTCCACGTTGTCTCTTGAAGGGACTCAATGTCTTAACGGCAGTGGGAGGATGTCGACTTTCAGCACGTACATGTTCGGCAATATTCCATGCTGGCAAAGCTGTCAGAAGACTTCCGATCACATTGTATGAGACATACCTTCGTTGCGATCGAATCGACTACTCGATTTTGGGTGAGGCGAAAAACTGTAGTCAGAGTCAAGGGGCGTGGTGTTTTCCTTTCTCTGGGACTGCGATTCATCAATCGCAAGACTCTCCTCGGTACTAGGCAGCGGATGGCTTCCGTCGTGTGTAATAAAATCTAACCCCTCAAAGTCCTGGTCAGACTCCTCGACCTTCACGGAAACATCAGCAAAGACGTTGGGATTGACATCGTGTAGAGGCTTTGGGAAGCTGTATCTGATGTAGTCGACCAGTGACCCTCCATCAATCGCATGCAATGACTTATGGGGCTCGAACTGGGATGTTTGCTTTTCGGTGGGGATGCCATTATCTTTAAAAACGGATGAATTCTTTGGCGAATCTTGAGGCCTGTCATTTAAGTTAAGCTAACTCCAGGAGGCAGGCATCCGGACTCACGACGACATGGTTGAACGAGAACGTGTCTGCGTAGGCTTGCTTTGAGTGGTACGCCTTGGATCAGATCTGTTTGTTGTTTCGCTGTGCCGTTTATCGAAAATCGCGAGCCGCCTGGTGATTGAAACAGTCACAATGATGTCCAGCAGAGGATGTTCCGAAGCTTTCCAGGTACCTATCTGGGTGATTGTCCTCTGCTAGAAGCACTGACTGTTTCCCTTGACGTAGACAAGTCGTCTCCTCTTCGTAAAATGATTCTCAATTGTGGTCCTTGGTCAGCAGTGATAGTTTGGACAGAACCAAGGACCAGCGGGAGGGGTGTCATAAAGCAAGGAGGGTGAGAAGGGAGAATGACTAAACGCGTGACATCGAGCACTAGGTAAACCAGGGCAGAATGAGCCCAAGAATACTTCAAAAGTGTGCACCGGCACCTTAGGTTAGCTGATGAGGTTTTCAAGGAAGGAGCGCGTGCTGGAGCCAATGCATGCTTTCCGAGCTACAGCAGGCGGTGCTTGAGGTGCCCTACGCCGCACCTTCCATGGCTGTGGAACCAGGGCACAACAATATCTCGCTGGTGACGTGATTTCCAGAGTCATAGAGCATAAAGGTTGCTGGAATGAGTGTATTTAAGAAGTCACTGGGAAGCAAGTAGATGCAAGCAATGCCGTCTTTGGCTTGACGTATTGGCTGGATCGCAACTCACTCTACATGTCCTCCACGTAGCTTCGCTCTACAATCTGTTACCCAAACAACGTGGATTCTCCTCCATCAGTCCGGATTCTGCTGTCATGCGCCGCTTGTGACTGCTTCTAAGATGTGCGCCAAACAACACAAACAGTAAGGTGTAAGAAGGGTACAGGACGTCAGATTTACCATGCCCCAGTCCTTTAAAAAAAAAACTCGTGACTAATTGCCAGGGGTTAGCAATGCCAGTAAAGTAGGTATCTGCCTCATGACTGCATAAGCGAAGCGGAGCGAAGTGAACAGAATGGATGGTGATTGGCCTTCAGGCAACATAAACTGCATGCTGAGTTGCAGAGCCTCAAATAAATTGACTACAAACCTGGTCGTTATCTGTCTGCTACTCTCAGTTACATTCGACATCACAAATTGGAACGGGGTTGGGCTAAAACTATGTTTGGGATTGTGTCAGGTAATCGGCAGAGTAATATCGTTAACGGTCCTTGTTGCTCTTCAATAGCTTTTCAGTAGTCTGCTGGCTGCCACCTTTGGTACTGAGTCCTCACTCGATAGTACTACTTTCCACCTTCCTTAGGTGCGATAGCCTTGGGCTCTGGAACATAATCGAAAGTTCCTGCCATGTTCAATAACCAGATCTCCCCAGGATTCGATGGGACCTTCTCCCTCCACAGGAAGTTGTGGGGGAAACCCATGTCGAACGGGACAGCTCCTTCGATATCCTGAATCTCTTCATCGGAGAGATTGAGAGCCAAGGCCTCAATATTTTGCTTCAGATGATCGACAGTGCGGCCACCAACGATGGGGAAGACGTAAGGCGTCTTTTGCAAGACATAAGCCAAAGCAACACTCGTGATGATTGTGCCCTTGGCCTTGGCGATCTTTTCCAGGACCTGACTGATCTTGATTTGCGCTTCGCTAGCCTGAACTTTGCGGCCATCCTGGGACTTGCGTTGCTCTTCCGTCTTGAAAGCCTGTTCAAAGTTAGTGCTGCTCTTCTTGAAAAAGGTAACAGAAGGCTTCTCAGGAATACTCACGCCACCGCCGAGCGCGCCCCAGGGTGCCAAGCTCATTCCTAATCAGATGTCAGAGGGTGTATTCCAGTACCACTTTGAAAGCGTTGCAAACCTTCGGCCTTGGCCATCGGAATGATCTCTCGCTCGAAGTCTCTCGAGGCAGCAGACCATCGACCTTGGTAGACTGAGAATTGGCGTAGTCCATGGTTTCTCGCATATTCATTGGCCTTGCTGATGGGGAAGTCAGTCTTGCTTCTTTGAGAGGACAAACTCCTTCTGTTACCTACCTGACGATCCAAGCGGGAGTGTCGCTGATACCGAGAAAGAGGACCTTGCCGCTGATGACGAGGCTGTTGAGGGACTGCATCAGCTCCGGAATAGAGGTAGAATAGTCCCACCAGTGCACATAGAGCTATACGGTGTAAGTGACGTCACTTGAAAGATGAGAGACAAAACTACTCACCAGGTCAATGTAGTCGGTTTGCAGCTTGCGCAAGCTTGCCTCGACAGACGTGTGCAAACTCTTGGATCCGTTACCGGTGAAGTTGGCCATGATGCCCGGCGCTTTGGGACCGGCCTGGAAGTTCGTGGTGTACTTGGTTGCAATAACTGTAAACGACTTAGATATGGCTTCTGTTGAAAAAGGTGACCGAACTTACCCATCTGGTCACGGACACCTCTCTTCTTCATCCATTCTCCGATCCAAGTTTCCGACTCTTCGAATTGGTAGTTGTTGGCGGTGTCGATGAAGTTGCCACCCTGCTCATGAAAGAAGTCAAGAATCTCATCGACAGTATTTTGATCACAGGTTCCCATGTATCCCTTCCTGAGACAGTCGTTAGAAAGAGGTATACACGTCTCACAGGTGGTAATTTACCAGGCATCGCCGAAATTCATGGAGCCCAAGCATAAAGGGCTCACTCGAACGGAAGCCGTCGGAGAGAGAATGCGGTAACGAGCCAAAGGGCTCTTGGGCGGAGGTGCCATGGGTAGGGCCGACATGATGATAGGCAGTGTGTGATATATGAGGAAGTAAGTTGAATGCAGCCCAGAACGAGAGAAGTTTAGGATGAAATCAGGTCAATGGATTGATTGGAGGATGGAACATGCGAGGAGACAGTCGATTTATGTCTTTTCGTGAGAAAGACTAAGAGCAGCAAGGCAGGGGGTTCAACTGTCACCGACCGCTCTTTCCCCCTCCGGACGAAAATGGACGAACGAAAGGCAGCATGACAGGAGGCAGGACCCCTCAGTTGGGAGGGCAGGCCGGAGATCCAGGCACAGATGATCTCATGGGTAGCTCGTCCAGTCTCTTCAGGCGCTGCAAGTCCAATTGGATATGCGGATTTTTAGAGTTAGCTCCTGCGCCAGTCTCCAAGTCTGGGAAACCTTGCACGAGGTCTGCAAACCACCTACCACCTTAGCTTCCACGGAAGACGCTAATCACCGGCCTTAAACCCGACGATTCGCACTGCCCTTTGCGGGCTGCAGGTAGCCGGGCATGATTTCGAGCATTCGGACCAAATGAAGTCTCCGGTGTCCTGCACATCTCCGCACCGTGAAATTTTTGGGCAGAAGGATGAACATTATTCGCCAAGGAGAGATGCTGGTTGGTAAGCGCTCCCATACTGTCTTGATTCTACCTCAAGGCATCTCAGAAGCTTCTCGCGTCGAACAAGGCAGCCCGTCTAGTGAAGAAAGTCACGAGTGAGGCTGACGTTCGGGTTCGGGTTCGGGTAACATGACCCGCTGATGACTAAGGTGACGCGGAGCGGACGACGCGGAGCGGAGCAACCATGTCTCCTTTCACTCTGACAGCCGTTAGCGGGTTAGCGGGCAAACGACCGCGTAGCAAAGGCCGAGGTGGTACGACAGTGGGCGTAGATTCGACAAGGGCCCTTCAACGTTTGACTAGCAGTCTCGACGACCCATTGGCAACCGCGCTCAACATTGCGATACCTGCGACTGATCCCCTCCGGCTGCGAAATGATCCGATAATCGAGTCGAAAACGACCATGGCCATTGTTGAGCTCGCACAATGTCCGCCCCCGCCCCCGTTCCCTCAAAAGCCGCGATCCATGCACTTCGAGGTCTTCTCTTCGGAACTTCTTGCTCTCTCGTCCTCTTAGCGGAAGAGCGTCGCCAGCGAATCAAGATAGCACGATCTGCGGTCGAAAATGGCAGGAGATTGAAGTCTTTGAAGCGGTACAGCTCCAGCGGGGTCGTTGCCCTCGAGGCCCTCCAGGAAGAAGTCGCCACCGATCCAAGCCTCATCAGCTGGCCAGCGCGCTCTCGAAGTCGCACTTCTACTCACGACCACGGAAGATTGGCATTTGACAGCTCATACTTGGATCAACACGTCAACGAAACCGGTCCAGATGCACGACGGCCAACGAGGGCAACGAGCGAACAAGATCTTTCCCAAAAGCCGTCAGACCAGAGAGGCGCAATACAGGACAGTGGCCGGCCGGCCACAGATGCTGCGAAGAAACATAGTCATGACCCTTTTTGGTCTCGATTCCCGTCCTCAGTCTCTGCGATACAGGACATGTCTATTGAAGACAGCGTTTTGAGGTCAATTAGAGATCGGCCGAATGGATGGCCAGGAGAAACGAACGCCATTGATCTGGCTGTAGAATGTGTGATTAGGGACCACCCTGATGACATTGCACAGACTGCTGGGCTAGAGGAGCTGCTTCTCAATTCGACGTCTCCACAGCTCAGGCAAGGAATTCCACACGCAGCCCTGAATCTTGTTCGTCGAGCCTACAGGTTCGTGGACCAGTCGCAAGCCTTGCCTGATTGGTTTTCAGAGTTGTCTTCGCTGCTGTCAACAGCTTGTCATCGGAGGAACAACTTCAGAATCGCCGGACAAATTCTGGAGTTTGCGGTACATCATAACGTAGCCACTGAGAACGACGTGTTGGCACAGTGTGTTCTTGAGGTCACCGAAATTTTGGTTCCCCAAAAGACGCAACAGTCTGCTAAGAACCAAGACCCCCCCGAACGATTACAATTAGCGGCAAGTCTGTATGTGGGCAACTTGCAACTACCTCCGCTGGAACAATCGAAAATACGATCTGGCTATGTGAAAGTGGGCAAAGATTTAATCAGCCGTGCCCTGGAGGTGAAATGCCCTATTGACGTTGTTCAAGTCTTTCAACAAGTTTCCACTTGGAACCACGACAAGCTTGGAACCATTGTCTGGTTCATGATGCAACTTTTCGAGCACCAGCAGCACAAATTGGCCATCGACACATTCATCGAAATTTTTGCCAAGTTGAGGAAGACCTCTGCGTACTCTAAGCGTCTATGCATGGACATTGTTCATTCGGTTGTTACCTCCCGAGGTTACGAATGTCGCGAGGTTCTCCACACATTCAACCAGCTGAGGGAGCGCGATGGTTGGGAGATGCCGAGGAAATGGTTGAGAGACTTGTTGTGGGTGTATTGGAACTCGACACGCAACTTCACTGAGACGCTTCAGCTTTTTGAAGACGCAAGGGGAAACGACTTTTACGGTGTTCAAAACACTCTTGAAATTCGATCGAAGATGGTGCGGATTTGCATCGAGGCTAAACAAGCCGAGAGAGCACATTTGTTAATGGAGGAACTTGCATCTTTATACCCAGAAGTTCAACACGATGTTGAGATATTCGGCCAATTCGCCCTGCAAAAGGCCAACCAGGGGGATTGGGCCGGAGTTCTCAGCGATTTCGAGGCGATGAAAAAGATGCAAACAGCCAACTCTCACAACGAACGGCACTTCAAGCGCACATTTGCGGCAGTACTAGAGACCTATGCGAAGACTCATACGTGGGGCGAAGTCGAGACATTCATGGAAACGTATATTCCAGAATTCGGATTAGGTCTTGATCGCCAGCTAGTCACATTCATCGCTGACAGGCATGCGAAATGTCGCGACATGCAGGCACTGAAGCGATGGCTGATGTTCTGTATGGATGCGGGGTACACCACCGATGGCAGATTCTGGACCGCAATGTTGGTCAGTTGCAAGAGAGACTGGAAGTACAACAAGGACCAGCTGTCCGACCTATATCGTGCCATGAGGGGTGCTGGTATCAGCACTGCCTTCCCGGGCCTCGAGCAATGCTTCAAAAACCTCTCTTGTGCCACAGGCCACCGTTCAAAACAAGTCCGGCTCAAGGCTTACATGGTGAGCCCTGCCCACGAGGTGACTGCCTTCGAATCCATGAGAGCGGATGCGCAGATCGGGAAGTGGAACAGTGTGCTGGCTCTTTACAAGCGTGCGTTACACAACGGCATGGGACACACGAGTCGGTGTCTCAAGCTGGCGATCACAGCTATTGTCCAGCTCGAGGGCCCCAGAAGCAGACAGGCCGTGGCACTCTTGAGTAGCGCCCAATCTGAAGGTTGCGATACGAAGGAGGCCATGTACCCAATCGTTTTCAGCCAGCTCGAGGAAATTGGAGATCATCACAAAGGGCTAGCGGGAGAAGACGGCCGAGGACGGCCCTTCCCGTACCTGAAGGCCGTCTTCGACGACCTCCGCAGCAAGAACCTCCACATTGACGACGGCCTTTTCAACCGCGCCGCCCGCATCTGTCAGGAACTTCGCAACTACCGGGAGATGATCACCTTTTGCATCATCGCGGCCGAGATCAACGGCCGCGGCGATCTCTGCTACAGCGTCTACAACTTCAGCAACCTCCTCGCCGCCTACGTGATCCGGCACGAGTACGACAAGGTGCGCTGGCTCCTCGCCGAGCTCAAGACGCGCGAGTACCGCACTTCGAGGGAGATAAGACATCGCCTCTACTGGGCCATCCACTACCTCAGGAAGAGCTCCGAGGCCGACAAGGCCGAGGAGCTCAAGCAGTCCGATCTTGAGATCATGGCCCTCGTCCACGACGCTTGCAAGGCCTTGGTCGCGGAAACCCGGGACCATAAGATTGAGGTCAATGAGGTTCTCCTCAGCGCCATGTCTCAGAGCAAGTTCAAGTCAAAGGCTACCGGCAAGGCCGACAGCCTCGAACCCAAGGCGTTTGAGGAGGAGCAGGAGTTTGACATGACGAGCGAGGAAGAGGACAATGTTGCTCCTCCTGCGCTTCCGACCCTGGCTAGAAGGGTCCAGAATAAGGGCGAGGTGCCTCTGAACCCTGTAACAATGTCTGGGGCGAAAGAGACCGAGTCGCAGCCGGTCAAGAGAGCGTTCTCGTGGAGCTCGACCACGCTTAGATAGAGGGATAGGCTCTCAACGATGAGCCCGTGTAAGACGCCACGTTGGATTCACAACAAAAATTAGGTGGACAAATATGTGTATACAGGGTGTAAATATAGAGCTTTGAGGGCAACTGTACATGTACATGTAAACGAGCCAATATAGAATGCGTGTTCAACTAGAGACCATGAGGGCCAACGACAAGCCGTCTTTGAAATACACACTTATGGCGAAGCAGTAAATACAATTCATTGGGTGACAAGAACATGAGCATGTTCACGCACTTGAGCCAGGTGAGGTTGGGGGAAATTCTCTCGCGTTCAATCTACGGCACGAGACTCGAGAGTTGGTTCAATCCAAATTGGTATTTGCTCGGAGGAGTGTTGGAACGTAGGCACCCAGATCCGGGTGAAAAAGCCTTGTAGAAACAGGCTCGCCGGCCGCAGAGCCCGGTCGAAGCAACTTCAACAAATATGGTACACGATGCTACTTTGGCGATTCCAGCCCGCAGAGCCCATACCGCGATGGGACTTGTCCTCTTTTCTTCTCCCTTTCTTTCTCTCACCAAAAGGGGGGTCCCCTCTCTTGTCGGCGCACTCTGAATGTCAAATTGCCGTCCTGCACGACAACACTTGAAACTTCTTCTAGCCTCTCTCTCTCTCTCTCTCTCTCTCCTCGCGGCACCCTCTGGCTCTCTAGCTAGTTCTGGTTACTCTTCTCGATTTCCCATGTCGTGAACTGTGATAATAACGCCTCACCGCCCCCAAACTCGCCCGTCCCTAGTTAAAGCATGATGGAAACAGTCATCGCCAGTCGTATCTGCAATCTGCCATGCAGTAAACGCCGGGGGAAAACGCTCAGGATTCATCGTCCGACCTTGCCGTCCCGCCACTTTTCACTGAAGGTGATATGCTGATAGCAATTTTTTTCGGCGTTGCTGTGTTTGACCGATCCGCAAAATTCTTCTTCCTTCTGACCATACTTGATGTCATTGACGCATTTGACCCTGCAGAACTGCTGTTTCTGCGTTTGTTCTGCATCAGCTTACCAAGCTCGTCGTCGTCATCCTCCTCGCGACGTCTCTTTTCAGAAAGTCGTTCTGGTGGTGCCACGGAGGATGATTCACTGCTCGTGTCAGAAGCGCCATCCGCTCCGTCCTGCTTCTCGCCAGACGTTGGCAAGACCTCGGGGTCGGCGTTCTCATCCACCTCTTCATCTGAAGGATAATCAACCAGCGGTTTTGATGCTGGTGTAAATACTGCTGAGCCATTTGTTGGCTGCAACTTGTCGAAAGCCCTGCTCTCAGGTCCATCTTCGTCGTCCGAGGTGTTGAAGTAATCCTCTTCGGCTTGGTCAATGGAGATATGTTCCATCATCCTCTGATTAGGGTTGGCCGTCCGCCTCGCAAGATCCTCTTCTGATTCCGTGTAGAATTCGGCGGTGTGGCCTTGAGTTTGGTCGTAGAGCACTAGAACGTTGCGGAAAGTTTCCATGTAACTCAGATCGACTAGCCGCTCACGATAGTGGTGGACGAGAAATTTGTTCATCTCCTTTCTGTGCTCTTGTCCAGTGACGAACACGAAAAACTCGACACAGGCTGAGCTGAGGAGATTGTCCCGGTGCATAGATTGGAAAACCATATTGAGCAGTGGCTCCAAGATGCCGTGCTCCATGATTTGCCTGTCGTAGTCGACATCTTGCATCCCTGCTAGGTTACGGAAGAAGCGAATGGCAACTGACAGTCATGGTTAGTAAAGCATGAGACTGATTTTACAACTCAGCACCTACCTAGTCGGAGATATTTCTCCGGAGAGGCAAATAGCTGAGCAATTCGCCGAAGCAGATCATGTTTATGGACGAATGATCTGCTTTGTTTGTGTTGCCTGATGAAGAAGCCGAGTATTTCAATGAGGTACGTGAACATTGACGCTTGTTGCAATGGGAAAGCCATATCGGTGCGACCTTGAAGATCGGTGAGAGGCCTAAAGAGCCGTTGTGCTGATGAACCTGAGTAAAAGTTGTTGAGAAACAGCTCGTGCTGAGATTCTAGTACTGCCGGAGGCCGTCGGCCTGTGAACTCCCCATTCGCTTTTGCGAAAGCCTCCTGCGACTGAAGCGGAGGGCCCTGGTCAAGAAGGACCTTCAAGGCATCCGAAATTTGTGCCTTGACGCCAAGATCGACTTCTACCAGCAATAAATCAATGAGCGAATCTGTCAAGGGCGGTTGGTTTTCATGGAGTTGTCGATAAATGGTGCCCCGAATCATGTGCGGATCGTGGTCTATCAGGGACACGAGGACATCGGTCGCACCGACCCGTACACTCACGTCGGGATGACGCAGGCCGAAGTTGATGACCTGAAGCAGGCCGTGACCGATGAAGTTGTTGTAAAGAGTTTGACGAGCCGGCGGCTGCAAATTCTTGGCAATGGCGCAGCACTGCTGAATGAAAAGAACAGCCTCCTTCTTGCGTCTCTGATCTGTTTGCGTTGCTTTGAAGATGCCGAAAAGATCATCGAGAAACTTTCCATTCCCTTGTAGATGCTGGACAATATCCACTTGGTTGAAGAAAATCAGAGAGTTGAGAACGGAGAAAGTCGGATCATCCAATATGCGCGCTAGTACAACGTCCTTCAAATACTGAAGTCGGTAAGTCTGATGGATTTTCCGCCTGATCTGATCGTCCTGGATCGGTACAACCTCCTTGTATCGTCCTTGGTTATCTAGCCAGTGGCGATGATTGGCTTTGTGGCTTGGGAAATCGGGGTCGTATTCGAGAGCGCCTACGACGCCAAGAACACACTCGTCGGATACGGCATGTTCTATTATGGTGGTGTCGTTGAGTAGGATGACAGTCTTCATGATGTTGCACAGTCGGTGCAAGTCTGAGAGGCTCTCGAGATCTTCGGCCATCTCAACCAGAGGAATCAGCTTGCCGATGTAGTCCTCGCCCATAATGCACTTTGCCAGTGCGTCTCGTCCATTGACTGTCTGACTCATGATGCGCATACTGGTCTCAATTTCCTGTAGGTTCCCTATTTCGGCAGGGGGAAGGCTAATGGTGCTGGGCATTTCCATGGCCAGATCGTCGGAAAGACTGTCGTCTGAGTGGAGAACGTTAGATCGGGGTCGTCCACAGCGTTCCCCGCCAGCACGCGACTTACCGGCAGCGGCCATGCCGCCCTGGAAAGTCTGCTGCACGCTGTTGACAAATTTCCTATTACAAGGAGCCATAGTGAGCGACAAAAGTTCACAGCTGAGATGCGAAACCAGCGCTTACCAAATCAGTGCACAGCCATCAGCCTCCTGGAACGAGAGGGCCATGTCGATGCCATTGCTGGGTTCTGTCCAAACGATGAGAGTCTCTATTATTTCGAGTCAGTCGACCTGCGCCGCACACGGAGGCGCCTTGCAACTTGCCTTGCTGCTTCTGGAAGCCATCCTCTTTGCAGATCTTGGTCTCAAGTAGAAGCCTGTCAGGGTGGTCTTCGGATTCAACTATGACTCTGGGGTCTCGAGGCTGGCCATCTTCCGTCTGATGAGTATCATCAGTTTAGCATCAGACTTTGATAAATAGATAGGCGCCGGCGGCGGAGAAGGCGATATCGCGACAACATAGGTGCGTGCGAATAAACATACCTGCATGAAAGCAGCGGTACAGAAGCCGGTGCCGCGATCGAACCAGTCATTGTTGCGCAGCTCGTAGACCTTGACGCGTTTCTTGTCCGTCGCATGATGAGGCACGGGTTGTGCCATCATCAATGGTTCGGTGCCCCCCTCTGTAGTGAGACGGGGGTAACTAAGGATGTCGGGAGCGAGGTCGAGATGTTGTTGGAGGGAAAGCTCAGCGTCGGTCTGGCTAAGGATGGTGAGCGCCACTTTCCCGTCGTTCGGTCGCGCCTGAGATGGGGCGCGGCTCTCAGGCGAGAGGTCGGTCAGGGACGAGAAGTCTTGAGGTCGTGTGCGAGATATGTATCGTCGTCGTCGATGATCTGTGGCAACGAGATGTACCCGGGTGACGTAGGGACGAGATGATCAGGGAGCCATCAAAATGGGAGGGGGTGGTCGGGTCGCGCGATTGGCGGGTGCCGGGGATTTGGGCGACGCAAGGCACGGTATGGGTTGAAGGAAGGATGGCTGCGGCTGACGCGACAGCGATAGCGGAGTGCAGGCGACAATGATAAGCAACGCGCTTGCACAGATGGAAGGCGGCGACACTGGAGCCCAGAACGAGTCGAATGCGGCGTCGCGGCGCAAATTTTTGGGTTGCGTGGGATGGCGGATGATGATGAGATGGAAGAACTTTGAGGCTGTATTCGGTCGGTCGGTCGGTTGGTCGGACAGAGGAGGCAAACTGGGGACTGGGACTGGGACTGGGACGGGACTGGACTGGGCTGGGACGGAAACTGCGCGGGCTACTGTCGCTGGCACTGGGAGGCACCTCAGCGTGGCCGTGGGACGGAACAGCCAAAGGCGCGTGATTCCCTGGTTGGCAGGTTGTTCAACCGGCCCACAATGCCCACCCACCGAACAGTGACCCTACCGCTCATCGCTCCCACTCGCCGCTTTCTGGCTCGGTACCCGCATTGCACTAGCTGATTGTGGACTCGACGCACGTACCACCTCGCACCCGCGACTACCACCGGGGAGGGGCTTGCGTCAACGTGCGGCTACTCGCCTAAGTGTCCCCTTTGGGTAGGCTTTCGACCGCCAGTTGTCGCCTGGCGGGGCCCAGATGACTAAGCGCCGGGCATCAAATGCCGGCCTACCTCGTGTTTTTCAAGGTGTCCATAGGGCCTTTTTAACCTTCTCGTGAACCCCGTTGCGGCTTGCCAGACTACCTTACCTCACTTAAGGTATGGATAGACTCGAGGCAACAGGAGAGCCCTGTCTCCCTTAAGGTACACCAGGCCGATCATGTTCCCTAACGTTTCCAAAGGTAGGTAGGAGCCGGCGTGTGGTTGTGTGGTTGTGTGGTTCCTCCAGAAGCGCGGCAAATCAAGCGCCCGAGGTAGTTTCTTTTCAACCTGCTCGCTCGTGGAACGCACCTTTATTTAATCTCATCTCAGTTACAGCTCAACCTCGTCATCGTAGGTCTCCGCCTCTCGATGCTATACGTCGGCCAGGCCATTCCGTGGAACCAGCGTTTGTGGGACCGGAGACAAGGACGCCCCAGCCACGAAAACCACTATGCAGGTAGAAACAACGCTTCAACTTCCCCGCATCTCATCCGCTTGTTGATCAATGCCTGGGAATCCCAAAAGCCCGGAATGGATATTGATACAGCATTCCTTACTATCGACTTGCATGAATAGGTTTCCGTCTTTGCTGGGCTTATCAGATATGCAGTTGTCGCAAAACCGTTGAGTTCACGTGCCGCCTTGAACACCGTCATACAAGCACTCCCGTGAAGCCATCATCATCAGCAGCACCAGAATGACGATTCAAAACTCGGACGCGTCAAATCCCGTCTTTTCTGATCACTAGGGGAAAGCATCTGTCGCATCCCATAAAGTGCGTGTATGCATACAGCAATGGAAACAAAGGAACAGAAAAGCCCCAGTTCTTGCTTGGGTGCTCCCGTGCAGATCATCCCAAGAGCTCGTGCCACATCACCGGGGCATGGGAATAATGGGCTTTCTGGGAATCAAAGTTAAAACATGCAGGGATTCAGGGCTCCATCTCTACGATATCACATTTCGATCCCCGCTTTCGACATTCTTCATGTTCGTCTTCCCTTCGGAAATTAATGCTGCTTGCTTATTCTCCATGGATCGATTGCAGAATATCGATAGAGATCTGTGACGAGGTTTCCCACAGAGCGCAGGATTATCGATACCATATCAAAAGTTGGCAAATCAGACTTACAACAATCGATCAAAGCGTTCACGCGATGCGCTATTTCTCTGCTGCTGCACAGCGGGCTCTCAGACAACAGCATACGTGCGGTTAACCGAACAACCTAAGGACGGAAGTCGCTCAGGCCATCGCGCCGTGCGATATTTCATCCCACATGCGAGTGTTGAGAAAGCCACGATCTATGGCTAATCTGTACCAACCTTTCACTGTGTCGGCGCGGACCTCGAGATCCTTGAGATCAGCGACCATGCCCTAACTAAAGTATAAGAAAGGGCACATTGTCAACGTCACTATAATTCAGAATGTGCGAAGTTCGGCTCTTGCTAGTTCCTTACGATGCCGTCAGAAGAGCCGTCGGTGGTCAAAAGTTTTAGCCGCAGATCCTTTGCATCGATGATCTTGACGGTTGAGGATTTATCAGCCCAACATAGGAGCTTCGGACAGCGAATTTTCTTGTCGCGGATCAGCCGGCGCATAAAATATGACCATGTTGATTACGAATGAGGGCGTTTAGCCCGGCCCGATACTCGCTTTCTGCGCAAAATCAAAGATCAACGAAGCGATCCATCCGTCAATTGATTTCATCCAGGCCGATCCGAGCTTGCGGTGCTACTATGGTACACTAACGAGGATGGGCCCGTCAAGTTGGGTTGTTCGGAGGAATTTCGGTGGAGATGGTGCGGTGGCTTGGGGGTAAACAAAGAAAAGACAGGCGACTCCGTCTATCCCAACGGCAGCCTACAGTTTCACGATTTAGGCTCGGCCGATACTCCCGGATCGGCGTGCTTCTACAAGCCAGGAACTCTTCCGAATCTGTCAGCTGTCACCCTCCGAACCCAGGTCTACAACATCTAGGGATCTCTAGCCAAACGCGTACTCCTGGTCGTCAGGGTCGCATAGCGAAGCTGTAGAATTGAGACAACTATCAGCCTGTGCCAATCTCTCAGTGAGGACTGAGGAAACTGGACAACATCTTCGGCGGCATAGATTTGCAAGCTCTTGCAACTCTCACCCCTGTCACTGTATCCATTCACGCCGCCAATCTCGACAAGGCGACTGGGACTCGCCTCTCGTGGTGGAATTCGACAATCGCCCCGAAGCAAAGATATCTGCACTCTGTAGATTGACCGAAATCATTGACACCGGCGTCGGAGCCTAGGAGCATCATTGAATACCCTAGCAGGGGATTAACCGCAACCCGGGCGGGCCGGAATGCTGCTTGCGAGGCTCGCCGGCGGAGAAAATTCCACTTGGGGCGCAAACCAGGGTCCTTGTCAGACTAAACATGGTGGCCAGCGCCTTGTTAGCCCAACAATCTTGATGATGCAGGACAAACAAGTTTTCCTTTTCCAGGGCTTCTGGAGGAAGGTGAAGAGGGACGAGGCTCCATGAAGAGTGCGAGCTCGACTCAGCATCTTACCCACATCGCTTGCCGGTGCCTCGACAGAGATGCGCGCGGCTTTATTCGTGCTATTGTGTCAGGGTATGAGGGGCGCCATCAATGGTATGCATGTCAGACTGGCAGGACTATCTCGTTAATTTCCCAGTGCGGGTTGACAGGAGTCGTCAGGATACGGCCGCTCAGATGTATGTCGCAGAAGCACGTGTGACGAGTAATTCCAACGTGGCAGCAGCATGCGAGTCTGAGTTCGAGGTGAACTCTCTCACCTCACTCTCCACTGCGTGTCTTATATATTCGCATGTTATTGCCGATGAAGCGTTTACGACTTGCCTCTCCCATGCATGATACAGCTCGGCGAGGATGGTATGCAACGGAACATAATCCCATGGCAGGGTCGTATTGACGGCGCAGATATTGATAGGCACCCATGCATTGATCGGGACGGTCCAGCCACGAACTTGAAATGGCCAGAGGAGATACACCCCTCCCCTGGTGGGAAACAGCGGCTAGCCAGGTTTGGATGGCTTCGGCGGCTGACTTTGGTGCGTGGCAGCGTGCGAGTTGTGGGTTCACTGCTCGTCCGTCCGGCATTATCACGGCAGCTCCATTCACTCCAAGTCTAGCCTCATCAACCCTTTCACCCTTTTCGAAACTCTCCGCGGTCCTGGCTAGGCTTTCAAGCTGGGTGCGGCTGGCTGAGGGCATACGTCGTCACTTCGTCGACCATTCGTCAATACTCAGCAACAGACTATGAGAGGTTGGTCGCTTAGGTCCAGACTCGCGGTCACATTTTGAATGTGAGGCTGAAAAAGCCCTCTCACGCTAACCGTGGGATTCTGAAGTCAGTTAACTGGACATGTTCGACGTCGAGGGTCTAACTTTCAAGCTTACACGAGCCCGTGGCTTTTTGCTCACTCCCGCAAAGGGCAGGGATCTCAGAGATAAGGAGAAATAAGAAAAGGGGGGTGATTTGGCGCCGGTGATGCAACAGTAGCCATGCATGGCGAGTTTATCTTTCGAAGCTGGCGGCGATAGCAAACCTCAATACTTTTCCAGCGCGGGATTGGGGGCAGTGAAATTCAATACTCCCAGGGCTCGGGCAGGTTGCCGGGGGTCAAGATAGCTGAAAAGGCTTCTTTTCCTAAGCCGAGCTGTGCGTTACCCAAGCGGGCGCTGCAAGCACTATGACAACTATTTGCTGCTGCTTTCAGGTGGCCGAACTCGAACAACCCCCGGTCCAGCGCGTGTTGTCTATTGTCTACTTTTGGTCCAAGCAACCGGGTCGGGCAAAGTATCATGCAAGAGCATGTGCGTCGGAACGCGAAAGAATATCGCGGTGGCGGTCGGAAGTTTTTTTGTGCGGTGTGTGTAAGTATGTGAGTGTGTGTGTGTGTGTGTGTGTGTGTGTGCCGGTGAGAGCACGCAATGCTGGCTTGTTTGGGCGTTTCTACAGATTGTGCGGCAAGAAAGGCTGGTCATCTGTAAGTGAAATGAAGGGCGTGAGATGAGGCCTCGGAATTATTGAGTTATCCTGGCCGCGTGTAATGGGATGATCTGGGGAAGTTAGGATTTCTCCGGGGTTCAGAGGGAGGGAGTCGAACGGATGACAGCAACAATCAAGATGAGTTTGGAACGGATGACTTGGCGCCAGGAACCAGGTGTTATCCGCGTGTAGCACTCGATAGTCAGAGTACCGGCATATGAGGCGAGTTAATCGGATCAACCTAAAGGACACGGAATCCTCGTAAGTTTGGCTGTCATTTCCGCTTTGGCGAGGTGTGCCCTGCCATTAGGAGACACTTATTCTCAGTTCAACACGGGGAACGGATCGTCCAAGCAGGTGCGTACGTTGATCCGAACTTCAATAACGTACGCTTGAATCAAGGCGATGGGAAGATAAGATCAGCTAAACGTTCCACCAGGAAAAGCACGATCACTTGATCGCAGTGCTGCATAATACTACAGTGCTATCTCAGTGCCTTATCTCAGTGCCTAATCTCAAGGTAGGCAGTGAGGTTCCTTAAGGTAAGAAGACCGTAAGTACGTACCGGTGAGATGCAATACAATCGCAGCACATGGAAGGAGGCAAGATTGCTATTCGATAATTCCTTCCTCGTCAGGTTGAGTTCGGTTCGCCTGCCCTTGCTGCCTGCAGCAGGCCCACGACTACAGACAGCCGGGGACACTGAAGAGACCGTGGCGGCAGATGGCTCCCGCCATCCGACCCCCAACAACTTTACAATTGTCGATATTCTCTTCTCCGTACCGCCAACCCGTCTCACATCTCAATGTAACCCTTGTTCATACCAGCTGCCTAGGTAGCCCTGCCAGAACATCCGCGGGCAAGCTTTGGACAGGGGTACAATCTTACATACATGACACCCTCCCACGCTCCCACTCCGTACCGCCAAAAACACTTTCAACGATGCCCACAAAAAAGCAAGAAATGACAAACCGCCGTCGACCAAGGAGATTTGCGATGTCCAGCCTCTCCGTAGTCTCGTATGCGACCTGGCCGCCCATAGACATGTTGGCTTTGCTTTCAGCATGGACCCGAGCCTTTTTTACACGAGCAGGAGCCTTTTTCAGCATCCCGTTGCCGCCGGACGTTGTCATCCTCTGCTTCACAAGTCTACTTCCTTTTCCCTTCTTGGGACGCCAACAGTCTCGATGTGATGAAAAAGACTGACGATAATGAATGACGACGACGGCGACGAATACGGAAATAGGCCCAAGGATCGCCGTATCCAACAAAAGCCTCGGTTTCGTGTAACAAACAAGAGGAATTGTCGTTGACGAAGTGGGAAGACATGCCGAGTGGCGTCTGGGAATACCTACGAGGGAAACCAAAAGATAGACAACGCTGCAGTAGCTTTCTACTTCCCCCGCCCGTTGCCATGGTCGGCTTTGAGAGCAAAAGACCCGTTGGCAAAACGTCAGACACAATGACTGCTGGTCTTACTCGACCTAGCCTAGTCGACGGCGGCCAGGGCGAAGTGTGGTGGTGGTCCTGGACAGAGGTGGTGGTGGGAGGATGAGACTTACAGGACGGACGAGGGAGGGGCATATTGACACACCATCAGCAATTCGCCAATTCATCATCGGCATCATCCACACTCGCATAGTATCCACCAACGGGCCCTGATTCCCCTGAAGCGGACCAGCGATTTTAGCTCGACGTGCCCCTGTTCAGTGCGGCTGGGCTGGGTCCTCCGTCCATGGGGAATAACCTAAACTTGAAGCCAACGCCGACTCCAACGCTTTCAATCATGCCCTAGATTGTCCGCGCAAGTCTCCGTGTTGGTGATCTGGTACAGGGTACCTGGGCGCCGCCTAGCGGCTTGTCTCCCACCGACGCTATCGAATTCCAACCAAAGACTTTCTTTTGCTGCCACGATCACAACGCTCGTGCTGTCGCTGGCGCATCCCTGCAGCAAGGTACCGCTACCTGCTCTCGAATACGAGGGCCGTTTGGTGAAGCAAAAAGGCACCGAAGTGCGAGGCGTTTCTCTGCACAAGTCGACAGACCCATTCAAGCCAAGCATAAAGGACAGCCGCCAGTCTTACCAGGCGAATCCATGCTGAGCTGCTGTAGCTGTGATTTGCTGTGCGGCGCTAGGAAAGGCAGTACTACCTATCCTGACTTTGGTATTAGGACCAAACGAGACGAGGCCGATACCAGCCTGAGAAGGTTGTTGTCACTGATTCGAGGACGCGACACTGTCCAAGGCTTCCTGACAGTCCTACACATCCTCAGAAGCCGGTGCCGAGTGCTGGTTCCAAATCTGTCAAAAGCTTGGACTAGTGGCCTTCTCGTCAGTTGATTCGCGTCCTAAGTTGAACAACCGTCGCGAGTCGTCGAAGGACGCTATCTCAGTCAGCTTCTGGACCTGGACCTGACCATGCGACTCAGGGGTATCGACAGATGGACGAACGAAGACGTAGTGACGGCAGCCCAGCGACGCCATTGACACTATCGTACGGGTTCTCCTACCCAAGAAAGCGGGACGGACGGCGGCGCCATCTTCCAGCGTCTTAGTTGGGATCATCCTGAAGGCTGGACTCGCCTTGGTTGCCAAGAAAAGACACACATGGGAGCCCTCGGGAGCCAGAAGCTGCAGAGAAAACGAGCGAGCTGCACGTCGTCTGAACCCCCGCTTGGGAATTGTCCCAACCCACGTCGTCCATGCACCTATCCCATCTCCTTCTGCCACCACCCCCATGCATATCCCATGTCAACCCCAAATCACACACCACCGCCACGCCTTAAGAACCTGGGCTCCCGAACCCAGCTTCTGCTCTGGGCTGCCTGGTGTTCCTCCCAACTGTCGCTCATCTCCTTTGACTTTGGCATTCGGCTTTCTCGGAGCAGCATTACCTAAGACTGTTTCTACAGTTGCTTATATACCTCTCCATCCTGCCTTATTCGTAGTACGATCACATCAGTTCCCGCTTCAACCTCCCGAATTCCATTTGTCCACCTGCCAGAGAGGCACGAGCCATCTCCCGCAACGACCGCTGCTAGTGAACGGACGACTTTCGCCAAGCCGACCCCTTTCCCATATCGTCAAGTCAGAGAGCCATCCGAGCTGGAATTTGGTCTGTGACACCGCCTGAGTTTCACCTGTGCCGCCTGAGTATTGCCCAAACCAGCTGCCCGGGCTCGATTTATACGGCATCCCGTCCGTCAAAGAACAACAGTACCCCGGCCGTTGTTTTTATTATCACTTCGCCTCCCACAACACCAACTCGTACAGGACCTTGTTTCCTCCTCTTCAGTAGAAATAACGTCGGATTTTTGGTAGAGGTGTGACCTTTTGCCGATTAACACCGGCTCTCCCCATTAGCAGCCTTGCCATCGTTGGCCCAGCGGCGTAGCAGATAAGAATATGGCTGTCTTCTCTCTTTTCAAGAAATCCAGGCAACAAGCCAAGGACTTCAAGCAAAAGCAGGCAGAGAAGGCCGCGGAAGCTCCGAAAGAGCCTTACCGACACATCCCTACTCATGCCGCCGTCGACGCGCTTTCCGGAGCACCATCAGCCTTCAAACACGAGGACCGGCCCAGGATCATGGAGCAAAACCGGCGGCGAAGTGCAATGGCCGCCAGCGGCTTGAGCAAAATGCCCGGGCCAAGCCTGCCTCGCGTATCAAGCAGTCTTTCACACGTCACTTATCCTTCCGCTCACGCAACTCCAATGGGTAACTTGCCCAGAGCATACAGCTACAGCGGCGGTGCACCACCAATGCCTTACTGGCAGGAGCGCAACAAGGAGTCCATTTATGGAGTCCCCGATAGCAGCCGCATCTCACTCAAAGGCTCACTCAAGGGGAAGGAGGTGGACAGGTCATATGCCTCGGGACGTAACAGCCCATCGTCCGCCAAAGGTAAGCTGTCTAAGATGACCTATTAGTCTATAAGAGGAGTTAGAGAGACTAACACGCGGCAGCCGAATCTCCAACGGGTAGCTCAAGTCACTCAACCAGCTCCCAGGAGGACTTGGAGATGAAGCCCGCTCGTCATCAGCCCATGCCACCTGCTGCCTCGGAAGGGCACCGAAACCCAGTTGCTGCCGTCCACACCCACCGGCTTCACCCAAGTTCTCGTCGGGCATCAGACGCATCGGAGCGCGCTGAGGGCTCACCCAAAGCTGAGCACTCTTCGCCTACCACCGACCGAATCAAGCCGCCGCCACCGATGCGCGGTTTCAATGCAATCCCAGCAATGACATCTCTTCCGCCCATGCAGTTTGGCAACTCCCCACCCACCCAACAAAACTTGGTTGCCTCATCAGCCGCCTCGACTGTCAGCGTCCGCTCTTCGTCAGGATTTTCTTCATTTAATTTCAACATCAACACTGGCGCGCCCTTCTCGGCCCCCATGTCCGGAAGATCGTCAGCTGCCACTACACCAGCAGCTTGCGTAACCCCCGAACCAGTCTACGAGTCTGTCGAAGAAGAGGAAGAGGGTTCTTACACATACGCCCCGCAACCCGCTGCGGCCGCGCCCTCTGCCATGAAGCAGAAGGATCGTCGCAGCAACTCAAAGTCCAAGGTCACTCGTTTCTCTGAACTGGAGAGGATCGACTCCCACACTGAAAAGGCAGCCAGCGTTATCAGCATCCCGTACGAAAACACCCGTCGCGATACCACGCCGCCGCAGGTCATTAACAACGCAGTCGCCGTGGAGATGATCAGCGCCGCACCTTCCGAAGTCGCTTCTAACGATAAGCCCGGGAAGCGCCTTTCAAAGCAGGCTGGTTCTAAGTTGGCTAAGAAGAGCCGCTGGTCAACAAAGAACTCTTCTGCCGTTGCTGTTTAAATGGCAATAGCAAGACACTGTCTACAACACATACACACAATTTTCCTACGTTTAAGATTCGCCCATGGCTTCTGGTGCCAAACCATAGCCTATTTTCAAAACGTGTGCGGGCGTTGAAGAGTAATGTCTTATTACAATGACGCCATGAGGACTGGGTTCTCTTGGCTATCCACCATGCAACACTTTGGGAACCGAAAAAGGATCGACAGAGGGCTTCTTTTAGAGTTGCTGCCGCTGGACCTCAGCAACACTGGAAATATCTCCAAGATACTACTACAAGAGCTTGTTTTATCTCCAGGATCGGGTTCAAGGTTGACGTGGATTTTTTCTGCTTATTTGATGACCATATCATGACCACACTTATACCGATAACATAGACATTTTTCTTACCTCTCATATTACTACCACTACCTTACGTTGTTGGGCAGAACAACGACCAACCAAATGAAATAGCAAAGGCTTCTTCAGGGTCTCAGCGTATATACCTTGGCTTTTTACTCCCTGCTTGACTTGATGTCGAGCATTGTTTCGACTCGAGACAAGATCCGCATTCAAATGGGGGGACGCCGAACCAGGTCCTTCAGATGAGACGGGGAAACAAAAAAAAGAAACTACAGAAAATGACAAAAAATAAGCTCACAATCATCCTCTGCTTGCTCCCTGCTAGTTCAAGTGACGTGCCTAGTACAACATTGCTACGAGTCTTACATCATAATACTAGCGGTGTGTTATGCGGGCGAGACAAATCGGATGGGAAAGACATCCAGGATAGACTAATCACAGCTTATTTGCCTGGCACCCTGGTGTGCCTGGCAAGGTTGAATCTTTTGGGTGAGACAAGATGGATGTCTCGGGGCACGGCACGGCAGAGAAAAGTAGAGACATGAAGCTCATTACCTCCCTTAGTCAGACATGGCCTCACAGGCCGGGGGGGCAGACCTGAACCTCGATTGATATCTTGGAAGAGTAGGTACTCCTCTTGGAAAGGCAGCCAGGCCCCCGTTGAACGCGACGCGGAACAGCCTTGATGTACTCGGTGTTGGTCATGCTCTCTTTCTTTTCCTTGGGCAAACAAGCTCCCGTCGGGTCGGAGGCGGCCTAAAGGAGGAAGCTTTAGTGCACTCAGTGCGTTCCCTACCTAGTAAGGTCCATAGAGCAGACGAGAGCTGGGACGCCCGCCAATCTAGACGGCGATGCGGCTGCGAATGGCGATCGTGAGTGCTGTCGAATCATTCGGCGCTGCAAGAGATATCTAGTAGCAACTAAAAGTATTACTCCCGTCCAGACCGGACTGCTCTCCATTCCCTAAGGCCTAGGACTACGGGCATGCCAATTATCAAAGAAGTACTATTATAGTGCATTGTTGGAAGGGGAAAGAGTAAGAGATCATCAGGGTCCACGCGAGGTTTTGCGTCGTCGACGACGCGCCGGCTGGCATGCCCAGGGATCGTCAGGGACGAAGGCTTTGGCGTGAGGGTCTGATGCAGATGACGAGAATGAAGGCCGCAAGAGCTTGTTGAGGTTTGTCGATATGAGAGGGAGCCCCCCACCCTCAGCCCCCCATGCGCGTGGATTTGGACGCTGGCGGTGGAGATGCCAACGCCAACACACGCGTTATCGAGTCCTTGCATATGCGCCAGAGACAGCTCGAGGAAGGTCCCCCTCTGTAGATGTGACGGGTCATATGTTTTGGCGAAGCCGGCTGAGAAAGCTGAGCAGAGCAGACTTCGAGTCGGTGACCTCTTGACGAAACGTTGTCTTGTCAAGGTCGATGTCCATCTCATCTTTGGGGCCATGGGAGACTTTGCGTGTCTTTACAGCACCTGATCCCTGGGGTAGATGTCGCTCTATTTGCAATGACGCGATGTCAATCTATCCATTGAATGCTCGTTTTCAGCACCTCTGTTGGCTGTAGATTTTGGTTGTCGTCCGGAGCGGCGCTGTGGGTACTGAATATGGACGGCATGGGCACGAGCAGCGGCCATTCATGGCGTTGAGCTGACGTGTCTGTCAGACAGTCTTCGGCCGAACACACGCATGCAGGGCCGATGAAATATTGGGTGATGGCGGAGGATTGTGCGCCGCATGGCATATGCGGTGCAGCTCGGGCGTTAATGCCCTGCCTCGGTGGCTTTATCCTGTAGCTCCTCTCCGTTCAGTACTCATCAGCTCCCAGATAGCGATACAGGGCAAATGCAATCCCGTCTATTGGCTCCGTTGGGACAGATTGCATGCAGGTTCTCGGACGTTTGGTACAGACCGGCCTCTTTTCTGTGCCCTCGGTACCGTAGTATGTTCCTTGAATTTCGATGACCTGGACATGGGAGGCGTCGGGGAAGAGACGGGCAAGGCTTGGGTGCAATTTCCACAGGAGACCAACTGCGCTCAGCTCTGGTAAGCCGTGGCTTGGAGGAGCCGTCCGGGCGGCTCTGGATACCCCCGATTATCGTGCGCTCCTCGTGGGGCTGGGGTTTCTCAATTTGAAGCTGACAATGGTCGTTGGCGCTCGTTGAGAGGCGTGCCAGGGGAACTGCCATTGGACAGTATTCGGCCCATTGGTGACTGGCCATACTTGTGTTTTGTCTGGGCGGCACGGGAGGTGATAACATGGTGGTGTAAGACGGGATGAGGTACCGATACCCTTTGGCGAGGCGAGCGAAGGCCGAGCTTATGTGGCGTCGTGTGGCTTTGGGAATGCATGGCAATTACCGGCACCTGGTGACGGCGGCTTGCAGCGAGCGGCTCAGGTGCCGCTGTGCCGCTGATTGAGACGACAACGCACTTACCACCTAGATATCATGTATTTGTCCAGAATAAGTGGGAGACGAGGGTAATGGAAGAAGTGACATCTGCGCAGGCATGGCGATCCCCATGCAAGCGTGGGGGAAGACTTGGGCCACGCTCCTGGAATGTGGGCTGGATCCGAATGCAATGGGATTGCCCCAGGCACAACATGGCGATGTCTTGGGTCGGATACTGACGCAGCATCTGCTTTGATTGTGGCTCGGCTCAAGGCGCGTCGTTGTCGTCCTCTGTTGACCCATGGGCAATCACGTGGGTAAAAGTACAGAGAAGAGGCAATCTCGATAGACTCGAGGGTTATGTTATGTTGGAGACGCTTCGGTCGCTACTTGTATGCAGACAGTGGAAATCTGACTAGGTAGGGTTACGCTGATGAAATGTAAGAGAACGCCCTCTCGGTTGGTGCCGAGCAAACACGATTGTTGCTCCCAAAAATAGGTACCTAGGTAATAGAGAATGCGATTCGTGCCAAAGTCGCATTTGCAACGCACCTACGGATCCGGCGGATACTGGGTCCCATCTGAACTCGCAATAGAAGTACTAATGCCTCCCCTAATGCGAGGCTACAACGTTTCCCCCACAAGCCGAAAATAGCGGGCAAGAGCTTCCCCTCAGGGGACCTGCCCAGGTACCACTCCAAGCCGACTGGCTCTTGCCATTGAAAGGTGCCCCAATGTTTCAATCCAATTGGCCAGCCTCGTTAAGCAGCAAAAGTTTGGCTGCCGAGAGCTGCCGCGTTCCGCATTACGTATCCCAGAACCCCAGAAACGCTGGTGCCGATGCTGCTGCATGTCAATTCAATCGATGCGTTCGTCTCATTGTCTCTGAACTGGAGCTGCAGCTGCGGCAGTCGCAGCAATTTTCTTTTTTCCTCTTCTATTCTCGTACGTGCAACGGAAACCTCCTTGTATTGCCTTCCTCACAACGTTCACTCTTTCTCTCATTGGCCGTGACCAAAGGCAATTCCGGCGCCAGTCAGCGCCCATGGTCACCACCAAAACACAACAATGGATCAGATAACTCAGGCCTCGTGGCCGGCCCTTGGCGTCGCGCTGGTTAGTCTGGCTGCCATCGGTCTCCTTTCAGTAAGCTACCTCCTCCCTGGAAGAATCGGTATCGCGGCTTTCACAACAAAGATTACCAAAGATGTCCAATTGAGCCCAATTAAAGCTAACAATCTACCCTCGACAGATCTTCATCACCCTCCACCTCGTCGCCCCGAAGCCCCGCGCCGTCCTACCCTCCGAAAAAGTCTACCTCACCTCTTCCGCCTCCGGGAAGCCAGTCAAGGTTGCGGCTCCCTCGTGGTTCGACCGCTGGTTCGCTGAACGCAGCGTCTCCGAGGCGCGCGCACACCTGACCGATCCCCGCGACGTCCCCGACTCGGGCGCGACAATCGACCCCGCGGATGTGCGCCTAACCGTCGTGCTCCCCGCCTACAACGAAGCAACCCGCATCCTCCCCACCCTCGAGGAGGCAGTAGAATACCTCGACGAGCACTTTGGCCGCCCCTCCTCCCCAACCAAGCCTCTCCTCAGCCCTACCACCCCGCGCCGACGCTACAAGAACCCGCCCTCCGAGGCCCTCACCGGCTACGAGATCTTGATTGTGGATGACGGATCCAAGGACAGCACTGTCGACGTCTGCCTCGAGTTTGCGCAGAAGCAGGGCCTCCACGATGTCATCCGCGTCATCAAACTCGAGCGCAACCGCGGCAAGGGGGGCGCCGTCACACACGGCTTCCGCCACGCCCGCGGCGAGTACGTGCTCTTCGCCGACGCCGACGGCGCTACAAAGTTCAGCGACCTGGGACGTCTGATTCAGGGCTGCGAGGAGGTTGTTGACGGCTCACACCGCGGTGTTGCTATTGGCAGTCGCGCTCACCTTGTCGGCAGCGAGGCTGTTGTAAAGGTACGTCCCTCTTACGATACCCTCAAACCCCCCACCTCCTTCTAGATGCTGACAATGCCAAGCGATCTGCCCTGCGCAACTTCCTCATGCGCTCTTTCCACCTTGTACTCATGATCTTGACCCCGCCCGCCACCTCCCGCCTCCGCGATACCCAATGTGGCTTCAAGCTCTTCACCCGCGCCGCCCTCCCGCACATCGTCCCCTACATGCACGCCGAGGGCTGGATCTTCGACATTGAGATGCTGCTGCTCGCTGAGTCGGCCCCGCCGGCGCCTGTCCTCGGAGAAGACGGCAGTGTTATTGGCACCAGCCCCGGAATCCGCGTTGCCGAGGTGCCTGTCGACTGGCACGAGGTCCCCGGAAGCAAGCTCAGTGTCATCTCGGACAGCATCAAGATGGCCCTTGGTCTAGCGATTCTCAGGGGTAGTTGGATGATGGGCGTCTATCGTCGGAGACTGACATAGTTGCATCTGCGTTGGGGTTCGCTTCTTTGTGTTTTATTCCCAACCCTCTTATTGATCTTGCTTTGAGATGACGGAAGGTACTCAGGGTTCTCCTATTCTAGAAAGAGGTAAAAAAGGTTGTTGACAAAAAGTTCTGATGCAGATATTGGAATCTGCTGATATAGACAGGGCAACGATGATTTGCCCAACATCATCGCGTTAGTAGTCACTCTGACTAGGCCTAGGAAATTCCAGCCATGTATAAAGGCCCTTGATTAGAACCCTCATGCGCATGTGAGATATGCACACAATATAACGTCATACAGCGGAATTGCTTGGGCAAGTGTCTGGGAGGACGTTATACAGACCTACAGACCAAGCGACTAAGAGGCGTGACCCTTATTGTTGAGGAATAGAAACGAAGAAGATGTATGTCGAGGCCTTTCGGATACCGACTCGATCCACGAGCAGATACCATTGGAGAACCGAACAACACGTAAACCTCGGGCGGCAGACCGTACACTCAAGGCCTGACGAATGACTATAGCCTAGAGCCCGATGGCTTTGCTCAGAAGTGCACTTGACGACATCAGGTGTTTTGTATCCTCGGTTGATTGACACAAGATAGTGGCCAGCTACGCCTACTTGAATCCGCTACCTCGTAATCGGTAAGAAAGATGATGCGACAGTGGCGCTTACGAAGAGCCTCCCATTATCAAACATGAGTGTCCCTACAACACATTGAGAATACGGACGCGCTGTGTAAATGGCAGGGCGGCGATGTGCAAAGTGTAAACAAACAACAGGCACCGATTGAGGTAGTAGGGGTATTTGAAAATGAATATTCAAACTGTAATATGGTCTGATGCACCTGTATCTACACTCGGTGATCCAATGATCCGCTTCCATCCCAACTATGGTTGTGTCGTAACTGAGTATATATATACAGACAGCCCGAGACCTCCTGACGGAAGACCTCGACGCGGTGGGCATTGCCCCTTTTTTGGTTGTTCTTCGTTGGTTCATCGCTCATTCCGCCAACATCTCTTTTGCTCATGTCTAATAACCATGTAAATCTCATGTCTAGCGTCCTCATCTCAGCTCACGCCACATGACGGGCAAGAACACGACACTCGCTCTCCAAAGAATGAGAATGCCGTCAATCAGCGCCAAAGGCGCTTTCAAGAAACCAAAGACGCTGCCACCCATAAGGTTGAGAGCGTTGAGCCAAATGGCGAGGAAGGCAACGCTGAAGAAGTGATAAGCGAGCTTGCCCGGCTGGTGCAGCAGGCCGCCCATGAGGGCCATGGGTTCGGAGGCGTGGCCGCGCTGGAAGTAGGAGAAGCATCCCATCTGCAGAGCACGCAGCTGGCGGTCGTTTGCAGCAAACAGAGCATATAACGCCATCGCCAGCACGTTGATAATGGACGTCAGACTCTTGCGCCGCCAATGGAACTCGCGCAAGACTCCCTTTAGGGCCACAGGGTCGGCGAGGTCGGTAACGCGCGAGGGGTGGAGCAGGTCGGAGAGAATCACACAGTCGTTGAAGGCGACGGTCATGCCGCCACCCGTGAGGGGGTGACGCATGTTGAGGGCGTCTCCGAGGAGAAGCATGCCGTTCGCCGTCTGGCGTGAGGGAGGGAGGTAGGAGTTAGGCATGGATCGGGGGATCTTGCCGTCGGCAAGAGCAGCTTCGAAGCATGGCCGCATCTGGGGTGGCAACGTCGGCATGACTACGTTCTTGATGTAGCCACGAACACCGCCAGCGGCAGGCGAGGCTTCGGGGATGTTGGCGGGCACGTCGATGAGCGCGCGGGTCTCGTGCGTGCCGATCTGGTACAGGAGAACAGGGAAGGCATTGCCGATGCAGACATGGCCGTAGCCAGGCGACAACATGGGGGCGTCGATGAGTTCAAGGGCGTAGAACTTTGACTTGACGACGGGTTCTTGCGGAAGGTACTCCTTGCGGAACTTTGAAGCGTAACCGTCGGCAATGATGGTCAGCTGACCAAAGAAATAGTCGTCTTTCTTTTGACCCGTCGCGGCGTCTGTCGTCTTGGACCTAACACCAAGCACCGTGTCCTTGTCGTCGCCTCGTATCGTAGCTGTCACCTCGGTCTCGACAATGGTGATGTTCTCCTGCCTCATGCAAGCGATGCGGAGGTTGTTGATGAACCGACCGTGGTGAAAGCACTTACCCTCCTTCTGCTTCGCGCTCGCGGATGCTGAGTCGTTCTCTGAAGGGTGAATCATGCGACCGTTCTCGTCAAAGGAAGGGTAGGGAATGTCGATTCCATCTCCGTGGAAGCTGACTTTGTAGCCGTAGCATGGAATGGCGTCAATGCCCTCGAGGGTGTCGGCCAAGCCCAGCTGACGCAGTGCGACGATACCGCCGGGCTGCAGCAGCTCACCGACAATGCGATCCGGCTCCTTCATCCACCTCTCGAGCAAGATCACACTTCTTCCTTGCTGGCCCAATGCGTATGCAATAGCGCAACCGAAGACGCCAGCGCCGACAACAACGACATCGGCCTCATGGTACTTAGTGCGCCGCTCGGCGCGGGCGTCGGCAGCTGCTGTTGGACTTTCAATCATTTCGAGTTGGCTCTCAGGGACTGTTTCGCTGGATGAGGGTTGCTGTTGAAGCGTAGGGTAGCGGGAGAATCGTGGTGTTGCTGATTGCTGTTATGGGCTTACGTCAAAGATACTTTGGAAGGAACGGCAGCGGAAGTGGTGTTGAAAGTCACTTTCGAGGGAAGCCTGGATCCGGTCGTTGGGAATGCGCTCGGAACCGTTGGGGGGAGCGTTATGACAGGAAGAACGGGAGGGGAGAAGAGAAAGGTGAGACTGGTTGCCGTTATCGGGTTTTATGAGAGACCATGCGAGATTGGTCGAGGTCGAGGGGTGGGAGGTGGGAGGTGGTTAGACTCGTCGTTCGTGTCCCGCCTCGAACGATATGGTGGCAGACGAATCCAAAGAAGGAAAAGAAGCGTGATGAGTGGTCGATTCAGTTCACTGGGGCCCCTGCACCGTAGTTTTTGCCAGGGGGTAAAATGTTTCTTTCCAGGTTGGTTGTTTCCTGACAGACTGACAGACAATGCAGCCAGGTACGAACGGTAAGAAGGAACCTTGGCCAAGGTTTAGAGGAATGTAAGGTACCTAATCTAACCTTTGTAGCGCTTGGTTCGTTTGTCGAGCTACCTAAGGTACATACCTAATCATCCGCTACTCTGGAGGTACAGTAGGTAGGTGCAAAAGACATTGACCCCTGGAAGACAGCAGGAAAACCAGCCGCTCGAGGCTCTCGGAGGATCCAGAAAAATTACAGAAGGCGATCTCAACGACAAGTCGTTCCATGGCGGCTCCCGCCGTTGCAATCGAACCAATTGCCACGTTCCAATTAGTGCCCACACACCGCCCATTTCACGTGTCGAACCACGGTCATGCGTAATAGATTTCTGCTCGGCCCAAACATCAGGCATTGTTAGTCCCCACCCCTTTGTATCTCGTTCCTGACTTCTGCTTATTTCTGTGACACTGACAGGACCCCCAGATCTACTTGGGTAGAACCCTGCATCTAGAAGCCCAGCGTTGCCCGCGTACACTTCAGCCGGGCCGGGTAGGGAGAGTGAGCTGATGCTCCCCTTTCACAAGCTGCTTTGAGAATCACCTGTTGATGTTGCTGAGCCCAAATCGTACACTGTCACCTCTTGGACCCCCAAAACTCGCTTTGGCTGTCACCAGATGTTGGCCGATATGATCCATTGAAATCCCGTCGTGTGGGTTCCCTAGACTGGCACAAAAAGGGGCGCTGCGGCGCCCCTCTCAATGCGATCTTTCGGTAGCCAATCACAACTCTACTATGAGACTTTGCAAGAAGTTGCACCATCAACATCCAAAAAGTTTAGTTCCACTCTCTCAATTGAGCATGCGTCTCGCAGCATGTGAAAGTTTTTTGGGATCATGTCTCGCGAGACCTGGCTTCATGCGTTGCAGCCACCCGACGTTCAACCAGCCGTCACATCAGACCATGCGCCTTGTGCCTATATGCGTACCAGATGCAAACGGGAACCAACAAACCTCCAAGGTGCAGGCAGAAGCCACCCGGTTATTGTAATGAAGCCTCTACAGCATGCAACTTGAAGGTTCAAGTTCCGTGAAGCCTTGTTGTAAAAGGAAACTCGGATCTAGCAGCGACACCCTCAGCACGATTTTCTTTCAAAAATGTCAACAATTTCCAACAATCTAGGGAAGAGCATTGTAAGCAGTTCAGGTCCAAGTGTACGGAGCTTACCCACTTGGCTTCTTGGGTAGACAGTGACTGCTAGTCGACGGTGTGGATTTACATTACGCCTCATCCAGCACATCATTCAGAAGTGGCTCGATAGAGACAAGATTCTTATTTCACCCGTTGAGAGCCATAGTTGAATATTGATAGAATGGACGCATAAGGCCCATCACAGCCGCCGACAAGACCAGCTACACAGCGGCAGTCGTCGAGTAAGTTCAGGAAGATCTACAACGATGCCAAGAGACAGAAACCGTGAACAATCATGACTCTCTATTTCTGGTTCTGGTGCTTCATAAACTGTTTCGACCACCTCTCGTAGCCCTCCAGCATCTGATGCGTGATGCCCTTGGGAACAGACTTGATGGCGTCCACAATGTCCTCCATGCAAACCTGCACCTGCTCCGCCGCCCCGTCCAGCCTGGCGCCGCCGCCACCCTCCTCCGTGCCGCCAATATGCGTCCTGCTAAGCGTCTTGCTCAACGCTGGTTCCGTCGCCACGTTGACAATCTGCTTAATCTCGGCGCCCGAGAAGCCTTCGGCCAGCCTTGACAGCTCCGCCACGTCCACGTCCGCCGCGAGCGGGAGCTTGCGCAGGTACAACTTAAACACGGCCTCCCGCCCCGGGGCGTCCGGCGGGCCCACGTACACAATCCGGTCGAAGCGGCCAGGGCGAAGGAGCGCCGGGTCCATGGCCTCGGGCCGGTTCGTCGCGGCGAGGATGAGCACGCCCGAGAGCGCCTCGAAGCCATCCATCTCGGTCAGCAGCGTCGTGAGCATATTGACAGAGCCCTGGCTCTTGGCGGCGCCACCACCATTACCCCCGGCGCGCTGGCCGCCGATGGAGTCGATCTCGTCAAAGAAGATGATGCTCGGGCTCGCGGCGCGCGCGCGCTCAAAGAGTTGGCGGACCGCGCGCTCCGACTCGCCCACGTACATGTTGAGCAGCTCAGCGCCCTTGACGGCGAAGAAGTTGAAGCCGGACTCGGTGGCCATGGCCTGCGCCGACAGCGTCTTCGAGCAGCCGGGGGGGCCGTAGAGAAGCAGGCCCTTGGGCGGGGTGAGGATGAGCTTCTGGACCGTCGGGTCGTTTGTCGTCGTGAGGGTGATCATGTTGCGCAGGGCGTGCTTGAGGCTCTCCTGGCCGCCGACATCCTGCCAGTGGATCGTGGGCGGTTTGAGATTCACGTCGTGCATAGCTGTCGGCCTAGTGGAGCGGAGGGCCTGCTCCAGGTCCTCCCGTGAGAGGTACGCCGGTCCCATTGCCTCCTCGTCGTAGCCGGCTTCGTCTGGATCAAGGCGTTCTGCTGAGATGATCATTGCGTTTTCGATGAGTCTGTCTAGATCACTTGCGTTGAAAGCGTGTGTTTGTTGTGATAGCTTAGCCAGCATCACGTCTTTAACCTCTGGCTGAATGGGTATTTCAAATGAATTTAGTATTTCAAGTCGACCCTCGGCGTTGGGTATCGAGAGGGGAATGTTCCGCTCGAATCTTGTTCTCTTCTGTAGCTCAGGAGGTACGTCTGTCATATAGTCCAGACAGGTGGCGATGACCACGACCTTTGGTAGTGTGCCGTTCTTGAGAGCATCCTCGGCCAGCTGGTCAAGCTGCTGGCCCAACCGCTGGGTGATGGCGGTGGAGTTTGCCCTGTCCTTTCCAATCAGGGCCTGGAGGCCGTCAATAACAATAATACTGGGCTTCATCGCCCGTGCTTGCTTGAAGACCTCCTCAACAGTGGACGACTTGTCGTTCTCTTCGATGCGGAAGACCCGACCCCAGCCCGTACCTGCTATACGGTTCAGGATGTACGACTTGCCGGTACCACGTCCACCGTGGATGACGATTCCGCACGATTTTTGCTGGCCCTTGTAGACGAACTTGGTGTTGAAGCCGCGGAGAAAGCTCCGCAATTTCTTCTCTTCTGCATGTAAACCAGGGATATTCGGGACGATGAGTTTCGTCACGTCACGCACTTCCTCGACAGGCTCCTCTTCCTCACCGGAGACGATACTGGGTATTGTTGAGACAACATAACGGGCTACGTTATGTGTCTGGCCATCTACGGATGTAATCCTGAAGATCTGTTTTGAGCCAGGCGCCACACACTCGAATTTCATGCCCGGAAAGACCTGCTCAGCTCGTCCTGAGGACAGGCAATATCAGCATCGTGCCAATGTTGAGCAGACAAGGGAATATCATTGCGAGTAAAAATGAGTAAAAATGAGTAAAAATGTTGTTTTGGATAGAGGCTGCGGGAGAAGATTACGGTAAAGACTGCTGACAACCGAGTTTAATACAAAGAAGGAGGAACTAAGTAACTCACCAAGATAGAACCGAATCACTCCCACCCACGCCCCCTCCCACGCGCTGATCTCGGCCTTTTCCCTCTCAGACGTCGTCACAGGCAGGATGCTCACTGACTCGGCGTCAGGAACCACAGAACTTTCCGTCATCGTGATCGTGATCTGGTCACCCAGTTCGAACCCGCAGGCCTCGCGGTACGCCTCGCTCATGAGTATGATGTTGGGGCTGATGTTCTTGTCAGCGAGTGTCCAGAGAGCGGCCTCCCGACGCAACGGCTCCGTCGCTGCAGACTTGGCCGCGTCCTGAGCGGCGATTCTCGTGACAATACAGCGCCGTCCATTGTCGACGCTCCCCGTAAGCTGGATCAGGGAGTCCCGGTTGACGTAGATCCTCGAGGCGCCCTTGAGCGTCGACTTTTCGAGCGTCTTGTCGAAAGGCGCCAGAGGGCGGACCTTTCCGTCGATGGCTTTGACCATTCTTCTACTTGTAGCCGGCGGCACCGTCAGTGTCGCGGTTGCTGTCGTCTCGACCCCCGGTGAAGCTTTCTTTCACTGAATGCCCAATCCGCGAGACAAGCAGATCGCGGAGTAGAGTGATCCAATGGGAGGCGCGAAAAGAACGTCAGACCAATAGGAAGGAAAATTGAAAGCCCCCTGTTCTTGAATCTTTGGTGTCTTGTGGCCCTTCGGAGGAATCTGGGTTGTTCAGACGATGTTTGTTCTTCATCCGTCACTGCCCACATGAGTTGACAATGGTGTAGGGCCCAGACCGGGGTACGGCATCGAGAAAACCCTGCGACAAGATCCGGAAACGATGAGTTTTTGAGAGGGAACTATGGCAGCCACAACACAACTTTCTATCCTCTGCCTTCGGATAGTATCACAGTCTCTGTTGAATTCCCGAGAAAGTTGCGAAATATTTCTATAATTTTCTCGAGCTCATAGCATGTAGACATACCTTTGCTGGGTGTGTCGACCGAGATTTCCTTCGTGTAAGTGAGCCATGAAAAATTCAAAGACCCCTCCCTCCACCAGGTCCCTACCAATTTTCCTCGCACCTTAGTCCACATATCGGCCCCACACCAGCTCAAACCAACCTGGAAGGGTACGGATACGTAGCTCTGCAAAAGTACCTACCCTGCCCAATGTCGCATCACAGCGCGGAAGAACGTCAGACCCAACTCTGAACATCTTTCTTCACTTGCGACAGCCTCTACCGCCCCAACCACCAAAGTCTCGACTACACAGGCCAATTGACAAAACAAGAAGTTCCCCTAGACACCTTTCCCCCAGACCCGACGACGCCCAAGTCCCTCCGGGCCCATGCAATGGGCTGACCTCCGAGGGCTGCGCAGCTCGACCGGAAGAGTTGCCCGCATGAGCACGATCGCAGCCCGACGACGGCTCCCGCTGTTGCAACAGCTGCCGTCCCTGCATGCGCCAGCATCGGCGCCCCGAAGGTGCTTTAGAGCGAACCAAGACCGCGGCGTGCGGCTCTTCTCGACCCAACCTCGGCTCAGTTTCCCCGACCATGGGGGGAAGAAGAAACCAACGCGAAGGGAGCAAAAGTCGAAGTCGCCTTCGCTATTCGAGGAGCTGTTCCCAGACGATGAAATTTCTCCTTCTTCGAATCACTCCAGGGCGCAGGACGATGGGGACAGTAAAGGGAAGGTCAAGGTCCGGTTCATAACCTCCACCGACCCGGACAAGTCTGAGTCGACAGAGTACAAGATGAGGCTACTGGAGCGCAAGAACAGGTCCAGCAAGTCAGAACGTGAGGCGTCCGGGCAGATTGCCGACTTCTTCGAGGCGCGAGCAAGGGCGAAGAAGGAACAGGACAAGGCGGCCGACAGAGAGAGTTCGTCCATCTTCAACGAGCTCTTCTCGGCCCCGGGATCCGGAGCGGCTGCTGCTGCTGCCGCAGCACTGAGAGGGGGAGGTGCCGAAAGCAAGCTGGGAAGCTCTCAGGCCGATCAGCACCAGTCGGAAGAAAGATCCGTTAACCACAACGACCTCCAGTCCTGGCTCGACTCCCTCCCGAAGGACGACGCCGCGACCGCCACCTCCCCGGCAGCGTCCCCAGAGGCGGCGGCAGCGGCGGCGACAACGACGACCAAGGCAGAGCGCTCCGCCATGCTCATCCTCTCCAACGCCAGCCCGAACCTCTTGGAGAGCGATTTCTACCGCATCGGGCCCCAGGGCCACCACCTCGACGGCTGGAGCGCCTCCATCCGGAAAGTCATGCAGGCCTACGACTACAGCACCCTGGAGCCCATGGACCGCTACTTCATCCTCTTCGACTCCCACGCCGCCGCAGCAGCCTACCAGCGCGAGGCACAACGCCTCCACGCCCTCGCCCGCCGCTCCCTCGCGTCCCCCGCCGCCGGCCTGGCGTCGTCGTCGTCCTCCTCCTCCTCCTCCTCCTCCTCCTCCTCCTCCTCCTCCGGCTCAGCGCCCTCCAAAACGTCAGCCTTCAGCCTGGCGCCCCCCTCCAAGGCGTCCCTGAGCCTGCATCTCTACAAGCTCAACCGCGCCACCGAGGCCCGCCTCGAGACCTTTAGCATCCACGGTCTCCTGAGCATGACGCCGGAGCCGCCCCCCCGCGCAAACTCCCACGTCGTCCTTTCCCTCGAGGGCGGCACCCTCGACCAGCGTAGCCTCTCCCACTGGATCCGCCGCGACGCCCGCGACCGGAACCTGGGCTGGCCGGTGCAGCACCTGCGTCCGTACTTTGCTCCCAAGGTGGACCGACGGACGGTGACGGCCGGGGAGCCCACGGAGGTTCCGGAACCTGAGTGGGATGACGACGCGGCGCCGGAGTTGATGGTGGCCGACTCGGGACGGAGAGCCGGCCCCGGCCCCGGCCCCGGCGTCGGCGGTGACGCTCTGGATGAGACGGCCCCGTCTGCTCGGTTTGTCGTTTCGTTCCCGGACGTGCATGAGGCGAGGCGTTTCGTTCGTGCGTGGCACAAAAAGGAGCTTATTTTAACAAATGACCAGAGCGTAATTGTAAACACATATGTTGTGTGGTGATGCCGCAGGTAGCAGCGACCGTCGATAAGAGTGTATCACATGGCTTATCCGCCTTGAAATTGTGGAAGAATATGGGGAGCACATATCTCAAGAGGCAAAGACCTCGATTGTAGATGATGGAGGAGCATGAGGAAAAAAGGATGTATTATAAACCCAGAAATAAAAACCCGAAACTCCAGACCAGATATTTGCTCTCTAGGGGGATGAAAAGGCGCTGTCGGCAAGAAACCACATGACAATAACCACACAGTACTTTCTTCCCGTGGGGTCCAATGAGGAAGTATTCAAGGAGACAGGAGGTGAGCGCCGCCGCACTCTCTCGTGGAGCACACAGATACCCAGCCGGCCGGCCCATCGCGATTTCAACCCCCTACTCTCGTGAAGTTTTCCTCTCAGCCAATTGCCTCACCGGAAGCCCCGGCCCTGCCTTCCTGGTTGCCCCTGTCAGGTCCTCCTCTCACCGAATTTCTCTGTGTCCTCCGGCGGTGAGGTCCGCTGTAAAGCCCCCTATGCCCTCTTCTTGCTCACTCTCCCTCTCTCCTTCCATGCACGTCTTTTCTGCCTTTGTAGGACGACGCTGTCCCCGGTGGCAGCGCGGAAGCAACCAAAATAATCAAATCTTGCATTGGAACATAACCAGAGCACAAAATCGAGGGTCCCGTGCCCACGCCTTCCGTCACTTTAACAGCACTTTCCGCCGGCTCCACTTGACTCGCCGACGTTGACGCCCGAGGCGGCGGGCTGCTCGTTCTTCTGGTTGTCGATCAGGCGCTTCTTGATATCGGCAGCGAGAGAGTAAAAAGCCTTGTCTATGTTGATGTTGCTCTTGGCCGAGACCTCGAGGAAGGGGATGCCGAGCTCGTCGGCGAGCTGCTGGCCGCGCTCGGTCGAGACGACACGCTTCTCTTCCCAATCGCACTTGTTACCGATGAGAATCTTGTTGACGCCCTCGGTGGCATGTTGCTCTACGTTGGCGAACCAGGTGCGGATGTCTGCGTGAAAGGAGTACCAGATTAGTTTTCTCTTCTCACGTACTTGTCCCCATTCATCCAGGATTCCTTTCGCAATGGCGACTGCCATGGACAGCAGCCGTACTGATGGATCGCAACGAAAGGGAGAAATCGACGTACTGTTGAAGGAGCGCTCGTCGGTGACATCGTAGACGAGGAGAATTCCCATGGCGCCGCGGTAGTAGGCGGTGGTGATGGTACGGAAGCGCTCTTGGCCGGCGGTATCCCAAATCTGGAGCTTGACACGCTTGCCGTCCAATTCGATGGTGCGGATCTTGAAATCAATGCCGATGGTCGTGATAAAGGACGGCGTGAATGAGTCTTCGCTGAAGCGCAACAGGCAGCAGGACTTGCCTACGCCCGAGTCGCCGATCAGCAGAAGCTTGATCTAGGGTGCTGGTCAGCCACATGTGAACACGATGTCATGTTTGCCCCCGTAACGATTGCAGACGGAGAAAAAGAGCCATGCTCGAGGGAAATGTTCGAAGGACGGGCTCATAGGTGGCGAGGGTTCTTAAGTAAAGGGCGGGACGAGGCTAGGAGGGGCACGGCATTCGACACGTACAAGGAAGTCGTAGTTGCGGTTGCTCGACATTTTGGCGGCGGGTGTTGTTGGGGACTAAACCGAAGGGGCCGATCTGAAGGGGCGGCGTTTCTGCTCCGGGGGACGTATGTGCCAGGCAAGTTGGATCGAAGATGCCAAAGGGAGGCGATTGTCGTGATCTTGTCGGTCGGGTTCGGGCAACGGTGGGGGAAGATGCGATTGGGATGTTGGTAGGAAACGGGCCTAGGTAATGTGTCGTAGTAGTAGTATGTACGAATAGTGAAGGTAGGCACACAAGCGCTGGGCTACGGGCGAGGCGAGGCACTGCGGTGTACAGTTTACCACACTGTGAGGAGGTACGTAGCGTCGAATCGGTTGGTCTTTTGGGGGGAGAAGTGTGGCGCCTGCCGTCTGGGGTAAGACACTGGACCCAGCCTCTGGCTTGACCGACCCGATTGACCTGTGTCGTGCTGGGACAGGGCCTGAGGGATTTGGAGACTTGGTGACTTGGCGGTGGGTTTCGCAGGCTAACGTCTTCCCGGGTAAGGTAGGTTGGAAATCAGTACCTACGTAAGGTGAATCCCGCCGCCCAAAATCTTGTAATTAGGTCCACTGCTGATATCTGTGGTAGGTATCCGTAGTGATACCAATCAACTGCTTCCGGCGCTAGGTCGAAGTGAAATGAGATAGTGAATGCTCACCTCAAGGTAGATACAGTGCCCGCCAAGGGAGATTGACCCGAAGATGTCGGATCTGCGTCGGAGGGGAGCGAAAGGTTAAAAGAAGCAAAACTCCCCTGGTCGATCCAAGCACCTTGTTGCAGAAAAGCAAGTGAAATTTTGGGCAACACGTAACACCTCAGCGTCCTCCCATGACGGATATGGGGGGAAAGGGATGGACCCGGGCATGCCAGGCTCGCTCACCGAAGAGCGACATGCTACCTCAGCCACCAGATACATGTCCACCAAGCTGCTATCTCGAAACTTGATGCGTTGTCTTTGCCGTGGCACTACACCCCTTCGCTGCCAAATGTGCTCGGTCTCCCGCCTCCGTCAGACTTGCCAGGAGGCTACCAACGAAGCCACACCAAACGTCATCGCACTGTCTCGCCTCAGGGTTCAGGTCCAGAGCTAGGTCACGGGTCCGTCGCCCGAGCATCTTGGGTGGCGGCCAGTCTATGGTCACAAGAGACGTTGTTGAGTCTCACTCACTTTCGCTTATTGCTATACGTCACCCGTCCAATTGCGCTTCAATTCAACTTTTGATCTAAACACCTTTCCTAGTGACAAATGCCGCCTGCTAAGCTCCGGTACCAATGTGCGATGCTCCGTTGACAATTCATGATGCCTCCAGTGGTGTACAGATGTGGTACAGGTTCCACCGAGAAAGGCCGTTCCCGCTGTGCGTAGTAAAGTATCTGAATGCTGAAGCTCAAATCCGTAAGACCGTGTATCCATGCGAATCATTATTGCGCCCGAGGTTCTCCGTCGTTTTACTGTAGCCACTTGGCGTACGCCCAGCGAATGCGATCCAAAGCTCTGACCTGCACCTGAATCCCCTTCAAGTTCGCAAGATCATCCAAATCCTCGAGAAACTCTCGCTGCCTGTCGCGAGGCAGCACTCTTTGCATCAGGTTGCGCAGCACGTGGACTTCGCACAGCAGGAGGCCGTGATCCTTGTAAGAGAGGAGGTTGTTCTGTGACGGCGTCGCCTCTGAAAAGATCCTGTCAATGTTGCGCAACACTCTGATGCTCTGTCCAGTCTTGCGGCTCTGCCTGGCTCCCTTGCGAGCACCAAAGAAGCCGCGAAGATACTGAACAATGCCAATCGAGACAAGCACACCAGGTGTCAGACCCACAAACCCAAACACCAGTTCCTGGCTCTTGAGGAGAGAGTCGATGCCGCTGATGGCCACCTCTAGGTCGACCTTGGTCTTCTGGACTTGGATGAGGAGTGATCGGACGAGGTCGCCCTTCACCGCCCCAACAAAGGGCGTCCGCAAGTCCTTTTCGTATGCACGCAAAACCGGTGTGACGTCTCCCTCGCTGACCTTGGTGCGGATTACTTCGATCTGGGCGTCGGTGAGCGACGAGCCGTCGCCAGCAAAGTGAGGTTTATCCAAAGCAAAGTCCACAACCATGCGCTCCAAGCTTTCCCGATCGGCCTTGAGACTATCTCGGCTCATGATGGCGATCTCACTGCTCGAGTCGTGTCGAATAGTTCCGACAATCTTCCGTGTCGGCTCGATGACCCAGTTAAACCAAAAGTCTCGTACCGTAGATCCAATGTCCCGAACCCAGCTTAGAATCTCAGCTCGTCTGTTGGCAAGAAGTCGAAGGACAGTCGTCGATGACAGCAGAGCTGCTGTTGCAGGCAACCAGTATCGGATGAATCTCGACGGGCGACCGTTCTCACGAACAAGCAGCTGCGCAGACATGACGTGGTTGGGAAGGCCGTTATCCAGGAGGTTGAGAAGACGTCTAGCCAGCACGGAAGGCTTCTCCAGAGCGTTGGCGTCCTCGATGTGAATGCTAAGCTCGGGGTCCTCCTCGACTCCGGCGAATACCTTGTCCTCAAAATCGTTGACGCCAGACTCCAGAGTCAAGGCTTCCTTAAGAACCATGTCCATGAGAGCCACGCTTCGCTCAACCACACCTTTCCAGTCATGGCTGTTGACACCCGCTTCGCTCTTGTCGTCATCTTCGTCTCCTCCAAAGGTCAGCCCTTCGTCGACGAGCACACCAAGACCGCTTGCTATCATATCCCGCAAGCGCTTGAGATGTGCCAGTTTCCTCCTAGCTTCGCCCCGGCTAAGAGCCACAGGCGAAAGGACCTTGCGCTGAAGGGTCGTGATCGATGAGTCCCGAATGCTGTCCCGTACGATGCCGTAAAATTGTTTCCATTGCTGTGATAATCCTGTCCGCGTCGATGCGACAATGTCTCCCGGCGTCTGGCTGAGATTTCGAATGCGGTGCTTGCTTTCATGGTAGACGTCCTTAGTCAAAGCCCACAAACGCAATGGCGACGTCTGGACAGTGTAGAGACTGCTATAAGTATAAGAGCTCAAAACCTCATCCCAGTACCACATCTCATCACTGAGAGGGATGATCTGGTCGAGGAGCGTGTTCAAAATGATACCGTAAGTCTGTACGGTAGCTTTGCTGACGAGCAGCCACTCGATTTCCGACTGGTAAGGACCTCGTCTGGCTTCGTCATCCTGCTCCGCCTGGAAGTCCCATTCCGCAAGTTTGGATTCTTGCAGTAGAGTGCGAATCCTCTGGGCGGGGAGCAGGGAAAGCGAAGTAGAGGTGGTAGACAGAGCCCTGACGATATGCAGGAGCTCCTCAATTCTTGGCGACGACAGTGCGTCTACGGTGGCTGAGTGAAAAATGCCATGCTCTTCGGCAGAGAGCTCGCCATCTTCTTGAGATAGACTTAGACCCAGTGGAATCCGATCCAGCTGCGCGTCTAAGCGGCGGACCTGGCTACATGCAGGGAAGAGTTGATGTCAACATTCAAATGTTTTGTTTGGGATGACGGGAAGCCAAGGAAAGATGGGACGGAATACTGACTCGGCAACAACAGACATTATAGCTTCTCACTCAGAGAGCACTCCTCCTCCACTTTCATGGGTCGTTCTTCGCGTTGAACTCTCGAGGCTGTGAGGATTGCAGTCCGGTGAGGATGGGATTGATGGAGAGAATGCAGTGGAAGTTTGGGTTAGACGTCATCAGGTAAGCGAGTGCACCGGGCAACTTGGGCCAGCGCCTGCGGCCAACAACGCGGTGAGTGGTTGGAGAGAACGTGGGATGACAGGTGGGGTCCCTTGGGTGCGCCTTAGTCAGCAAGCGCCACTGACGGAGCTAGACCGCTAGAATGATATTGGTGCGAATGAGCTTATTTCCAACCTGCTGGATAACTTGGTGGGTGTACGTGCTAGATTCCGTGCTGGATTTCTCCATGAAGGACTTACTTGCATACGACGTCCGTCTACTTTTATGAAAGGGCACAATTTGATGTTAAAAGAGTCTCGGTAATACCAGTTTCTCACGGACATTCCCCCAATGCTTCAGGTCTATTTCAATTATGTATAGAAAGATCAGTAAAGTTGGCTCGCATGATCCGTGGCGGACCGATAGGAAGAAACGTTGCCAAGCCGTCCATGTCATTGAAAATACACAAGAGCGTTATCAGCTGCATTAGGATTCGCGACTGCCTTTGCAAGTTTTTACGCTTGCGGAATTCGATTCAGCAACGGCGATCTGTAACGGGACCGCCCGGACTCAAGCTCGCGTGGTTGTGAACCCTATATTAAGCAGTTCCGCGAGGAGATATCCATCTTCGCAGCCGAAGGGTCAATCACACATGAAATCTTCGCTGGGGAGGGAATGTTAAGTCATGAGAGGTCGCGACTCATCCTATACTTATGAAAGCCAACGCCCGTTTTGATGCGAAGCAGTAAAGCGCTGGCATCGTCCCAGCAGTTGGGGAATCTGAGGAGGTCGAAGAAATAAACCTGGAGGCTGAATTCATTCCCCGTTCCCTGCGGTGCTGCACTCTATGCTGGGTGCTACCCTTGGACTTTTCAGCTGACGACAAGAAGACAGGTCTTGTAGAATTTGAGACTCGTACCCAAGCTTGGTCGAACAGTAAAAAGATCTGACTGCATGCCTGTCTGCGTCGATGGTAACTTTTACTTCATGTCGATGAAGTTATCCTATAGCAAATTCAAGTGAAGCCAGGATGTCGTTAATAGAGATTTATCGCCGTATCTGAAGAGTTACCCATGCCAAGGTAGGTAGTTCATGATGATCCCCGCATCCCTGTAGAGTCGATTCAAACTCCATTTCAAGAACGGGACAGAATCATTTTGATCATAAGTCTTTGAGATCACCGATCTGCATCACGCCACGTGCACGCCTTGGTTGCGTCGATAAGCTGTCAAAACTTGGATTTTTGACATTATGAAATACGGCGGATCTAGTGGCATTTGGAGGTTCCTCGTAGAAACCCAGCATGATCTGGCTAAAAGCTTGATCAAATCAGGAGCAAGGCATTCGTGGTTTCTACAAGCTTGGTCAAGAGCAGTCAAAGGACCTGTAAGCTTCAACGAGTTGACAATATGCCTCTAGGATTCTACCCCAGCCGTGTAAGGAAGCTGTGGCTGGTGGCAGCTTGTAGCACAGAATACCAGATCACATATGTTGAGTGTGCCGGGTTTCCTCACGCGTGGCCTGGATGTTGCTCTACCATTCTATGAACACAGGCACGTCTACTACCACATGGTTGCATTGGCCTGGTATGGTGCCAGCTCCCTCGCAAAAGTGCAAGACTAATGCCACAGGCATGAACACGAACATCAAGCTCGCACTGTTCCTGTTATAGGAGCAGGACGGATAGTAGTCTGATGTCACACGAGGTCCCCTGGAAGCTTCATAGTACTCGTTACTTTGAGTCATCAGTCTGCAAATTCGAAGCCTTTGTGTTTTGATTGACCTTGGCTGACTCCCGAAGTTTAACAAGTCCCGGGAATTCGGTAAAGACTTTGTATTATTGCAAAGAGGCTACAAAGCCTGGATGAGCTGCCCCAGGCCACCGACTTCCCTCTGGCTCTTTCCATCCTGGGTCAACTTTCTGATATCAAGATGACTCAAAAGGGGAAAGGAGGACGAGCGCAGAAGAATTCGTATTGCAGCACAAGCCTGCGTGCCCGAGACTGTCAGGCTAGCTTCAGGCAAGGCGGGAGGGCCTCGCGAGTTCCCAGCTTCAACTTGTACTTTACATACGAGGACAAAGACGACTTCCAAATTGTTGTTGGTTAGGTAGAGCATGTACATGGTTTGCACCCGCCAGCCAGTACCGAGCTAGACTTTTCAAGGCTGGCCTGTGTCGGGTCAAGCTCGACCGGAACACGCCATCTTGACATGAGCATCCACGGCACCCCATGTTGGAGCGTCCCAACAGTGGATACATCCGGGTCTTTTGACAGCTGCGCCCAGGGCTGCGCCGTGGAGGACGTCAGATGGATCTCATCGGCAATCGGATGTAGTATATTCGCTGGCGTGGAGCATGTCACTGTCATACCGAAGGCGGTTTTAACTTGTGCATTTTAGCTTCAGTGTCTGAGCTATTGAGGTAGCGTCAGGCCAAAGCATTACCTCAGACGTGCGACGCGCAAATGTGCCCCTCCTTCATCGTATTCGGGTTGAGGAACGGTACGTACCCGCGCCAACGTGACTACCTCACAGCAGCCAAAAAGTCGAGGTGCGAGGCATTGCATGCTCGGCGATAAGACAGCCCTGGAGGGCCACTGATATCGGCTTCCATTGATTGCCCGCGGCCGGGGGCAGTGTTCACCTTACCTATGGCTCATGCATAATAAGTTCCTCTTCCGAAGATACCTATGAGAAGATGATGCCCCCATTGAAAGCTGACTGAGGTGCCAAGGTTGACGTTGACTTAAACTGCCGCCACCATACATCGGGCGCTCGACTTTCTTGATATCTTTACACCTCAGTACCTTGGGTACCTAGCTTTGGTGGAAGCTTGAACGACAGGAGAAAAAAGGAGCTTTGTCCCATTCATGGACGTTTCGATGCCCCGTGCATCTCGTTGACGTTCCCCTTCGGGGCCCCTGCCATTGGCAGAGCCTACGCCAGGCGCAACTGTCACACACCCTTTTGCCTCCCGAAATCTCGCACACCGCCCGACCCAGTCGCTAAGGCACACCTGCTTTCTACTGGTCGCAGCCTACCACGGAAGACGGAAGGACCCACGACCTGCATGGTTCGATTTTCGCATGCAACTTCTCATTGGCTCATGGCCCAAGAATGGGCAAACGTCCCCATGCTGTTGTCCCAAAAGGGTTAGAAATGCACAGGGGCGTCTTCATAGCACAATTCCAGAGCTAACGTTAGGTTTTTTTTCCCTTTGCGGTGACAGCAGGACGCAGGTGCTATTTCCTTTCCCCGTCAACCGAAATGATCCATGGATAAAACCTCAACAAGACCCGGCCCTGGAACCTTAGCTTTGCTGTCTGCCGCCTTTTTCCCTTTAAACCCCTATCTGGACAACACCTCGGCGCATTGTTGCAAGAGTCCGGCTGTTTTTCCTTCCCTCTCAATTTACTCTTCGCCAACTTTGGCTTTCCCACAAACATCTGTAATTTCGCATTTGTTAAACCCCAAAGTCGCAAACTTGCGCTCCCCGCCATCATGGCCGCTTTCATGTAAGTTTGCCCCGTTTCTCCCGCGATCCTCGCCACCCTTTACTCGAGCCCGATCTCGAAGACAGCAGCCACTGACTTGCTTTGTACCAAATAGCAACTCGACCGTTATCAACACCGCCTTCAACCACACACAACCATACTTCAGTGTCCTCGAGGAGGTTTCCAAGTACAATGTCCAGCTCAACTACTTCGAGCGTCTCTGGGCCGTACGTTCACACCTCATCGCGTGTGCAATTGCCCTTGCGATGTGACTGACATCTCTGTTCTTTCTAGGCTTGGTATCTTTGGATGCAAAACGACACACTCGCCACCGGCATCATGAGCTTCATCATGCACGAGACAGTCTACTTCGGCCGCAGTTTACCCTTCATCATCTGCGACCTCATCCCCTGGTTCCACAAGTACAAGATCCAACCCGTAAGCCCTGCCGCGTCCTGTCATCAACACCTCCTGGATATACGCTAACAATGTGAATAGCAAAAAATGCCGACACTCAAGGAGCAATGGGACTGCGCCGTGGTCGTCCTTATCAGCCACTTCACCGTCGAATTACCCCAGATCTGGCTCTTCCACCCCCTCGCTACGTGGTGCGGCATGGCGTACAACGTCCCCTTCCCGCCTCTCTGGAAGATGGCCATGCAAATTTCCATCTTCTTCGTCATGGAGGATACTTGGCACTACTGGTTCCACCGTGCATTGCACTACGGCCCTCTGTACAAGGCGATTCACAAGCTTCACCACTACTACTCTGCGCCCTTCGGCCTCGCTGCCGAGTACGCCTCGCCCATCGAAGTCATGCTTCTCGGTATCGGCATCGTCGGCTCGCCCATCTTCTGGGTCACCCTCACCGGCGACCTCCACCTCCTGACCATGTACGCCTGGATCGTCCTCCGTCTCTTCCAAGCCATCGACGCCCACAGCGGCTACGACTTCCCCTGGAGCTTGCGACACTTCCTGCCCTTCTGGGCCGGTGCCGACCACCACGATCTCCACCATGAAAAGTTCATCGGCAACTACGCCTCCAGCTTCCGCTGGTGGGACTACTGCCTCGACACCGAGGCTGGCCTCGAGGCCCACAAGAAGCGCCGCGAGAAGAAGATCCAGGCCATCAAGGCTCAAAAGTCTCAGTAAACCACCCCGCGGCGGCTGTAAAATCTTTGCGATATTACGCACGCACGTCACCATACACCGGCCTTGGGAGCGTCCTGAGAGAGGACGGGCACGCTCATGCATGGTGTTTAAGTGCGTCCTGGACACCGGTTGGGTGACTCATGATACGATGTATAGACGCGGCAAGAAAAGAAACCGCAAGGAAAGCGATACGATACGGCCCGACACCGAGGCCATCAAAGTCACGTAATTATCATTGGAGCGGCGTTTGAAGAGGTATTGACGGTTGTGCGAAAATAAAAATACTATGCGAATTCTGTCGTATATATTGGGATGGCCACCCAGAAACTGGCATTTTAGTAGAGTACTTAATCATAGCACAGCATTCATTTTTTTTCAACACCTGCATTTCATATATTCGCCGATTTGGATGTGTTTACAATGTTGTACAAGGGACCAGACCCGGAAGACCGGTTAAGAAACGGGTACTTGATCTACGGATCCGAAGCGAAGTTAGCCACCGCCGGCTGTGGCTAGGCATTACTACTTCGGCGTACAGCAGTCGCCGGCTGTGCCCGCCGCCTTGTCAGCCAAGCCCCGAATGCCACAGCTGACGGCCTCTCCGCCAGTGGTGACCTCGGAAGCCGGCGGCGCCGGCGGCCCCTCAACCTCGCCAAAGTCCTTGGCCAGGGCGTCGCAGATGAGGGCGAGCTTGAGGTCCTTGTCCGACAGGCCCTTGGGGTTGTGCGTCGTCCATCTGATGAAGATCGTGTTATAGACCTGCCTCTGATGTCAGACTTGCTCATCACCTAGAATGAGAGTTTCTGTGAGTATAAGCCGGGGGCTTGGACTTACGTTTGACCACTCCGGGTGATGGTTGTGGAGTTTACATTGCAGGCTCACGGCCGTCATGAAGTCCTAAATTTGCACATGTCGTCAGTGGTTGTTTTCACCTTTTCTGGGTAGATCTCATGGAACTCCATAGTAGTCAGATGTGTAGCGAATGGAGACATGGATTAAAATGCAGAAAAGGACTCAAACGCACCCATGTCTTGGCAAAGTTCTTAAACTTGAAGCTCCGCTCGACGGCCACGCCGTCGTTGACCAGCGCCCAGCCCCGTCCCTGTCCCAGCAGCGTCTCTAGCGTCGAAGAGAGCGAAAGCTCGTCGGAGCCCTTGGAGAAGCGCGGCGCTGGCGCGGGAGTGGCTGCGGCGGCGGCCGTGGCGGTTGTGGTTGACATAGTTCTATGGTGCCGCGATGCGATTTGCTGCTGGATGATGCTATGTTTGCTGTGTGTCGGTGGTGAGAACGTTGCTTTGGAGAGCCGACAGGATATGGTGAGAGGTCGCGGGGTTGAGAGTGCGAGGCGGCGGAGGAGGAGGGTTGAAGGGCTCATTGCTGAGGGATGTAGTTGTGGCGGACCAGGTTGATTGCACGGAGAGGCGAGGTGCGTTTTGTGGTTGAACATAATGTGCGAGGAAGAGATGTGATGGTTGAAGCTTGAGATGGTGCTGTTAGAGGAGGACCCCTGCCGCGATCTACTTGTGGCCGAGCTTATGTGGAGTCTATGGAGGTGGATCAGGTCGCCCGATAACAGCAGCTGCTCTTGCTCAATATCTCTAACGTGTAAACGGCATTTTGGTGAACTTGAAGAAGTATATAACTCGCGTGTCTCTCAATATGTCGAAATTTAACCCAAAGGGCCCGGGTACATGAACAGGGAAGATGTACTCCTCAAAACCGCTGAATCTTAAAAGGTAGGACTGATTCGCTAGTTGAGGAGTGCTAGTCGAATTGCAAGACGGAGTAGCCCAAAAGTCCAAAATATATACATCTGAGTATCCGTAGACAGATTCATCACTCATAAAAACCAATTCTGTTTTGGAAAATAATTGACGGCTGATCTTCTACAAACGAACTCTACATCACTTGACCTTCTGATACGCATTTCCCATCACCGATTTCATCCCCATTGCCTAATCCTACATTTTCAAGGCTACATCATGATGACAAGCATAAAGAGGACGGCGAGGGCGACGAAACAGACCCGGACGCCGGGTCCGACCAAAGTAACGAGGATGACGATAACATCGCGGCAACTGAAGAGAACGAAGAAAACGAGGACAACAACGACATCAAGGGCAACATATATGGCAAAGACAAAGACGGCAGCAGAGACGATGAGAAATAGAATAGAGGTGGGAGGAATAGCACTTTGAACTATCTGGCGCCCGCTCTGCCAATGCAGCTTATGCGAAGAGAACTTGGACATCGAGCTGAGCTTACCTACGTTCCTACTTTTGGAAGGTCGGTTGTCAACCGCGCCGCTATATCGCATCCCCTGCATGTATCTGCAGCAAGAATCCATTGATCAGCTCAAGCGACTGTATCAGGACGTATTGCCTGTTTTCGGGCCGGGGGAAGGTTGATAGCATGGTAGATTGCAGGATGTCGGGATTCGCTACCCCGCGCTCAATAACCAGACGTTGGAACTTCTTCTAAATAATGACGTCCGGAAGTTGTATTTTCATGACATGTTGTACGCACTCACTCTTTCTTAAGTCCATCTAAAGTAGCTTTGATTCGGCCAATTTGCGAGCTGCAGCTCAGTTGTGTGCGCCTGCCAGCAGGTGAGGATCCAGAACATATCTACTGATTTACCTCTACCGTCTCACGAACGACCCCGAGCAAGTCATCCAACATGCGCGTGCCATATCGACCTCCCGAGATGCAGCAGTCCGTATCAGAAGAACTGCCCACGGGGAACACGCCGTCGAACACCCGCCCGGCCCAGACATTGGCTTCGCCGCAAGAATGGGAGTCGGTAGCAGACCCAGCCATCACCATCATCGTCGCGGACATCCTCATCCCGGGCCGCGGCGACCCAATGGAGAATGCCGCCGTCGTCGTCGAGGACGGCAAGATCATCCACGTTGGCCCGCGTGACAGTCTCCCCGATAAGTACCATTCAGTCACATCGGTCCACGTGCCCGTCATCATGCCCGGCCTCTGGGACGTTCACGTCCACTTTCTCGGCATCGATGTCGTGACCGGCTTCGACGGCATGTTCAACGTCTTGCCGGGGTCCAACGCGCTCATCGGCGCCGTCATCGTTCAGGACCTGGAGGCGACGCTCATGGCGGGGTACACCTCGGTCCGCGAGCTGGGAGGGTACGCCGGCGACCTGGTCCCCGGCATCGATTCGGGACGCCTCGTGGGACCCAACGTCTACTCGTCGATCGCGGCCATGTCCATTAGCGGCGGCCACGGCGACCAGCACACCCTCCCCATTCAGACAGTACTTGACTTCGCAAAGTGCGGCGGCCCCTGCTCCATTGCCGACGGGCCGGAGGACTGCACCAAGCAGGTGAGGCTTCTCGTCCGCCGGGGTGCGCGCTGCATCAAGATCTGTTCCAGCGGCGGCGTGCTGAGCCTGCTGGACGACCCGGAGGACAGGCAGTTCTCGGACGAGGAGCTGAGGGCGATCGTCGAGGAAGCCGGGCGCAGCCGGCGCTCTGTCGGCGCGCACGCCATCGGGAAGGCGGGCATCATGGCGGCGCTGCGGGCCGGGGTGAAGAGCATCGAGCACGGGTGTTACATCGACGACGAGGCCGTCGACGTGATGCTGGAGAAGGACGCCGTCTTCGTCCCGACGCAGCACGCCATCATGAGCTTGGCCGAGGACCCGTCGCAGCTGCCGCCGCCTCTGGCGCGGAAGCTCGTGAAGCTCGTGCAGAAGGCCACCGACTCGTGTCAGTTTGCCATCAAGAGGGGCGTCAAGGTCGCGCTCGGGACGGACACGTGGAGCAGCGACAGGACGAAGGCTCTCGCGCACGGGAACAACGCCAGGGAGCTGTACTGGGCGGTGAAGAATGGTATGACGCCGCTGGAGGCCATCGAGGCCGGCACCGCCAACGGCCCCGAGGTCTTGGGGGGGATGGCGCCCCTGAGCGGTCAGATCAAGGAGGGATACGACGCGGACTTGATTGCTGTTGCGAGGAACCCTCTAAAGGATATTGAGATCTTGACGAAGAAGGAGAACATTACCCATGTCTGGAAGGGGGGCAAGTTGTTCAAGTCTCCATGATCGTATGAGAAGTGCTTGTCGCGGACGGAGTACGTAGTTTAGAAAGCTGATTAGTGCATATGTCGGTGGTGTCGTCCTACAGGTTGGTGTTGGCGCAATCAACGCAACTGGTGTCATCAGGCACAGAGGCCATTGATATTAAATCACATCGGGTCCCATAATGATACCACTTGCCAACCAGATCTGGCCCAGCGTCACAATCGCTGGTCCTTTTTTTTGTTTTTGTTGTTGTTGTTGTTCACGTTGTTGGAACAGTCATGGGATAACAGCGATTTGTTCTGCAGATGCGTTGGCCTTCCACGGACTGTCGACGGCATTAAATGTCTTGTCAATATAAACTATCCGCTCGCCTATTCCGTGTATTCTCTATGGAATATAACCACGATAGGTAATCTGCGAGAACGTCTTGGATGAAGATGGGGATAGACTGGTCGCTGCCGGCATGTTGACAGCCTCGGTATTTTACCAGCGGCTTTCCAAATCGTCGAGTTGCATGAAGCCGCACTGATCATTCGCCAATGCAAGCCATTGTCGAACAACATGCCATTGGTTGATCGTACGCATCCTAGCCAAAAATGCGTGCGAGTGCGTTGTCTTCCAGAACGCGCACAGGCTCCGCCAAAGCTGCAGCACAGGGCACCAGGCGCCGCATGCTAGACGCGCCAAGCCAATGGGCTTATGTAAGTCAAACACCGGGAGTCGCGGTACGTGTTGACCGAGGAAAGCCCGCACACCCATTCCTTCCCGCCGCTTTCGCACCGGAACGGAATAGGGATTTCCTGGCGGTACGACTGCCCTACATTAGGTAAACATCCGTATCGTACAGGCAGCTGACGACGCTGACGCGAGCCATGATAATTCCGGAATTTCGGTGTGATGTCGATTATCGATTTTCCTATTTGTTCCACGATTGTTCTGGTCTGCAGTCTGCGGCCTGCTAGGGCGTGCAGTGGCTCTGGCAACCTTGTCGTCTCGCCCTGCCTGTCATCGGCCAAATCGTAAAGTCCGTCGCCTCGCCGTTCCAATCACAAGCAAGTCTGCTGTCGGGTTAGTCCCTGTGGAGACTTACTGGATGGTGGTGGGCAATTTGGGCCATGTTTTCCCTCCCTGTGGATAAGGTTGTCATAGCACAGGGTGTCACATTCCTGATTGCTGACAAACCCAGCTTGCTGACTGTTGGGCTTGAACGACATCGAATTGAACATGCAATGAATCCTTTGGCAATGAGGTCGCGTTGGTCTGCGGCTGACAAGAAGCTCCGGACAGCTAATGACAAGATGTTCCCACAATCTAATTCCTGCCGGCCCCGTTCTCCTATCTCCGTCTCTGGTGCTCTTTGCCCTCTGAATGCTAGAGGCAAGGACTAACCTGCCCTCATAGGACGGGAGGGCGGGAATACGAGGAGTGATGGTGATGAGTATGGCGACGACAAGAAGAGGTGTGGACTTGGCAGAGCCGGCGGTATTATTTCTGCCATTGCATGAGCAGGCACCGCGAAGCAGACCGGTCGGAATCACGTGGTAGAGTCGTGCTGCCTGACACAACATCTTCGTCAGCGACGCCCGAAGGAGCAAGTAAGGCTACACCGCAGATGTAAGTGTTCCGTCGCGGTTCGAGCACATTTGCTTTCAGCTCAGAGTTTGGCTTTCAGCTCCAAGCCCGGTACATAAGCTAGATTAACTGTCAAGACGGACAGATTCGCAGGTACACAAGCAACTCGTAGCCTATGAGCCTATGACTCGAAGCGAAGGTCTTTCGTCTCTTCCTCGCGGAGAGCTTGCCTTGAAACCTAGAAGCTCCGTGTCCCTTCTTACATCATCTCTAATGAAGCTGATTGCTCACGCGGGACCTTCCTGCGTTGACTGAAGGTGGTCGGGTGTTGTCTGACCTGGACTCCGTCGGCTCCGGAAGCGCTTTCAGTCACCTTCATCATCCCGGGGCACAATCTGAAGGCACACTGGGTCGGAGCAGGAATGAGGTACGTACCGGGAAAGGTACATGGCAAGCTCAAAGCAGGTACACGCCAAAGCACCTTGCCTTCCCCCGACAACCTGGAAGCTATGAGCTGCCTGCACCTGCCTGCCTCCGCCCTACCGAGATTCCTCCTTGTCGCGTCCCTCCTCTTCTTCCCATTCAATCAATCAAACAACCAACAAATCCTTCATTCCCAGCCACTCGGTTTTTTTTTTTAATCTCCTGTCCTCTTCCCACTCGGCAGGAATCCTGAATCTTTTCCATCGAAAATCCTTGGACAGAGAACTGGTAGACAAAAGACAGGACGACTCGATAACACTCAACGCGTCGAACGTGCTCTCGCAACCGCCTTCTCTCGGAAAGTTCCTCCCACACCTGGCTACACCTGGGGAAGGGGACCAGACCACCCGACGCAGATTGCATGCTTCTGCCACGGATTACACACGAAAAAAGAGGTCCAAGCTGCGCGACCCGACCGACAGACCTCTTTACCTTACCTTACCTCCGCCTCACCTCACCGGAACAGGTACGGTACCTACGGAATACCTTACGTTACCGCGTACAAATTACCCACACCCTCGTCAGGTTTCCCCTCCTCTACGACGCGCTAAGGTCGCAGACGATTACCTAAACATTCGTTGAACTGCCGCATCGGTGCTCCGTCTCATCCAGTCTCATCATCCGGGCCCTCTTTATAAGTCCTGGTCGGGTGCCTGTAGTAATCAATCCTCCGTTCCCTTCATGCTGAGTCAGAACCGGAGCTTGAAGATGCAGAGCGCTTCGCCCTCGTCCTCTGCGAATACCACCACTAACACAGGTGAGTAATGGTTTACCTTTCTCTTTTCTCGTTTCTCTGCTTTCTGATCCCTATCCTCATGTCCTGTCCTATTCATCCCACCGTCTTGCCGTTTCGCCCGACCAGCAAGGGCTCTGCTGAACCACGTCGATCCCGTTCCATTCCTCTCTCCCTCCTCTACCTCTTTTACAAACCTGCCCTCCGGCAGCTGCCCTAGCCTTTTGCCTTACCTCATCTCTCATTCATTACTCAGTACTTTGTACTTGGCTCGGATCTCATGTACTCTGAGTGAGACGAACCTTTATTCTCACTTTAAACTCCGTTACAATCATCAATACCTGCCACATCCCAGGAGAGACCTGGCTACCTCTAGCCAGCGTTGATATGTAATCACTCCCCTTCCCCCATCAGCTTCCTTTCCATCATCGACCACTGCAGGCCGGCAGGTTTCTGAGATACATGACACTGCCCTCTTTTGTTGCTGTATGAAAAGAAGCTCGAAACAGAGGCAGTTCGATTCGAAGACAGAGATTCGGCTTATGCGGCTGTTCAATGGCTTGCATTCAAACTTTCCCTTTCGTCTCACGGCTCATCTTCCGTTCCTACATATCCCTGCTACTCCGGCGACCACGCCAATCTGAAATCCCTTTCGAGCCTCGACTTATCTTGCCACTTCAAGTCAAAACGGTCCCTGAATCTCACTGGTCTTGAATGACAAGTCTGGATTGAACACCGAACTTGGACACTGCTTGCTGACATGATATGTGCTGTCCATAGACGCCGACTTGCGCGCGCAGCTTGAGCTACTAAGCAAGCACACCGCGCCCAGCTCGTCAGACAACGCGACCGGCCCAGCCCGCGGACCTCGCCCTCAAGCTTCCCACCCTTCGAGCGCGTCACCGGCACATGGCTACAGTAACGGCTCGACCTCGCCAACTGACGTCTTGCCGCCGATAGTTAATAACCACGCCGACCCGGAAGCGCACATCCACCCTGATCTCCGAGCTCGAATCACGCACGCTCCGGCCGTCAATATGATGCCCGCTGGCATACCAGCTCAACCGCAGCAACAGATCGCGCCTCCCGTGGCGGCTGCTGGTCCTTCTACTGCGCCCCCTATCCACTCCCCTACAGAAATGGATTTGGACGACGGCGCGGAGGGTCGCAAAGCCAAGCGCGAATTGTCACAATCCAAGCGCGCCGCGCAAAATCGAGCTGCCCAGGTACGACGATCACAATGGGGGACGGACTGCTGCGTTGGGTCCATGGCGCGTGGTATGCATTGCGTCTGTTGCAGCGCTCTTGGTACATGAGAGATCACCAATGCTGTCTATGACCAATCACTGCGGCCATGCCGATCGAAACCACCACGTCCACCTCAAAAACCCCAATGCCACCTGATGATGAGTTTGAGCTGACTTTAATGCGCTGCAGAGAGCTTTCCGTCAGCGAAAGGAGGGATACATCAAGAAGCTTGAGCAGCAAGTTAGAGACTACATGGAGATGGAGGGTCAGTACAAGACAATGCAGTCAGAGAACTATGCGTTGCGCGAGTACGTGATCCATCTCCAGTCACGCTTGCTTGATCTGCAGAGCGAGATCCCCCAGCCGCCACCCAATGTCAACCTCCAGCAACCGTCGCTCCCGCCCCCTTCCGTCCCGACAAGTGGCCCCGAAGTCGCGCCTAGCAATGCGGGTGCTGGCCCTCTGGAGGCCGTTGCGCAGGCAGTGGCCGGTTTGCAGGCCCAGGAGCAGCTTGCGCAGAGAGAGCAATTCACAAGCAAGGGTTTCCAGTCTGAGGTAGCGACCAAGGAGGAACCGCAACGCGAGGGTGATGGGCCCGTCGACCCATCGCTGCCGGACAGCCTACCGGCTCCGACTGCGTCCATGTGAGCGCGCCGAGAAAACGAGGACGCGTCGCATTTGAATCATGGTTTTCACGTCGCTGGCGTTGCGGTACAATGGTTTGTGAAGATATTACTAGTGGACTGGCGTTACCGGCATGGCTTCTATCCACCCGTTATGGGTGATTTATTGCGATGCCCTCGGGTTTGAGTTCTTCAAAAGAGAGACGAAGTAGGGGTTCGTGCTTGTAACATTTGACACGATGAGGCAAGCGTGTCGAAGCAAGGGGATGTGAGGACCTGATGGGAACCTGATGCGAACCTCAAGGCGAGCTCTCTGGCATTGTCTTGGGGGGGATTGTCAATTGTACTACTCGGTTCATACGCGATATACATCGAGGAGGGGGCCGCGGTCGTCATCTCTGACAACGTTCATTGCCATGACGCTGAGGAGACCTAGGCATCACTTGATTCTCATTGCAGATAGTATCCGCAAAATTCTTTTGCATGGCCTTATAATGGATGTTGTCTCACAAGCTCCAACTTCCGCCCGCTGAAGCACTGATAAGCAGTACGGAGAGCATAAGGGTCGGACGTGATGTGTCACGAAGGGGTAGCAAAGCTTGCTTTTCGTTAGAACTGTGGCACACTCGTGGTAAAAACAAGGAAAAATGAATAAAAAAAAGCCTGGCATTGAATCTCCATCCTTTCCCCTAAAAAATTTGTTCCCTGGCCGTAAACTCGCACTGCTGCAAAGCGCCCCTTGATCTCTTTTCCCTTTTTAAACTAATCATACATATGATGTATTGCCAAGGTCGTGCTCCTAAGGATGATGAGGTCAGCTTTTGTAGGTTGAAACGGATGTGTGTTTGTGTGCGAGACAGACCTTGAGATACTCCGAACCCTTCTCCTGGTACTCCTCCCTCGTGATAGTGGCAGCCTTCCAGGCGGCTGACCCCGCCCAACCCGCGGCGCCCTTCCACGCGTCGAGGAGGGCGTTCTCGGCGCGACGGATGGCGAGCGGCGCGCCGGCGGGGAGAAGCGGCCTCAACCCCTCGCGGAGACGCTCGTCGAAGCCCTGGAAGAGCGTGTTGCCGCCCGTGAGGAAGACGTCCTTTAAAAAGTCATCGCGGTTCGGCACCCCACCTAGGCGCTGGTTGAGTATGTCCCCGACGATCTCGATGAGGCCGCCCTGGTCGACGCCGGCGATGGACGGCTGGAAGACGACCTCGGGCACGCGGATGCGCTCAACGTTGAGGTGGATCTGGTTCAGCTCGGCCTGGGAGCCGGCGTCAAAGGGCCGCGGGCCTCGGGCGAAGGCGTGGAGCATGGAGGTCGACCAGTCCGTCTGCGCCTCGTAGGTGTGCTCGTACGTGAAATCCGGGTCGTAGCGGAGGAGGTCCTCCTCGTACGTCTTGAGGTTCGCCTCGAGGTTTTCCTCTTCCTGCTCGTCGTCGCTGTTGTCACCGACGGTGATTTGGCGGTACACGCCCCAGTCGTCGTCGTTTTGGCCAAAATTGTCGTCGTCACCGCCGCGGCGGCGCTTCTTGGTCGGGTTGTCGGACGCGAGGTTCGCGATGCTCTTCATGCGGATCTGCGAGGCGAGCGACTTGCGGTTGCCCAGGTCCTGCTTGAGGCGCTCGCGCTCCTTCATCTTCTGTAGGGTCACCTCGCGGGCCTGGCGCCTCTCCTCAAGCCAGCCGTCGAGGTCGTTCTCGCGGCGCTCCACGTCCAGGCGCTTCTCCTCCTCGACGCGCGCCTTTTCGGCCTCTTTTTCAGCCTTGGCGCGGGCGCGCGCGTCGTGGTTGGACTTCATGAGCTTCTGTTGGCGCTTGGCTTTGATGCCGGCGTCGTCGAGCTCCTCGTCCGGTACATCGAGCAGGTCAAACACTGGCTCTTGCTGCTCCTCCGTGGTGTCGCCACCCACGTCCTTTGTGCGCGCCTTTTTGACCGCCTTCTCGAGGGTGGCGATGGCTCGTTCGAGTGCCGCTTCGTCTTTGAGGTCATTGCTGTCGAGTAGTCGCCTGACCTCCTTCTTGTTGGTCTGCTGTTCCAGCTTGACCTGGAGCTTCTTGTACTGCTCGAGCTCGTTTTCTTTGCGCATCAATTTCTCGAGGCGCATCTTTGCAGCTTGTTCCTGTAACCGCCTGCCGCTCTCCTTCTTCCGCTCGGCAATGCGAGCAAGCTCCTCTTCCGTCTTTTGCACAATGACCTCCTCCGTAAAGGGATACTGGATGACGATATCCCGATCCTCGAGGCCGGTCCAGTCCAAAAAGCCTCCTACTTCTGTATGGTAGTCTTTTGAAACATAGCCATGATCACGGAGCATGTGTTCAGCTTGGGACACGTTGAGCTTCCCGTTGAAAGCAGGGTATTTCAGCCGGATTAGCTTCAGAAGATACTCTGCCGCATGCCATCTTCCCCAGTTCAACCTTGTGGCTTGGCTCAGAAGAGCCTTGTGGTTATAGACCGGTATCACGTGTGTGGAAGTGTAGGATGACGAGACCACGACGCCCGTGTTTCCCTTGTTGTGTGCGTAGGAGAAGAGCGAATCGATGCCGTATGCCAGAGACGGCGCGCCGTAACATTCGAAGACGATTTCCGTCATGGCTTTGAAAGCGTTAGCTGTTGATCTTTAGATGCCTCGGAGCACCAGCTTACATTTCCGAGAATAAGGTAGGTTGGCCACGGCCTCCGTCATGACGATGGGCATGTCTATGGATGCATCATCTCCATTCAAGCCGAGCTTGAGAAAGATGTAATCGAGAACATGCTCCATGACATCCCAGTTGCTGACAATACCCGTCCCTTGCTCGTGCGCATATCTTATGTGGCTCCTCGCTGTCGTGTCGGCATAGCAGTCGCTGCCTGCAAAGGAATATGTCTTTCCAGCTTTTCGGTCGCGGTATTTGGCCATGATCGGTGGGATGTTCAGCCGCGGCTTCTCTTCGAAAGACCACCCTGCGCGGACCGCCGAAGATCCTGTCGACAGTCAGTCAGGCAACTGCTTGTGATGACATTTTTGAGACGCTTGCGAGCTTACCATTGTCGATTACAATGGCCGCGCCTCCCGAAGACTGCGCCAATGCCTTTTCCCGTCCATCCTGCTGCACCGGAATTGGCTTCTCGAACTTGGATTCCTTGACTTGAAAGATCTTTGCGGGCGGGTACGTCCTCTCGGGAGGTCCTGGAAGAGGAGGCAGCTCGCCCGTTGCTGAGGGCGCCATCGCGATGTTGTATGTTGGGAAGGTCTAGGGTGTCGCAGTGCGACGAACCATGCTTGGAATTACGGGCAGTGGTGATGGACTCGGAAGCTGTACTGCTGATAACGTCCTCAGCGGAAAAGGTTACGGCAGGGAGCGTCTACGTCACGTGCGTCGCGTTCAATGCGTCTACTTGATTACGATTGATGAAGTTGCGATGCGCCGTCTTGCGAGGCTGCGAGGCTGTAAATTTCAGTGGACCGCTGCCCGGCTTATACTGCTCGGGTTGCAGCGCAGCTACGCGATCTTAGCGCATCAGAGGTAGTGAGTGAGAGGTACCGGGTGCAACGCCTGGCCCATAAGTGCAGTACTCAAGCTGGAAACGATGAATGCGTTTGGACAGACTGTCAAGCTAAAGTCATGATGATTTCAAAATAGCAGAAGAACATTGGGAAAATCTAGTCGATTTAGAAATCTGAAGCTAAGGTATTCTCCAGTTGCGGCCTCTCCATGGGTATCTGCTTTAAGACTTGTGAAGTGCGCCCGAAATGTAGTCATCAATCTTGTCTCATTTCTCGTCCATGCTCCCAGCGCGTGATAACTGGTCTCAACATCTTCAGGCAGGCGGCTTCAGGTTGTCCGTAGCTGGCTCAGAGTTAACATTAGGTCGGTCACGATACTACGTAGCTGAGAACCTACCCTCAAGATGGAACAAGACATTGGACTGGTAGTTCTTGAACATCTGAGCGACGAGCTCGACGTTCATGTTCTCAATGTTGATCTCCTGGAATCCTACGTCAGCCACAGCGCTTATCATTCAAAGCAGCATGAAGTAGTTCACCTGCAATGACCTGTTCATGACCATGACGGCCTCGTTGAGTTTCTCCTGGGCCTGTGTAAGTCCGCATGATCCAGTAAGCGTGATCATGGAGGGCGACATACCACATTGGTTATGATGCGAGAAAGCAGCAGGTTCTGCTGGTGCTCATGAGGACTCTCCTATATTCATAATCAGAATACTAGTTCATCTGCACTGCGGGCGACCATGTTCGGTATCATACCATTTTGTCAGTGCTCGTATTTGGGGCCGTAGGTGTGTTTGTTTACTCAGTCTCATTACCCCCACTACAGTTGTAGATGGCTTAGCCCAGCGGCGCTCTAGGGAGCCGCTCACCGGCCTCACCGAGCTGCTGCCTGAGCGGTGAGACCTGGCAGAATAAGCTCCCCGGCCACTGCTTCCCTCGCATTGTCGCAACCAGCCATTCGCCTCCAATTCACACGGCAAAGACTAGATGTCGTAGTTAGAAACTCTCAAACCGCACAATAATATATCAAAAACGATATGGCCGCCCCCAAAGAAGCAACAGAGGCGCAGATCGCCCACCAGGCCCTCCTCGACGAGCTCGACATCCACTCCATCCACAAGAGCTTCCGCAACCCGTCGTGGAAACCCAACCAGCGCCGCAACAAGAACATCAAGACCATCCTCGGCGACGCCTCCCGCCGTGAGGCCTCGGCCCTGGCGACCCCACAACAAGAGGAGGCCAGCGCCGCGGCCACGCCCGCGGGGAAGCAAGGGGACGACGGCCTGTCTACGAGCGGCGCCTCGACACCCGCCGGCGGCAGCACCAGCAACGGCGGCAGCAACAACCCGAACCTCGCGCAAGCTTCGCGCAGCCTGTCGAAGCTGGTCCTCGAGAAGAGTCTGCGTCCCAACGGCGCCGGCGGTTCGGGGCCGAGCGTCACGTACACCAACGTCGAGTCGGCGCCGTCGCTGGCACACACGAAGCGGTACTGTGATATTACGGGACTGCCGGCGCCTTACATTGACCCCAAGACGCGGTTGAGATATCACGACAAGGAGGTGTTTGGGCTGATTCGGACCTTGCCGCAGGGTGCGGCTGAGCAGTACCTCGAAGCGCGCGGTGCGCACACTGTTCTCAAATGAGTGGTCTCTACTACTAGACACTTAATGGATTGGTTGGACGACGACGACGGCAAGAGATATGATGCTGCAGCTTTTCACGGTTCAGGCGTTTTTGGGGATCAACATCATGGCCATCACCAAGTTTTGGATTCATTGGGGTCAAGCGGAACAAGTCTTTTCAATGAAGAAGACGGTTCTATTTCATGTGGACTAGCTACTATGGGAATCTTTACTTGTGCGACCAACAAAGTCAAATCTCACCTATGCAGCCCTGCGCCTTTCAGCAAAGGGTGTTAGATGACACTCCGGCTTAATCGTGATAAACCTTTGTTCTTCGCCTGTGAGTCGACAGATTACCGAGAACGTATGGGAGACGATACTCAGTTGCCGTAGCTTGAAAGCTACGGCCGCCGTGGCGGAACTGCTGCGCAGTCTGTGTTGTTGCCTACCGTCATATCGTTGGGCCTCTCAAGGTTCTCTAGAGTCCGATGATGGCGGCACGGTGATCCCGCCTGCTCATACTGGAGCTGATTGTCTGGGCAATCCTCGTCTTTTCATAGGGAAGTCTCTTTGAGCATCTCCATCGCGAGGTCTCCTGTACCTAGTCAACGAGGTCGAACGCAATAGTTGACCACGAGGAAGATGTCAAGAGGGAGCGTCTTCAGAAGAACAGTTCCGCCAGATGACACCAGACGCTGCCAAAGAGACAATATAGAGTGCTTGCCGGTCGAATCTTGGCAACCTCGCCAGCTGGCCGACCCTTACGGGCGTGTCGTCGCAAGATCCAGGGCGGAAAGTCAATATTGGGTAGGTTGATGAAGAGAGCTGAGTTTTTTCCCATCTGCAGCGCAGGTTAAATCCATCGAGGGAAAATTTACGGCGGGACGTAATTGGTTGACCTTGGGGCCCCATGCCGTCCTACCATCTGGATACCTTAGCGGCCTTTCCACGTACCGCGCCCCCGTGGCACACCTAGAGTTAGGTTCGTTCTGTGACGGCGCGGCGAGCAGCAAGACTGCAGCAAAGACCCCTGCTCGCGTGCCAGCGGCCGGCACCTTTTCCCCCTGGTGATCTGTTCTTTGTTTAGTCAAAAAAACAGGTGCTCGTCCAAAAGGAAGTCCTCTTTTCGCGATTGCAACATTCCTCGGATCCTGTGATTCTACAGCGAAAGAAAACCAAATCTGCCCTCGACGACCGAATTGAAGCTTGCTTCAACCCCCCACCTACCAAGCCCGGTACACACATACCCCGACTCGAACGAAGCTAGGATTATACCCAAGATGGCGTCAATGTGGATGTCCGACTCTCAAAGTACGTCTTTGCGCCGCCGGGCCGTACGACTATGCTGCTCGACCATCTGCGCAGCTCTACGCACCGTCAAGGACTGTCGCTAATGCATTTTACAGAAATTGGAGTAATTTTCTGCTCCGGAGGTAGGTTTGCGCATCGCCAATAGCTCTGGCGCATAGAGTAGCGTACGAGAAGGGGGTTTCAGGAGCTGACGCCGACTTTTTGCGCTTCCACAGGAGGCTTCTTCCTCATCGGCGGAGTGATGATGTTCTTTGACCGGGCAATGTAGGTCGCTCTATTATTTATCTCTCTCTCTCTCCCTCTCTCTCTCTCTCTCTCTCTCTCTCTCTCTCTCTCTCTCTCTCTCTTTTCGCTTTCGCGACAGCGCTAACACCGTGTATCCAGGCTGGCTATGGGAAACGTACGAAAACCCGAATCTCCCTTCCCACAAGAACGAGGAACTAATCTGACGAAATCTTACAGATCCTCTTCCTCATCGGCCTGACAATCATCATCGGACCCCAAAAGACGCTCCTCTTCTTTGCGCGGAAACAAAAGGCAAAGGGCACGGCCGCCTTCTTCGGCGGGCTCGCGCTGATCCTGCTGCGTTGGCCCCTGATCGGCTTCTGTGTCGAGCTCTACGGCATCATGGTCCTCTTTGGCGATTTCCTCGGCACGATCGCTGCCTTTGCGCGGAATATCCCAGTCATTGGACCGTATATCGGAACCGCGGTCGACCGATCTGGAGTCGGCCGCCGGAACGCCGAGTTGCCTGTGTAAAGGCGGTGTTGTGAGTCAGGGACGTGTCAATGATTTTGAGGCATTGATGAGTGACATGCTCTTTGGACGGGAAACAGCGTATAGACGGATTATATACCATAACGGCGCAGCTTCGTTCCCAGCCTATGATTTGATTAGGCTTGTATTATACGCGAATTTGATTTTGATTCATGGGTCAAGGCGAGACCACGGTCCAGAGGCGGAAAATTAGCTCAAAGATAATGACTGAACGGAAAGACACTTGAAACCTTTTGGCATACGCGGTTTGGAAGCAGACAAGAGTGACATGCAGGGTTGGCCTATTTCAGAACTCGAACGTGGCCGCGGCTAAGCAAAGATTCCGCCATTGGTAACTCTTGCTAATCTAGTGTTCGTCGATTCGTATTGTAAAATCCTCGTGTACGCGGGAGCGAGATGCCCAGCCTGCCTCACACACAGTAACTCCAGGGGTCCCTAGAGCTGCAAAACCCCCGCCCCGCCTTGCGCCATCATCACCGGCTGGTATTCTAGTAGCTCACACTGACGAGGTAGTCTGCCAGCTTCTCCACTGCCAGAGTAGCGCTGCCGGCCTGCGCGTTCTCGCCGTGGTGGCCGAGAAGGATGGCCTGGGTAGACTTGGCGACAGCGATGCCCTCCTTGCCCTGCGTGATTCAGTCAGCCCTCCGTGGACGATGCAATGTTTGTGCTTCGGTGTGCGCCAACCTTTCGTGCGTAAATGGTGCCCTCCTCGGCACGGGCCATGACGTATCTCTCGCCGCCAATGAACAGACCATCGGCAAAAGCCTTGTCCTTGACGTCCGACTTTCCGGTAACGATGTCGGCGACGACCTTCATCTCCGTGGCGGAGAGCTGTATTGCGCAAGAGCAGCTGTCAGCACGGTACGGATAAGGAAGGGTGGCCGTTGGCAATTTCAGGTGGTTTTACGTACGGTGAAACCGGCGCTCGACGCCCACGTGCTGTCACCGGCGATGCTGATAATGGCGGCCTTGTCAATGTGGCCGGTGCCGACCAAGCTACAGATCCCACGTCAGTCTCCCTGGCCATTGTACAACTCAACAATCCTCGCGATGCCAAACCGCGCAACAAAAAGCTGGTGGGAAGCTACCTGGTGTCAACGTAAGCTGTAACGGGAGACAGTTAGCTCTTTCTCATTCCCGAGGTGGGGTTTCCTCGGGGTTGGCCTCTCCCTCCCCTCCCCTCTCTCTCTCTCTCTTCTTGGAGCTGCCAACGCCCGCATCGGCCTCTTTTGGGGAAATTGCGAGTGAGCTTACCTTGCCACGACATGATGAAGGAAGGAAGACGGGAAATAAGAGACTAGTGCTCGCTGGTGCAAATACAGGAAAAAGAGACAAGAAAGCTTCTGTGTCGAAAGGGGGTGTGCAAAAGCTCAAGCTTTGACGCGGTGTGGGATATGGAGCGGAGGAATTCGGTTTGTGACTGTTGATGTTTCTTGTTCCTCTTTCCTGCCTGACGTTGCCCCTCTCTGAGGATACATCAATTTTTAGGTCCAGCGGGCCGGGCGGGGTACCGCGCTACCTGTTGAGAGGTCGTCGCTGGCGCCAGAGTAGCGGTGCGGGGTACTTTCTTCAGCATCTCGGGCACGTAGGCGAATACCTCTGCTTCTCGTTGCTTCCACCCCCCAGTCAATGTGCTTTGTTCAGGAAATCCAGCAAAGTCATGCAGCTGGACTGCCAAAAAAGATTGCTGTACCTCAAGTTATCTAAACATTCTCACCATTTTCTTTCTCTGTCCTCTTCCTTTCGATGGCGCGGCTCGGAGCCACGCTCAGCCTCGTCCTCTCAATTGAACATCCTGCCTATCTATCTATACCTTGGGTAGCTAATCCACTCGCGAGAGCTCATGAGTCCACACGATCCGCCGGGTGTTCCCATCACCGCCTTTGTAGCCATTACCTTGCTTCAGGTACCTTACCTTACCTTACCGCCTTATGTCCCAGGGACCACTTCCGGAAGCTGCCCCGCCAAACGCATCTCTGGGTCACGTGATGGCGGGGTGACTGTGCGAGTTCACCAAAAAGACGCACAGTACAGCGTTGGGGCAATGATGCGATCCCACCGCCGTCACCGCCTCAGCTTGTCACATTCAACGCGCCTCGCCAGCGGTCCCGATTTCCCACCTTCGGCCTCGGCAAGCCTATCACGTCAGCAGAGCTCTCATTCTGCCCCTCCCGTATCCGTCTTCGTCTTCGCCGCATGGCCGTCATGTTTTGGTTCTCATCAGGCTTAGAAGCAGTGGCACGGACGCACAGCTGGCGAGGGATGCAAAAGACTGGTGAGAACATCAGGAGGAAGTAGCTGCTTTCTAAAGATGTTCGGTACGCACGCCAATGCATGAACGAGATTCTCCAGCCACCACAGTTACTTCAGCCTGACTTGCGCTCGGCGCCTACTGATTTTACGTCTGTCTGCATGCATTCAACAAACGCAGTCTACGGATACATAAGCCTCATGTGCAATGTCGAGAACGCCCGGCCACCGACGGAGGTCCGCCCGCAACGCAGCTCTGGGTCGAATATTCATGGGATGTTTCCGTCTTCAGCTCGGTTCCGCGCAGACGCAGTCGTCCATCCAACCGATCGGGTTTTTGAAATTCTTGTCCCCGTGACCCTGGGTCCCAGGCTGTACGACATCGTTCCAATGCTTTGACCTCTCTTCATCAGATGGAATTCCGCCAGCATACACGTCCGATCATCTGGATAAACTATCAGAGTTGTTTCCATCCAAGGCCTTTCGCGGGATGCTACACTGTCAACGGATCGTCATCTAGGGCACTGCCTACGTTGCTTGATCCGCCACTGTCTCACACCTTAACTGATCGCCCTGGTCGTCTTGTCATCCCAACAAAATTTCCGGGCTCCTCATCTTGCACGGATTTATGAATCCATCCGCGGTCTAGAAAGAATCGGCACGAAGGCGGAGCTTTGTTGATGAGACGCATATGCAAAAGCCCAAACTCGTTCTTTTCATAGAATAGTCAGCCGAGTGCCACTGCTTAGACTCGCATCGGCTGCGACAGACTTACTTGCGGCGGAGGATTCGGCTATTATAATACTGACACGAAAAAGCAGAAAAAGAATCCGAGTCATCACTTCAGACGAACTTTCAGAATGCGGCCTGCTGTTCATCATACCGGTTTTACTTTTTGGCATCAATGCAATCACCCCTTGGCAACAGGGCATGTTATCGCAAAAGAAAGGCAAGGGCACGTTTGGCTACAGCGTTTCCAGGGGTGTCTTCTCGACATCTTTCTAATGGACGATATCTCCTAGAAGCGGCCAGAATGACAGGCGTCTTGCCACCCTAGTGTACGGATACACTGGCTAGTGGATTTGCAATCTTGAGACGATCTTTCGGCTGTCCATCCTGGACCAGACAGTTGAAACCCAGTTGCTGGGCAGCCTTGCCACATCCTCCCATCCTTTTTACGCTCCTGGTTTGCCATAATACCTGGTCAGCCTTGTCACGCGTGCGATCCTTTGATGCCGATTCTCGGGCCTAGAGGATGATCTGACGGTGGGCCTACCATGGTCCGAGAAGAAATGGAGGTGCTTGTCAGCGCCTGGGCCCGAGCGTGCAGCACACACGCCAAAGAGTTCGAGAACAACAAAACTCTCCCGAATCCCCACACTCGGCGACGCCTACCTTCCGCGACAGCTCTCCATGTCCCGGGAAGTCTGTTTCAATACGACACCTTCTAAGACGGAGGGTTGTTTTTTTCCCTGAAAAAACGGGACAACCTATGCCTGTCAGCTCCAACAGCAGACGCATACGAGGCATCAAGGTGTGTCATCCACCAGATCCCCCGAGCGATGACACATAAAGCGGCAGACTTATTCAGCGGCGACCTCTTGCAAGCTGCCAATCTCGTGTAAGTTGGCGCGTTCTCGGCCTTCCAACTCCCTAACTTCCCAAGAGATAATATAGACTTGCACTATTTTTGCAACATCATTGCGTGGTTGTACCAGGGAATACGGAGTACAATTGGCATTTATACCCGTGGAACGTGGGTGCCGTCTTACGAAGTGTACGAAGTACGAGAACAACCGTCTACACTAGTGTACCTGCGCGGGTATGGAACCAATAAGCGGTGGGAAAATCGACCAGGAAATAGCCAAGATTTGACCAAATTACTTCGACCAGCGCTGGCGGCACGCTGGGTAAGCTGACGTTGTATGAGAAGGTTATTTCCTTGATTGTGGACCATGGTTGGTGTGAAGCCGGATGAGCAACAATGTCTCTGATCCTTTCATTTAAAACGAGAGACCCGTTTGATGTCAGAGTGGGGGATCGGGACATACGTGGGCAGGGCTTTGTTAGCCAGCGGTGCGGAGAGGATCCGCGCCACTGCAACGTCGCCCAACTCTCATTTGCTGGCTGCATCGGCCGGGAGATTGAACCTCTAATGAAGCAATTTTCTGCCTGGCAGCTGTTGAGCAAACCTTGGGCGGCACTGGGCAACAGAGGAGACATTTTCGTGTTACTCATCTTGAGTCTGGGCCAGTCCCATCTTGCAGAGGCGATTCGGATCCCGGCTGCCCGATTTTGCAATGGGGACCAGACCAGTCCGACTGTCCGACGACATCAACGGTCACTTGCGGGAACACAGTGGCGCTCTCTCAGCTAAGCGAATCGATTACATAGACGGACGAGCCTTGGGCCTTGGAGGGCAGACGACAACGAAGGCGAGAAGACGTGCAATAAGACAGGGACGACCCTGAGGCATGTTTCCCCCGGGCTGGGGTAACCCAACCTTTCCAGGATGTCCCGCAGACCAAGCACGGATGCGACCCTCCCTCCTTCTCTCGTGCTTCTCGAATCCCTCCCCTCTTTAGTGCAGCTCTCTCTAGCGGCAAGGTACGGCACGCTACGATGGGGGCACACCAAGGCATGTGGGCGTAGTCAAATTGAAGTCAAATTGCTTCTCATGAGCCCTCCACGGAGCAGCTCCAGAACGATATTGCCGGAACCTGCCGCGGATAGACGATGGAGTCATCCGAGGCTTCTCACTCAGCTCTCGACTCTCAGCCCCCCTGGACCAGCCTTGACCGCCACGCCGCACGGCAGTGTCAAAACAAAATCAGACTATTCGGAGTTTCTAGACCTCTCGGTCACCCTGCAGATGACGACTCCGTTAATCATGCTTCGCCGCCGTCCTTCCCTACAGTTCTCGCTAGTCTGACACACGAAACCGCAAGACCTCCACTCGACCACAGAAGATACGCGACTTATCGTTCACAACGACCGGGACCCTCGATCCACAGACTGGCTCAAGGACAGGATGTCGAAGGTCGTCATCCTTGTGTTGATCAGCCCCCCCTAAAATATCCGTCCTATCAATCTCAAACAGGCGACGAGGTTGCGAGTCGCGTGCTGGGGGTCAAGAACGAGGGCTTCTGGGCTCTGGGTCGACCCTGCAGAGGCGAAATCAGAGGGGATGATATCAAAGTAGAGTTAAGTCAGAGTGTCCCCCTCCCGTCTAGGTCCTCTCCTGTTCTCTGCATATGGGCTTCGTGGGGTCTCTGTCGTCGGGTCTTCGGTCTTTCTTTCCAGCAACTGCCTTTCTGCTAGCAGCCATATTTTTCATTTTCTCTTTCTCTGCCTCCACATTTGACGCAACTTGCAAGACGCCCTTCTGGTCCTTCGATTCTACTAGTTCCTGCGACCGCTTCCCATCATCTCCTTTTTCGAAACCGATCACCCCGCTCCACGTTCTGGACATCCCGCCCGGTTCCTGCTATCTAGCCCTGTAAACAAGGATCCGCCAAGCGCTAGCATTGCAAAGTCCTGTTCCGGGCCATTAGAGGAGCATGTTCAAATTGGTCAACCGTTCCAGATCTATGAAGAGCATGAGGACTGGTGGAGGGACCCCCGGTGGTGTGCAGACGCACGGCCCAGAGTCCCCCGTCCTGGGGTCGCCGGGTCTTGTGTCAAGTTTCCAACAGACCAAGGAAGACTCGAGCGCTTCTCAAAACGAGGGCGTGCCCTTTTTCGCAAAGGACGCTGTTGCCGCCGCCGCCGCTGCTGCCGTTGCCGTTGAAACTCGCAACACATACCGCCATCGCCCGCTGCCTACACCTCCTCCATCCAAGGCGTCTTCGACCATGGCTGAGCGGCCTAGCACTAGTGGAGGGCTTTCACCTCATAACTACAGTACCACCAGCTTCAGATCCTTTGCTGATCGACGTATGTCCAAGGATGACCTGTACCTCAGGCCTCATTCTTCGGCACGTGGTGGTTACAAGTCGTATCACATCCCAATACGGGACAATCCAGCATCTCCGGTAGAGAGTACTGGCGACTTCTCACACGACTTCTCGCCGGCGCGCACATTTACAGTCAGAACACAAACGCCAGATTCGATGGATAGCAATATGGGTACGATAGCAATAGGCATGGCCATAGGGAGCCCGACACATCCACCTCCGGACTTCACAGCGTCGCGCGAATTCCTCCCCTCGCCGATTCCCGCACCGAGAGACGAGTGGCAACCGCAGGCATCCAGCTTAAGCACCACCATGATGAGGGCCTCACCAACGCCAGAGCCGACGCAGGACATACCGGAACCCGTGCCGGCGCCGAAGCAGAAGTCAGGAAGGTGGAAACTATTTGGCCGTTCAAAAAGCAAGAGACTTGCTTCATCCCCGGTCGCTATATCACAGCCCATGAATCTTCAACACCCGGCACCAACGAAGACAGAGTTTGACATTTTACCGACGACAAACCAAGCCACCAACTTGGGAAGACGGAACACGGAGAAGAGGTCGGCGGACAACAAACCTGCCATGAAGCGCTCACAGACAGCTGGCCTGGTGGTCCCGCCGAGCCCGAAAGATTCCAAGCCCCCTAAACTACTGAGCAGGATGGCATCCACAAGATCAACCAGAAGCGTAAAGAAGTCGGATATTTCTGCGCCCGTTCACGTGTCTATGGGAGTGCCGGCGTTGCCGCCGAAGCCGTCGGGCGGTTTCTTGGACGTTGAAATTCCCAGCATCCAGATGGAGAGGTATAGTGTTATGTTTAGTAACGTCCTGGGACAACCACATGGATCACAGGATTCGGGACCGCAACGATTACAGCCTTCGTCTTCGCTCCTGGCAAGGCGGCAGGCCACTTTGGACAGACTGAAAACGATCAATGATCAGGTTACGAGGGACGACGAGGAGAGGGAACGTATGAGGGGTCGGAGTGCAACATCGCCACAGCCGCTCAAATCGCCCACGTTTTCACTTTCACTTTTCCCCGCCACGCCATCGGAATCGGCCAATAACCCGCCTCAGTCGCCCCGTTTCCGCGCAAACACTTCACCCGCTTTCCTGTCGTCTCCTCAGAGGGCAAGCTTCGAGCCTGCCGCGGAGGAAACGAGCCCAGAATATATCAAGAGGAAGACTCCATCACCTGAGATGAGCACCCGGTCTCATCCATTGGATTCCTCCGCCGTACACGACTTCGTCTTTGGCCCCGAGCAATCCGGCCTCGTGCTCGACTCACCCACGGACGAAAAAGAGTCTGAGGAGATTCACGTGACGGAGCAGTTGAAGCCGACCATCTACGAGCCCGCATGGCAGATGATCACCACACCGGGAGAGTCCACCGCCCCGTCAAGCGCCGCGCCTAGCGCAAAAGACCACTCTCCGGCCTCAATGACCTCGGTCCACACCCACGTCACAAAGCCGTCCCTGGATGAATCCGAGCCCGACGATGCGCTCCGTGCCGCCGTGGAGATCTCGATTGCCAGGCAAATCAGCATCTCCCGGCAGCAGCGCCGGATGCTCCGCCCCTTGAAGACGAACGCTGTCCGCGCTGGCGGTAGCCCCGGCCTGAGAAGCCCAGTGACGACCATCACGGTGGGCAAGAACGAGCGGCTATCTACGACAAAGAGCTCCACGCCGACGCTCATCAGCCACGGGCAGACATCCGAGCAGCAAATTGCGCAAAACCGCAAGAGCTCGCGCATCATCGTCGAGGACGACCAGGTGTGATCTCGAATGAGTTTATGTGCGATTATTTTGGAGTCTGGCCCCTTCAAGCCACCGCATCACTCTGGACATTCTTCTTCTAATTCTCTTCGTCCACACACACTGATGGTGCTCGGATTCGCCATCAGACTTTAACCCAACCACATTTGTTACTCAACTACCTTCTCGCTCCACCAATTATATTCCTTTACTCCGCCTTTTTATCACACTTTTCCCCTTATTATTCTGGAGGACCATTTTTGTTGACTATGTTTGTTGTAGCGGGGTTTTTGGCGCGCTTGGTGAAAGGGGTTTCTTGATTCAGGTTTCAGGTTTGATGGGTTGGTTGTCATGTTTGTATGCCCCTATCATAAAAGCAAAGTTCCAAACGTCTCTTTGGTCTCTTGCAAGCGAGTTTTCCTCCCCCCTCCCTCCCCTGTGCGAGAAACGAAAATCATAACACGCCGAAGGATTTTCAACAGGCTCTGATTTGGTCCCTCCTGCGATACTATCTCGAAGGTTGTTTCTTCTCTTGTGCAATCGATACCACTGTGGAGAATGGAAAGCAGGAACATGCTTTGTTTTTTTTGTTGTTTGTTTTGGCTTCGTGTAAGAGGCGAGGCGCGGCGCGGATGTAGTGGAATGAAGGTCAAGCAAGGGGGTTCTCAACTCGATACTATTGTGTTGTCGAGTTTGGTTCACGTCGTGACAGAAAGCGTTTGGGACGTGTCTTTTCTTGGATAATCCTAAAGCTTAAGATTAAATATGACCAGGCTTTCCAGGTTCAATTTGAAGTCACACTTTGTGTAACGCCATAGGCTGTCGTAAGTCTGAGTGTTGTTCACGGGTGGATGCCTTGTCTTGAGCAGATATGAGTGAGTTCATTGGAGACTCAGTTTTCTATGGAAAGCCGCGTGGATTCCGCGTGGCCGTTGGAACCTCTCGTCCAAGTCCGTCACCACACTGGGCTAAAGCGACCTCGATGACACGGAAAAAGTTGTTGTTTGAGTAGGAGTTAGAGTCAAAGACAACTGGTGTCCAGTCCGTCAAAATGCATCCTGATGTCCGAGGAGAGACGAGGATAGGACACTCAAATCTTTTCAGCCTCGTCGCCCGCAAGCATCGATGCCAAGCTTGTTCGGTTCGAGAGCAGATTCAGAATGGAATCCAAAACTATGCTTGTTGACTGAAACTGATCTATGCTCAACAGCCTTGCCAGTTCCCAACGGCAATAAGCTAAACTGGCCACGAGTAGTTTCCGTATCCGACAGACCTGTTATCTGTTGGTGAGCCATAATACGGTAGTCATTATAAAAGCAACTAGGCGCCCCCCCAACTTTCTTTTGTCTCACCATGAAAAGATTCGAGTCAAAATGTCTCGGCTCAATACCGTTTCCTGCGGGTAGCACGCACTGCCTTTACTTTGCAACAGAAGATTTGTATTAATCCTAAACTCTTGCCGTCCATTGTTTCGCTACTAGAAACGGTTTGGAGGCCGGTCGGGGAAAATATGAACATCGGCCCCTGTCACCTGCCTCCGCCCGGACATTGTTGCCAAAAAAAAAAAAAATAGAAGACGAAGCATGGAGTATGAGAAATGACGTCGTTCTTGCTTGCGAAACCTAGCGAGCGTGGCCGGAGCGAGTGTTTATGCTGAGACGAGTTCCGAGGGTCCAACGCCAGACGTGAAAGACAATTATCAAGGGGGAGGAGGATGAGGCGAGGAAAGGGTGGTGGGTTCCAGGACGTTCCCGGATTTCTTTTTACATGACGATGCAGCACGAGTTTTGCTTCTTCGCCTGCTGATAAAACATCTTGCTCTGGGAGCTCAGGCCGTCGCTCTTGGCCACCAGGTCGTCAATCTTCTCCCCGCGCTCCAGGACGCTCTGGATGGTCTTGTGCAGCACAATCTTTGTCTCGTCAAGCTCCTTTTGAATCTTGAGGATCGAGTCGGCCTGTTGCGGGTCTTGGTACTTGGTCAGGTACTCCTTAAGCTCGGGGAGCGCGAGCTTGGGTTCGCCCGTCGCCCATGTGGAGCGCGGGTGCTTGGTGAGGAACTCGTCGACGCTGCGGTGCTCTCGTTAGCATGCCTGGGTTTTGGTTGATAAGGGGGGAAGGCGGGGGGTCTTGGCGCCCGGGGTGACGTTGAACGTACATCTTGGAGAGAAGCTGGTGAGCGACGAGACTCGGGTATTGGTGATCAGAAATGATCCTGCGCATTCTATGTCAGCACCGCCCTTCGTGTATAGCCCCTCAAGAGGTCGTTTTTGGAGAGTCGCCCACTTACACGCCGCAGATACCCTCGCTTCTTCCCACGCAGTGGAATGTGTTGTCGCCCTCCTCGATATCTTGCCTCTGGCCGGGACGCGTCGATTCGGCCACCTTCTTAGAGAACAGGCTCATGAATTCGGCGTAGCTACCTGTGTTTGAACGATCGTCAGCACAAAGCCGAGCACAAGAGCAGGCGATAGGTCGAGACCGGCCGTCCTGCTCGTAGCTGGGCGGGGGAAGCCCCTTTCCTGGCGCATCATGAATGGCTTACCTCTGGTGAATCGGGAGTATGCGGACAGCTCCATCTCGCTGCAAAGCTCGACGGCGGGCTTGCTGTCATTGCGGAGGATCTATGCGACACAGGCGTTAGTTGCGATGTCCGGATTGAAATGCTGCGGTACGGGCAGGCGTCTCCAGGATCGCTCAAGAGCGCAGGGAGCAGCGAAGAGGGAGAGACGTACTCCGATGTAGTGCAGCTTCATTGTCTTGAGTTGTAGTGTTAGTCACCAATCGCAGATGTCGCCGTTGAGGCGGTCTGGGCAAAGGGGGGGATCCGACTGCAACTTACGGCGGAGTTTTAGAGGCGAGAGGGGTAGTGTATGGTATTGTCGTGGACTCTGCTTGTCGAGGCTCGTGGGCAATCCGCGTGTATATCAAGGACGTCGAGTTCGGGGGAGAGGGTCGGTTATCGTGGGAGGAAGAGGGAATTGGAATGGATAATGGAGAAAGGAGGCGATCCGAGTTGTAGGACGATGGAGGAGAGTCTCTGCGTCGTTCAAGGTTTACAGAGCACCTTGGGGAACCATTGGCTTAGAGGGGCGATACATCACATGCACCACCTACACCCACTACGAAACTTGGCTCAGCGGACTGCCCCTCTAGGCTACAGAGTAATTAAGGCATTGATGTACCCGCGTACCCGCGTACCTCGCGCGGGTCCGCTAAGCATTGTGGTGACAGCCTGGGCTGTCTCTGCCGCATTGCGTGTAGCGGCCTGCAGCCTGCGGAGGCTCGGGCGGTCCCCTCTTCCGTCCTCAGTGTGGCGGTCAGCCCGTACCTAGGTACTTGATTGCCTACAAAGATCGATATGCGTGACGTGACCAGACGGGCAGAAGTCTAGAACGCCCACCAAAGACGGACGTCATTGGGTACGGGAACAAATCGATGGATACTCTGCCAACCTGAGGTGCCGTGCGTGCCCAGCCGCCCCAGCGGTTATCTGGTCGACACTGAAGGTTACAGCTGACCTGTGGTTGGCAGCTGCAGGTACCACACCTTTTTCTTTTCTAGCCCCACTATGCACCACGGCGGACGGCGACTCGGTGAATGACTCCTCCAAGACCGGGCCCGGCTTACTTACCACCGCTAGTCATCATAGACATTTTCGACTTCACAGGCCGTCTATATGTGGCCTGGGAAGAAACTTCATCATTCACAATTCCTACCTATCTCACCCATACAATCCGACCTAGAATTTGAAGCTCTAAAGACAAGGAACTCTCAACAGGCCATCAATGGCGTCTGCGAATCTCGACAGTGCCGAGGCCCAGTGGCGAGCTCAGTTCGAGGCCATGAAGACAGCCTTGGCAGGTCTCAAGCTTCCCTCTGAGCCGCCCTCCGATGTAGATTTCGACGATGCATATGAAGGGTACTCCTCAGGCAGCGGGGCACAGGACGTTTGGGACTTTATTTCAGACGACGAAGATGACGAATACAGCAGCGACCAGCTAGACGGTCAAGACGCCACCAACGGGGACGCTGCCTATGGCGCCGCCTGGTTCGCGAGCAAGTGCACATCCATTGCTGCAAAGAATGGTCTAGCCGAAGACGTATTCCAAAACCAGATCGTAAGCATCTTGACATCCGGCCAAGGCGACGAGGAGCTCCAGTCGCAGCTGGCAGATCTTGTCGGGTTTGACGACTTTGACTTCATCATCGAATTGCTCGGCCACCGCGACGAGATTGTCACGGCCGTAGCATCTCAGGGAGCCCAGGAGCCCAAGGGGAGACTATTGAGCAAGGCACAGCGTGAAGAGGCTTTGAGGCGACAGGATTTTGAGCACAAGAATGCGGCTCTCGCTCCCTCCATGACCAAGGAAGTCCAGTACCCCCATGTGTACAAGGCATACAATGCTGGAAACTCCCTCAGTCATTCGGGCAAGAAGTACGGCCTCCCAAGCGGCAGTGAGAGGCTTCAGTTCGACAAGTATGAGGAGTATGCTATTCCCGCAGGGAAGAAGGGAGTTCTGGGCCCCGGGCAGAGGCTGGTCAAGATCTCAGATATGGACGGCCTGTGTCGCGGCACCTTCAAGGGCTACAAATCTCTCAACCGTATGCAGAGTCTGGTTCATCCAGTGGCATACAGGACTAACGAGAATATGCTCATCTGTGCCCCCACTGGTGCTGTTAGTCACTCCAAACCCATTGCGATATAAGCGGGTTACTGACGTGCCGAAAATAGGGTAAAACAGATGCTGCCATGCTCACCATTCTTCAAACCATTGGTCATTACTGCACACCCAACCCCATCGAAGACACGACTGCTACGGACTTTGCAGTCGATGCCCAGGACTTCAAGATCGTCTATGTCGCCCCGATGAAGGCTTTGGCTGCAGAAATTACTGAAAAGCTCGGCAAGCGACTGGCATGGTTGGGCATCAAGTGCCGTGAGTTCACCGGAGATATGCACCTGACCAAGGCCGAGATTGTGCAAACCCAAATCATCGTCACCACCCCCGAGAAGTGGGATGTCGTGACGAGAAAGGGAACTGGCGATACCGAGCTGGTACAGAAAGTCCGTCTCCTGATTATTGATGAGGTCCACATGCTTCACGATGAGCGTGGTGCCGTGCTGGAATCGCTCGTTGCCAGAACCGAGCGCCAAGTCGAGAGCACACAGTCGTTGATTCGTATTGTCGGTCTCAGTGCCACGCTCCCAAACTATGTGGACGTTGCCGACTTTCTCAAAGTCAACCGCCACGCCGGTATGTTCTATTTTGACGCCTCATTCCGCCCGGTGCCTTTGGAGCAGCACTTTATTGGTGTGAAAGGCAAGGCCGGCTCGAAGGCGTCTAGAGAGAATTTGGACGCCGTTGCTTTCGAAAAGGTCAGGGACATGCTACAGAGAGGTCACCAAGTCATGGTCTTTGTTCACTCACGAAGAGACACTCTCTTGACGGCCAAAATGCTGTACGAGAAGGCCGTGGAAGACTTCTGCGTGGACCTGTTCGATCCGACCGACCACCCGAATTATGAGAACGCTGTACGAGACATGAAACAATCCAAGGCGCGAGACCTGCGAGAACTAGTGCCCAAGGGCTTGGGTATCCATCACGCTGGTATGGCGCGCTCTGACAGAAATCTTATGGAGAGTCTCTTTGGAGAGGGCGTCCTCAAAGTTCTCTGCTGTACTGCGACTCTCGCATGGGGTGTAAACTTGCCCGCGGCTGCCGTCGTTATCAAGGGAACCCAAGTGTACAGCGCTCAGGAGGGTAAATTCGTCGACCTCGGTATTCTTGATGTGTTGCAAATCTTCGGTCGTGCTGGTCGTCCCCAGTTCGAGGATACTGGTATCGGTATGATTTGTACCACCCAAGACAGACTCCATCACTACTTGACCACGGTCACGGAGCAACAACCGATCGAGTCCAAGTTTTCCACAAAGCTCGTCGACAACTTGAATGCCGAGATTTCTCTCGGTACTGTGACGTCGATTCCCGAGGCTGTCCAGTGGATTGGGTACTCATACCTCTTTGTACGCATGCAGCGAAGTCCAATGAGCTACGGTATCGAGTGGGCTGAAATCAGAGACGATCCTACTCTTGTCCAAAGGCGTCGCACACTGGCTATACAAGCAGCCCGCACTCTCCAACAGAGCCAGATGATCGTCTTCAACGAAGTGACCGAGGAGCTTCGCAGCAAGGATATTGGCCGCATTGCTAGCCAGTACTACATCTTGCACACCAGTATCCAGATCTTCAACACCATGATGCGCCCTATGGCCACTGAGGCCGATATTCTAAAGATGATCGCCATGAGTGGAGAGTTTGACAACATTCAGTCCAGAGACTCTGAAGAGAAGGAGCTGACGCGCCTGCGGAACGATGTCGTGCCCTGTGATGTTGACGGCGGCATTGACACGCCCCAGGCCAAGACCAACATTTTGCTGCAGGCATACATTTCGAGGGCGCAACCAGAGGACTTTGCCCTCGGCAACGATCTCAACTACGTTGCTCAGCAGGCTGGTCGTATTTGCAGAGCCTTGTTCATGATCGCTCTGAATAGGAGATGGGGACATCAGTGTCTGGTTCTGCTCACCCTCGCCAAGTCAATTGAAAAACGAATCTGGCCGTTCCAGCACCCTCTACACCAGTTCGACCTTCCCAAGTCGGTCTTCAACCAGCTCGATGCCAAGGACAATTTGACAGTGGAGGCAATGAGAGACATGGAGTCTGCCGAGATCGGTAGTCTAGTCCACAACCAGAACGCGGGTAAGAAGATTGCCGCGATCCTGAACAACTTCCCGACTATCAGCGTCGAAGCGGAAATTGCACCTCTCAACCGCGATGTTCTCCGGATCAAGTTGTTCATCGAGCCTGACTTCCGATGGAACGACCACACCCACGGAACTTCCGAATCGTACTATATTTGGGTCGAGAACTCGGAGACGTCTGAGATCTACCACCACGAGTTCTTCCTTCTTAACAGGAGGAAGCTCCATGACGATCACGAACTCAACTTCACCATTCCCCTCTCGGATCCTTTGCCCACTCAGATCTACGTACGGGCGGTTTCTGATCGATGGCTTGGCGCTGAGACGGTGACGCCTGTTTCTTTCCAGCACCTGATTCGCCCGGACACTGAGAGCGTGTACACTGACCTCCTGAACTTGCAACCGCTACCCATCAGCGCTCTCAAGAATCCGGCTCTCGAGGAGATTTATGCCCAGCGCTTCCAATACTTCAATCCAATGCAGACTCAGATTTTCCACACCCTCTATCACACACCTGCCAACGTTCTCCTCGGATCTCCCACTGGTAGTGGAAAGACCGTTGCTGCAGAGCTGGCGATGTGGTGGGCGTTCAGGGAGCGGCCAAAGTCCAAGGTTGTGTATATTGCGCCGATGAAGGCTCTGGTTCGTGAGCGTGTCAAGGATTGGGGAGCTCGACTTGCTCGGCCTCTTGGGTTGAAGCTGGTCGAACTCACAGGTACGTCTCACGGGACATGGAAATTTGGAAAATATGCTGACCTCCTTAGGTGACAATACCCCTGATACGCGCACTATCAAGGATGCCGACGTCATCATCACCACGCCCGAGAAATGGGACGGTATTTCTCGTAGTTGGCAGACGAGAGGCTACGTTCGTCAAGTGAGTCTCGTCATCATTGACGAGATCCATCTCCTGGCTGGTGATCGTGGTCCGATTCTGGAGATCATCGTCTCTCGTAAGTGTGCAAGCGGTGACTGTACCCTAGCAAGATGCTGACCAACTCGAGGTATGAATTACATTGCAGCATCCATCAAGAACTCTGTCCGCCTCCTCGGTATGTCGACGGCATGCGCCAACGCCACTGACCTGGGCAACTGGCTCGGTGTCAAAGAAGGTCTATTCAACTTCCGCCATTCCGTACGCCCAGTTCCCTTGGAGCTTTACATTGACGGTTTCCCCGAGACCAGAGGCTTCTGCCCGTTGATGCAATCCATGAACCGCCCAACGTTCCTCGCCGTCAAGACGCACAGCCCCGAAAAACCCGTCATCGTCTTCGTGCCCTCTCGAAGACAGACGCGCCTGACCGCCAAGGACCTCATCAATTACTGCGGTATGGAAGACAACCCTCGCCGATTCCTGCACATGGATGAGGACGACCTTCAGCTCAATCTTGCCAGAGTCAAGGACGATGCTCTGAAGGAGGCCATCAGCTTCGGTATTGGGCTGCACCACGCCGGTCTCGTCGAATCTGATCGCCAGCTCGCCGAGGAACTTTTCCTGAACAATAAGATCCAGATCCTCGTCGCCACCAGCACTCTCGCGTGGGGCGTCAACTTGCCGGCCCACCTCGTCGTCGTCAAGGGCACGCAGTTCTACGACGCCAAGATTGAGGGGTACAAGGACATGGACCTGACGGACGTCCTCCAGATGCTGGGACGCGCCGGCCGTCCGCAGTTTGACAACTCGGGCGTGGCTCGCATCTTCACAAAGGACGCCAAGAAGGACTTTTACAAGCACTTTTTGCACACCGGCTTCCCCGTCGAATCGTCCCTGCACACGGTGCTCGACAACCACTTATGCGCCGAGGTCTCGGCCGAGACCATTGTCACGAAGCAGGACGCCCTGGACTACCTGACCTGGACCTTCTTCTTCCGCCGCCTGCACAAGAATCCGTCCTACTACGGCCTCGAGATCTCAGCCGAGGAGCACAACAGCATCGCCGCCCAGACCATGGCAAACGACTACATGATTGAGATGATTGACAAGTCCCTCGACGAGCTCGCGCGGTCCAGCTGCGTCGAGGTCTTCCCCAACGGCGACGTCGACCCCACCCCGATGGGCAAGATCATGAGCTACTACTACCTCTCCCACATCACCATCCGCCACCTCGTCAAGCACGTCAAGCCCGGCGCCTCCCTCCTCAACGTCCTCTCGTGGATGTCCCGCGCGACAGAGTACGACGAGCTCCCCGTCCGCCACAACGAGGACCTCATCAACGAGGAGCTCTCCCGCAACCTCCTCTTCCCGGGCAGCTCCTTCGACCTCCCCATGTGGGACCCCCACGTCAAGGCGTTCCTCCTGCTGCAGGCGCACATGTCGCGCATCTCGCTCCCCATCACCGACTACGTGGGCGACCAGACCAGCGTCCTCGACCAGGCCATCCGCATCATCCAGGCCTCCATCGACGTCACCACGGAATTGGGCCACCTCTCCACCTGCCTCAAGTTCGTCACCCTCCTCCAGTGCATCAAATCAGCCCGCTGGCCCTCGGACCACCCGGCCTCCATCCTCCCCGGCGTCGGCGTCGACACCCTCAAGAACGACAAGTCCAACCTCACTTTGGCAAAGATCTCTGCACTCTCCGCAGGCAAACTCACCTCCCTCGCGAAACAACTCTCCGTCCCAGCGCACCAGCAACCACGCTTCGCAAAGGCCGCAGCCCAGCTCCCGAACCTGTCCGTCTCTGTGCCCGACACCACAGCCCTCGCTGTTTCTGTCGACCTCCGCCGCCTGAACCCCCTGACGGAACGTGACGCCCACGTCTACGCGCCCCGCTTCCCGAAGCCCCAGAATGAGGGCTGGTTCGTCGTCCTCGCCGACCCGGCCCGCGACGAGGTCCTCGCCGTGAAGCGCGCGGGCTGGTCCCAGGGCCCCGGCCGCAGCGTCGCCGTCGGCTCCAAGCCTACCGCGCGCGTCAGCATAAAGGTCCCCGAGGCCGCGCAGGGCAAGAAGCTCGAAGTGATTGTCGTCAGCGACGCGTATGTTGGGTTGGAGTACCGCGTGGCCGTCGACGTCCCTGCGGCCCCAGTCGTGGACGACGATATTGACAAGTCCAAGAAGGCGCAGGCTCAGCAGCATAGCGATGGCGGCGCTTCTCGGGCTTGAAGCACACACTCACATACATACACACAAACACCATAAATTAAGTCCGCTGGTGGACCCAGACTGAGTTGTTGGCCGTAGTAACGAGATGTGGGCTATATTAGATGCAGCTTAGAAGGAGGAAACGCTACCCTATGGATGCAGATGATGAGAAAACGCTGCTGCTGTGGGGCGGTCCGTCTGGAAACTTTGATGAAAGAAAATAAACAAGAATCGAAAAGATTCCTTCCTCATGCTGAATGACAAGGGAAAAGCCGTCAACCAGAAAAAATTTGAAAAATTTGTGAACAATGCTCTCTTGCGAGAGATGATGCCCCCACCCCCTATCCCATGTCAACAAGTATAAAAAGGCAAGAAAGCGCATCCAAGAGAAAAAACGTTTCTCTTGCCAAGAAGCAAAAATCGGACGAGAGTTGAGCCCCCTATCCCCCCCCCCCCCCCCCACATACGCACCGCAACAAGCAACCCCCCTCCCCCCAAAACAAACCACAAAGAAACACAACCAACCCCCCCCCACCAACCCCCCCCACCCCCCAACGCCCGGGGGGGGGGCGCCCCCCGCCCCCCCCCCCCCGCGTGATAGTAGCCAAGTGATAGGAAAGCCCACCCCGCCAAAATGTAGACGACCGACATCATGACATGCCCTTCCCAGGGGCTGCCTGCTCCCATGGTAATCCCTCCTCCCGTGTACGGTGATCCCCGAGAAACGAGCACCATCCGCCAACTGAGGAGCGCCGCATTAAGCAAGGACATACCACAAAACAGAAAAGC